CATACAATAATACTAGAAAAAAAGTGAAAATATCACAAAATATAAATGATAATGTGAATAAAAACAACAACAAAAATGTAACAATGTAAATGGACGGAATGGAGCACTTCAGACCCTTTGGCAGTCAATCAAAATTGTCATATAATACAATCACAGCAGGTAATGAACAAAATATATAATACATGGTTATAATTTTGATAAAAATAAATCGAGAATAATCTATAAACATGGCAGACATAGTAATTGCATCACAAAAGACATAAACATGTACATTGCATATCAATTTTATTTTACAATTTTTATTGTAATATCAAAAAGTTTCATAAAAAATAAATAAGAAATGCACCCTTCTCAATGTTATAAACTCGATTTTATAATACATCAATTTTTTTAATTTCATCACATTATTCATCACCACTTTTTGTATTTTTTTTACTCCTCAAAGAATACACACACGTTTTATATTTTGATAAATGTACATAGACTTTATATATGTTTTATATGGTTCGAGTATTTTCAGTTAATACGGTCGTATCGTGGCTGAGAGACCTCTCAGAGACCATCTAGCCGACGGAATTCCCTCACGCCGTACGTCAAGCTCCATTATAGGCTCGCGTGTAGCTATTCTAGATGCATACACAGGACACTGGTACGTTTCTGCGGCTCGGTTTGAATCCTGTAAGATGGGTTTTTCATTAGCCGGCCAGCATGTGAGGTGAACGACTGGAAGTGTAGCATATCCACTACGTGGCGGGGCATCTTGTAGCTCTCCTGTAGTCTTCTCCCAGGCACAGCCCCATATATATATACCATACACAAACATCCCTTCTTGTGGTGGGTCTCGTAACTATTTTGTAGAAAAATAAAGCAATGATCATATAATTATGTTTTATCTTCTCAATCATTTGTAATTGTTAAACAATTATCAAAATATAGTAAATAGAACTTTTAATTAAAAACATTGACTTACTTTATATTAATGTTAAACTTTTTTTCACGTATAAATGGTCACATTTTTTATTAGCAAAAGTCTAATGTCTTGTGTAGTATAGACAGCACCTTCTATGATGGTAAGTTTTCATCATTTTGTGACTTTATCAATCAATGATGGATTAAAACAAGTTTTTTTCCTTAGAAAATAACAATATTGGAAAGAGGCAGCTTCACTCACCCAGTTTTTCCAAGAAAATTACCAATACCCTTCAGGTTGGAAATATTTACAAATTGGGAAAATTATAACCTTACAGTTTGGTTATGATAAGGTCTTATCAACATATTCTGATGCATGTATGTTTGCTTAAACTGTGTTGTTCTTTTTCAATTTACTTTAAATACACTGTACTCTCAAATAAAAAAGAAAGTAAATACAAACAAAAAAAAATAAAAAAATTTAAGAATCAATTAAGAATTTCTGTTAGAAAATTTAAAAAGAAACCCAAATATTTGACTCAATATCAGCTATAAATTGTAACACAATCTAATAAACACTCAAAATTAAACCCTGTTTTGTTATGACATAAAACATGTTAAAACAAAAGTTCTATTCATCAATCTGATAACCATAGTTAACTTTACTTATTAATATATTTGGTAAAATCATTTAAAATCTGTGTATATTTTTTACATATTTCAAAACTTACATGATCTTTGTCTCTAGATGTGACTTCTGTTTGAAAGACGAACTGTTCAAAGTTTCCTGATCTGTCATTAGAATACTGCTTTATATAATCTTGTTTCATTAATGCCAGGAGACCACGAGGATTGAAGAATGCTCCTAACCAATACGCAGGCATCTTTTCACGACCCTGAAATTCATAACAAAATAAGAATTATCAAATTCATTCAATATTCAATACTAAAAAATGTCAAATATATTCAATACAAGAAAAAATACATTTTGTATTTGATACAAAACACAACTCATGAATTTGCATTTAATATAATATAAAAATTCTATTAATCTGCATTAAAATTGTCAAAGGCAACCTTTTGACTTGTTCATCATAAGACAATATGGAGTGTTGACTCTGTTACATAATTTATGGAACTTACCAATATAAGAATCTTCTCAAAGTGATGACATCTGTTTTGGAGTTCATTGAGCCAGGATCCAAGCCCCCATGTGAGTGGAGGTGCGGAGGGACCGGACATTTTACACCAGACTCGTGGGATACGCAGATGATACAAGTCGTCTGCTGCCGAGAGAACTGTATCCGACACCTGATCACCAAGGCTGTCTGTCTCACAGGCATTTCTGATCATCTGTAATACAATATATTTATTCGCATCATTATTTTATATAAAACTTTATCTGGATTGTTGTAAAACATGCTATACATAAAACTAATTTCCATAATATTCAACGAAAATCATTTAGAAGAAAAAAATGTCATTTGAGCACAGTTAGAAAGCAATTATAGAATGAAATATTTTGCGACTTGAAATAACTACAGACAATTACAATGTAAGTCATTGCAAAATTAAGGCATGAAGAAGACATGTTGAAATATGCCACTTGAGAGATATAGCCTGTCAGAAAAGCACACAAATATAGAGTTATTGAGTATGATGTATTCAATTTTTTACTGGTACAAAACAGGGAAACACGGATTAGTTTAATATAAGATAAGAAACTTACAGTGAGTGTCTGTTTGATTTCTGTAAGAAGTTTATACATTGTCTCCAACTCCTTCATGATGTAACAGTTAAATGTTGTAAACCCTCCTAGTTTCTTTACCTTCTCTACTATGTAATCCTAAAAATATCAAAAACAACTTTTAAAACAGTTCTTTTTTCATATAAAATGTTAAAAAATACATTTATTGTAACCAAATCATTCCTGAAATGATATCCAATATTTCTTGTTATATTCTATAACAACCATCTTATTCATTCAATTCCAAATCAAGTAATTTGGTTGGTAAAAATTTTGTTTATTTTCATATTCTTATGCTTTAGACAAAAAAAATCTGCAAAAATATCTGTTATCTTATACACATATACAAGAAATTCAGCATTTATAAAACATTCCTGAATAAAACATTTAACTTCTATCTTTAATTGCTTTGGCCATGACCTTTTGCAAGTGCCACTATATTGAAAATTTACCAGCATAATCTTTATTTTCAATTAACTTGTACTTTGTACTTTGGAGGAATTTTTATCAAGTAAAAGGCAATAGTCTACAGATTACAGACAACCAAATACAGCATTTATATCCTTTTAGGCTTTGTAGTTTGTAAAAAAGATAAGAACCTTGTTATAAGCTTTTGGCACTTTCTGTAGCATGGTAAAGCAGATTTCCCACAATTCCACATCTTTCCTCATCTTGAAAGTAGCAAAACTTGCCGTGGCAAACACACCTTGACCTACAACTGCTGGGTTATTACTCTGTGCGCTAACCCCTGCCAGAGCTGGTCCTGTATATATATAATTATGACATTATATCCTCTATTAATGTGTTTCTTTTTTTATTTAAGTGTCTACAGAACTTCAAAGGTCTGCCTAAAAAGTATAGTGACTGCCTGAACAAGCACTAATATTTTTAATCAGACTGAAAAAAACTTGTGCATAAAAGATTTTACAAAGACAATATTTTACTAGTCCTGTGACTGTGAAATCTTCATGTGACAGATGAAATATTTTTTCAATTTTTTTGCACTTTTTACCTTAAATGTTTGCAATATAATTTCATTTGATACCCTAAATATTAAGCTAGATTTTTTAAACAAGAAGTCAGATCATCAACATCAATTGAATTTTTGAAAATTTACGAGTTCCTTCTTATCAGAACTGAAAAAAAATATAATTGAAACTTTTGAATGGTAAAAACAAGAACCTACCTTCGAAAGGTGTGGGTGGTCTGGGGAAAAGTTTATGTGTAAGTGTGTCAGTTGAAGGCATACTATCAAATACACGATTCAAACGTGTAAACACGTACTGATCATCTCCAAGAAGAGTCTGAAAACACATATATATAAATATATTGTCAAAAATATAAAAATATCACAAATAAAGTTGTTGCCCTTTACACAAAATAAAAGTTTTCAACTTAGATAGAGAGAATTCATAAAAGAATATTTTTACATTATTATTATTATCATTATTTGTAATGATAAACAATTAACAATTTTTCACAAAAAAAAATTCAAGTAAAGCAGCCATTTTTTTAATTAAACATGCACTTTCACAAATATAGCACCTATATATTACATGTATATCAATATATACCAATATAAAAACCCTTAACCTCCTGAAGTGATGTAACCAATTCTGCATTGAATTTGGACAGATGATAGATTTCAATATCAAAATTAAATACAAAAATTTATCTACCAATACTATACAGCCTGGTCAGGACTGCACGGATGTGCAGGCTGGCCTGGCTGGACACTGGTAGCAAACGCTTATCAGTTTTCGTTTCATCGGGTTAAGGGTTAAGGCAATACCATGACAATTTTTTTTTGACATCTCTGAAAGCCTAAAATTTATGCATAATTCAAGTTATGTTTTGAAACAATCCATCAATTTTATGGATGTCATGCTGAGAATTTGTAATTTGGTCAGCTCTCAGTATTAAGTCTGGTCAAGCAGCACAAACTGTTTGCTTTTTAGGGTTAACTAAACAAATATTGCTGACTTCAAGCCAGTGTTCAACGTACATAACAACAACTATTAGTGCCTTGAATTGTACCTATACTTTGTAGAAATTATAGTATTATTATACAAAGGTGACAACATGTGAAAGCATAAAGCAATGGGCCAATTAGTAACTAAACTCAAGTACATGCCAGCAATGATGGCTCCAGAATGCGTTTTACATTTGATTCTTTGGAAGAAATTGCCCTATTTGTAAGCACAATTTGTGTTTATCTTCATACTGAACAAGCAGAACTTAGTAACCACTTACTGTTACTATAAATACCATATTTGGTAAAGAATTATTATAAATCAGTAAAAACAATTTTTCAGGGTCCAATAGGCTTAAAATAAACTCTCTCTAATGTATACCTTTTTTATATTAAAAGTTTTAAAGACTTAATTATCATGCAAGAATTACAATACAATAAACTAGAGCATTTAATATTTCATTAATGATAGTGAAACAATTTTACAAGACAAAAAATTAAGCAAGAACAAGTGTTACACAAACAAATTGAAGGTTATTTTTAAAGTGTAGGATCACAAGGGTCAATCTGTTTATTATATTATTGCTAAATTGAAATTAAAAAACACAGTCATATAGAATGTTAGATTAAACATACCGGTATTAAATTTACAGTCAAACATAGAACATGTATTTGTGATTAAACAAAATATTAACTAGGTTAGCTAATACATTTATAGAAAACCCTTTTAAAATTGATTTAGTTGAACACAAATTATCATTCCCCTAAACTTTCATCAACAAACATTACATTAAAATATACTGATGCTATCTACAAACAACAATGTCTGAACAAATATTGAGTTTACTGTTTTCCTCTTTTTCTCTTATAACATAGTAACATTTCGAAAGTTTGCATTTAACCAATAATGGCATAAATTGCTCTTAACCCATTACTTCATATACACGCCTTTTAATGCCTTTTTCACCCCACCCCCTTTTTTGTTGTCTCAAATGATGAAAAAATGCCTTATTTAGGCCCCAAACACTTGTTTTTGTTTGAGAAATGTTGTTAAAAAAAGTGACCTCTTTTTCGGCGCGGCCCCCCACCCAAAAGATACATCAGGGGGTTGCCAGAAGGGGGATGTGCCCCCTTCTGTTTGGGGGGTTTAAAGGGGGACTCTGCCCCCCTCATCGCCAAGAAAATTTTGGACTTGTGAGAGGCTGTAAATGACCCCAGATTGATCATAAGGTAACGTGTAACCAACGCTGAAAAGCATTTGACTCTATCTCAATCCATTGAGAAGTTGCAGCACTTTGAAATCAATTTTAATGGAAAAAATCAACGCAAAATAGTGATTTTTGGCAATTTTGAGATGTCCCCTCGTTGCCATGGTAACAGAAAATTTAAGCCTGAGCATGTTGTTGCAAGGGCAATGGTCCAGTCAACATTTGTGCCAAGTTTGATTAGTGTTGAAGCAGTTTTTATAGTATTATAGCAATTTGAACTCGTAACGGGAGACTTTTCAAAACAGCCATTTTTCACAAAATGCTCATGAAGTAATGGGTTAATAGAATTGCAATTTTGAACTTGGTAATGAGAGGCAATTTGTCTCAAAGCCAGTCACTGTCCTGAACCAGTCAGCCACAGAGGCTGGCACCTGTTGCCATATGACATAATTACATAAGTTAGGTGTTAAATACATTATAGAACACTGAAATAAAGTATACATCTGAAAGAAACATAGTTTTAGTATGAATAGATTTTACTTTTACTACTGTAACCCATAACCAAATAAAAGTTCTACAGTAATTCCTATAATAAAATACTAAAGTTTTAACAAACAACATATGTTCATACCAGGGAGGAGATTTCATGGTTCTGAGTAAAATACAGGATTGTGAAATTACATTTTGTGAGTGAACAAGTACATAAAATAATGTATATCTAGGGAATTACTGCTAATAATACATGCAGTGATCTTTTACACATAGGGCACACATTAGATAATACATGTATAGCAATAAATAATATTAATCTGTGATTTTATTCATCATTCTTTCGTTACACCAATATCATCAAATAGTTCAATTCAGTATATACTAGTTCAGGAGCATACACGAGTTGTTTATATAGCATTATATGAAATGAGTCGATTAAGGAAAGTATTATATTTAAGCAAGCCTGTTACATTTATGGTGTGAGTTTAATGAAAGTCTCTATTGTAGGATCATTTTTTTATTTTGGCTGGGAATTTTCAGATCAGTTGACCATAAGTATAACCATTTTTTCTGTGCTTTGCTTTGTACTTTGATACCAATTAACCAGGACTTACAGCAAGAAACCACACCCTGGTTGGAGGTTCTTCCAATGTTTTAAAACTACTGTGCTTATAACTCATGATTCACTTGTCATTGAAATCAATTAAGTCTGAATGGAATGAGCTGAGTGTACATTAAATGAAATGAGTGTACATGTACATGAAATAAATTAAATGGAGTGTACATGACATCAACTGAGTGTACATGACATCAACTAAGTGTACATGAAATAAATTGAATGTATATGCAATCATTTGCGTGTACATTAAATAAATTAAGTGTACATGATATCAAATGAATGTATATGACATCAAGTGTACATGAAATCAACTAAATGTACATTAAAGAATTGAGTGTACCTTAATCAAGTGAGCATTGTTTATGTAACTGTTGTTAGTAGAACAGGGTTGTGAGCAGCATGGTGATTACAAGTTGTATAGTCTGTAATCAGCAGTACGAGGGATAAACAAGGGGGAAATAACATAAGGGATTCTTTTCTGTCTTTTTTTTCTACTTACAAAATTAACCATAGATAGCTGTAAAGTTGTCATAATTGAAAATCTTAGTTATATCATATATAAGAATCTATATAAAAAAACTTGAAGATTGACAAAACTTTAAAAGTAAATTCAACAACATAATTTGATATCATACAGAGCCAAAGATAAAACAAAGATAAAACATTGAAAGAAAAACAAATTGAACGAAAAGCAAATTAAAAATATATATATAAATATTCATCAAAGTGATACTAAATTTACAGCAAAGAATCAAACACTGTATTTATTTGGTTTCTACAGTAACGGGTTTCATAGTTTCTAACTTAAACCATCTATTTACTATCAGAAATCCAAATCTAAAACTTTTTTAAAGTGAAGAGACACAGCAACAAAAGCCAGTATAGTAGAAGAAACATAAAATGTAGTACCTCAACATTTGGATGTATATGGCAAGCTTCTGGAACATCCAGGAAGTGGTAGTTGATTCCTTCAAGTGCTTGAATTAACGAGTTTAGACGAACATTTGGATTGAAAAACGCAGCCGGATGACGATACTTCACTGAAATTATGATAAATATTTCTTGAATAAGTATAATAGCTTTATTCTTGTCATATTGTGAAGTATCTAAAGGGTATAAAGTTACATAAAATCCAGACTCAAGGGTAGTTAAAATAAGCTACAAGTTTTTTGTCATAATTGTGGTAAAAATTAAAATCATATGTTATATCTGAAAAATTGATTTTCTCATTTCATGCATCAGGTATAAAATATCTTCATACCAACAATTTACCTAAGGCTTTCTGAAACTGATAAGCCTTTGCCTTTAATATAGAGCAAGGCCAACCTGCACATCCTCACAATTCATCAGGCTCTACATTGTTGCCCGACTAACTTTAAATTTTCATCTTGATATCCCCTAAATTGATAATGGACCGTTCTAAAAATGGAAGTTGAGCAAGTTCATTTAAGAAATTCAGCAGGTTAAGGGATAACTGTTTACTTGATGTTTTTTTTTTCACTTACATCGTGCAACTTCAAAATCTTTCTTGACAGCAGTAGGTGAGACCCAGTAGTCTACCATAGCACTGAGACTTTGCTGATCATTAACATCTGTCGAGTAACTGCCATAAATTACCTGTAATATATATAATAATATTCAAAATATGAAAAAGGAAAACATTTTTTAGTTTCATTGGTCGACACAATAATGTATATAAATCATCACACTTGGAAGATCAATTTTCATTGGACAATTGAGATCCTTATATAACCCACATTATGAACCTCTGCTGCTAATCTAAAAAAGTTTTTTATTTTTATCAAAGAATGTTTGAGTATTATAAATTGTATAGACTTCAGTCTGGTTATATGACTACATAATGGCTTGTTGCTACATGACCAACACCTGCTGACAAACTTTTATTTCGGGCCATATAACCGTTCAAAAATATTTATTACAAAATGTACACTGGCTACTTTTCTGTTACAGCATCCAAAGCTGTTCTGAAGGATTAAAATTGTTTCTATATATAAATTTCAATGTAAAATTATTTATAATGAATACCTCAGACAGCATGTATCGTATTCCAGTCCATGAAGTAATCCTAGATTGTTGGGTACCATCTGGTGCTGTAAACATTATCTGGTCCTTAAACTCACTGGTTATAAAATTTAGAGATTCCTGAAAAACAAAAACATTCAACAAATACATTTTTTGTCCTTGGAAGTCTCTATGGCCTAGAAGGGGTCTCTTAGAACAGGTGGTTCAAGTCATCAATTTCTGATTGTGTGCAAGCTTGTGCCTGAAATAATGCATGGATGAACACCTGAAGTCTCGCTCCATGAGTGAAGCTAGATTGTCAGCATATGACCTCTCTAGTGTCCAGAAAACTTAAAAGTCAGCTCTGTATATATTTTACCAATTACTAAGAGGGCTGTGATGTTTCTTCATTAATAACATAATCTGAACATGGATTTATATGATACAAGTATAGTGCATAAAACTAACATAAAACTGTATACCACGTCTCAGTTAAACACAAAAATGTGTTTTTGGCAATACAACAAAATGTTCCCATAATTTCTAGCCCAGTTATGAAGTAAATAAGACAATGCTTTGATTGACTCACGCCCGTGTTCATGACCCCAAAAATATTTACATCTTTGCCTTTCCATGGAAAGCCTTAAATGGTTTCCAAATAACAGAATATGCGAGTCCTGAAAAAGGTGGATGCGACTAAACAAGACACAATTTTGGTCAGGAAAAAGAGGTTATGAAGCCTAATTATTTACCCTTTACTTCATGAGCATATTGTGAAAAATGGCGGTTTTCATTGAAAAGCCTCCTGTTACAAGTTCAAACTGCTATGAAACTATTAAAATGCTTCAATACTGATGAAACTTGGCACAAATGTTGACTAGACCATAGCCACTGTAACAGCATGTTCCTGTTACCATGGCAACGGGGGGACGTCTCAAAATGCAAAAAAATCACTATTTTGCATTGTTTTTTTCCATCAAAACTGATTTCAAAGTGCTGCAACTTCTCAATGGATTGAGATAGAGTAAAGGGCTTTCCAGCATTGGGGGGGGGGGGGGGGGGGTCGAAAACCTGTCAAAACACGTCTATATGAGGTTAAGGGTTAAAGACAGCAGTACAAAAAGCAAAGATTAAAGTAAAGCCGTGACTAACCTGAATTTCGAAGTTTCCAATATGAAGGAAATCAGCAGGATTATTCCAGCCTCCAAAACCAAACCTTGTTCGTAGTTGTATAGCTGCATGTAGATAACATAGGTTATGTAACATCAATGGCCACTCTGCTCGTGTTGACTGCTTCAATATATCTGGCTCAAAGTTGCTAAATGACCGTACTATACTGTCTTTCATCACCTAATAGTTGATAAAAAATTGATGAAATTTCTTAGGATTATTTAGTAATGTATAAACTACATAAAAAGAAAATTGTTTTGTAATCAAAATCATCAATGGTAAAAGAAATTGAACAGGATTTTTCTCAGTAGCATCAAGTTTATATCAAATACCTTCATAAAGATAACATTGAAGATTTTTCAAGAAATTTCTGCAGCGCAAAACACGAAAAACAATTAACAGTATCAGATATGAATAGCAAAATGATATAACATACATGAAAATTTCAATATTATAAAATCACATTGTTTCCATGGTCACATCTCTACTGGGTTTTAGCAAAAGTTGTTACTAAAATATAGTTTTTTTATCATTAAACCATTAAAACACAAACCTTTGGTGAATCTAAGATGGTCCTGACTGAGTTTTGTATGAGCCTGACAGGAAGTACTTCTGGTATGGCTTGACTTGAGATCCAAACTCGGAACTGAGGGTCAGGAGGGGTTGTCGCAGAAAGTTCTTCTAGAATACTCTCCAATGAGAGCAGCAGTTGAGGGGCATTTTGAGCATTGTGTAATAACACCCACATTCCCTGTACAGTCATACATATAACATACAGTAAATATTGGAATAAATTCAAAATTCTGCATGTAAAACATAAAAATTCTGCATGTAAAACATTATTGATAAATCTAACAAAACAGAATACAGGAATTCCTGTAGTGAATGCTATGCGAATAGAAGAGAATAAACTTTAATTGATCACGAGAAATCAAAAAAGCTTTGAATGCTAACTAAATTACATCATCGGTAATCTAATAGATAATGTAGTATGTACGGAATACTGTGGGTAACCAACAATGACTAAATTGTAATTTCCTTTGATTCTATATTCAAAGAAAATATCTTCACAAAAATCAAACTTATTGAAATCCTGCAGTATATAGTAATTTTACATAATGTTTATTCATAGAGGGAAAATTGCCTACCTCTGCCATTCCTTTCTGTAGATATTTTCTAGCAGTTCGTTCAGTGTTCGGATTATTGTCAGTAACTGATACTTGTAGAGTTTTATTTTGTTTCTTGTACGAAAAGTCATTAAACATTTTCAAGGCCACTTCCGCCTCTCTTGTGTATAGGAGCATAATGGGTACCATTGGTGAGCTCTGTTTTACCAATACTGGGAAATCTATCCCCACGTCTCCATAATACCTGAAACAAGTGTTTTATACACACATGAATTTCATGCTAATCTTTCACAATTAATCATTATAATATTATTTGAATTCAATTTAATAATATTTTTGTTTATTACATATATACACATACATCATATATACATTTCTGAGCAATATACAAAAAGGATCGGGCCAAAAGATATTTCAGCATCAACAGGGACCCTCCCCTTTCACAATATTTTCTTTAATAACATATAAAAGACATAACCAAAAATTCAATATATCAAATTGTAGGACAAAAAAAGTTTTTACAAATCCAAGTACAAGTTATTTACTGTATCTAATGGAACAAGGTAAAACTAAACAACTAGTAGGTACCTATAAAACAGGCAGAGCTTGAGATCTCAGTAATAACATATACAATAATATTATATTTCATATATGCTGGTGACTGTATTACAGTATAATATGACTGAATGATGTGATTGTAAAAGGTGACTGTTTGAAATGATTGTGTGACATGACAGTATGAGGTGACTGTATGAGGTGACTGTAAAATGTCCCATTATGAGACAACTGTATAATAGTGACTGTTTAAAATGATTGTGTGACATGATAGTATGAGGTGACTGTAGGATGTGACTGTATGAGGTGACTGTAAAATGTCCCATTATGAGAAAACTGTATAATAGTGACTGTTTGTAATAATTGTGTGACATGATAGTATGAGGTGACTGTAGGATGTGACTGTATGAGGTGACTGTAAAATGTCCCATTATGAGAAAACTGTATAATAGTGACTGTTTGTAATAATTGTGTGACATGATAGTATGAGGTGACTGTAGGATGTGACTGTATGAGGTGACTGTAAAATGTCCCATTATGAGAAAACTGTATAATAGTGACTGTTTGTAATAATTGTGTGACATGAGTGTATGAGGTGACTGTATGATGTGACTGTAAAATGTCCCATTATGAGAAAACTGTATAATAGTGACTGTTTGTAATAATTGTGTGACATGATAGTATGAGGTGACTGTAGGATGTGACTGTATGAGGTGACTGTAAAATGTCCCATTATGAGACAACTGTATAATAGTGACTGTTTGTAATGATTGTGTGACATGACAGTATGAGGTGACTGTATGAGGGGACTTTATGTCATGACTTTATGAGATGATTGTATGAGGTGACTGTATAGGGGACTTTAATGACTCATGACTTTATGAGGTGACTGTATGAGGTAAATGTAAAATGTTATTGTATGAGGTGACTGTATATAATGCCTTCATTAGGTGACTGTATGACATCACTTAATGGCATAAATATACAAGTATATGCTACATGACAGCAAAACTAGTATGACTTAACAAACAACATGACTCTATGAGGCCACAGTATATGCATGGTGTGAGTGTGTACATGACAGAATATGACTTGACTTTACAATATGACTATACAATATGACTGTATGACATAATTTGACTTCAAGCTCTGCCAGATACATACAAGGGTGAGGAAAACTACATGCTTGGTCAGAGAAAATAAAGAAAGACAGAAATATAAAGAATTATTCAATCTAAACATGCTAACATGACATGCACAGAAAATAACTATGAATGGAAGTCAATGAAGAAACTGTTCAGTTTCTTGTATTGAACCTAATCACACGCAAACCAGACTGACGTGAAAAATTCTAACATGCAAACAAGAAGACTGACAGCTAATTAAAACATTTTCAAAAAAATGAGCCCTTCAATGTGCCTGTATACATGTATATATACAATATACATGTATATATACAGGCATAAAACTTCAATAGACTTAACTTTGATAAGTCATGATCAATAATAAACTCACAAAACCAAGTGCTGACTCCCTCCCTACCCTCTTAAAGATGAATTGAGATAAAATTATGCGAGGTAATTTACTTATCTTATGACCAACAGATCGAAAAAGCCATGAAATACCCAAAAGCGTTTTTATCAGTATTTTGAAATAAAACAATGGTGTATCTGTAAGCCGTAAATTTTTCAAGATAAAATTTTTAAATACAACTGTTATGATGCACTTGTATACCATATTACAGAATATATATATGAACAACATAAAATTCTAAAAAATTGTGCATTGGGAAATAAATATATAAAGTAAAAAAATATATGGTACACTCACAACAATAAATGGTTTGTGTCACATTTAAATATATTATTAAATATTAATGTATACTGTTATATGGCTAAGTATAGTCAGTTGTACGCATATATTTTACTTAAACTGCTAAGCAAGGTTTATATTGCAAGCAACCATTCATACAATGCCATATAACCAAATTCTTTATTATATAACAAACTTATAACACTGCAGAATTATATTCATTGATTAAAAAAGAAAAGTATCCATAAATTTGCTGAAGCCATGTTTATATTTGATATAAACATCACTATTGTCCAATATTATATTTTTTATATAAACTTTGCTATTGTCCAATGAAAATTAAGGTTACAAAGATGCAGTGCTATAAATTCAAATAATTTATTGATTATCAGTCCATCTATAAAGTAATGCTATAAATAAAATCACAGCACACATATCAACAAGTGAAATGAAGCATTTACAAAAATTATAGATCAGTTCTATTTTAAAAACAACTCAATCTGCACACTGTACAAAGTATCAGAGTATCTTACCAACTAGGCAGTATCTCCGACATACTGGGAAATTCGTAACAACATAATTTACATACATGTACAAACAGATATATACAAAGACATGTGCAATACAATAGTAAACAATACAAAAACATAACATACTTTTTGTGGGTTTTTTTTATAAAATTTCACTACTGGGCCAAAGGATGTAATTAAAATTTACATCCAAAATATGTTAGTGCTATTTGAAATAAGGTTTTATTAATTTATTATGACTTACCTGATAATTAAACCCTAATCTAGCCTTGAACATTCGCTATAACATTCTCTTATTGGCCTTAATTCATTTTATTTTCATTCTATTTTATTTATATATAAAGTGCAATGTTATATGGAGTTTTGAGAATTCAGGGACAATGTATAACTATAGAGCCATTTCACCATAGCCACATTTGTTTCCAAACTTGCAAAGTACATATATAAAACAAGCATTTATACTAGCTGATGTAATAGTAAATTATGCCATTTCTTTAGACTTGCTGTATATCAAGAAGTTTTGAAAGACTATAAAATATACAATTCATAAATTTATAAAACTGCACGTTTTAAATAAAATTTAAATCATAAATTTTGAAGCAGCCATGTATATGGAAAATATAAGCCTCACAATCGTCCAATGAAAATGGTTGTTACAAAACGTGCAGTATTATAAAATGGCAATGAAGACTTAAAAGTCTATATAGGAAATAGAAAACTATGCATACATCGCGTGCTACTTCTGTGAAGGATTATATATCTTGAGAAAAGTAACATTTCACCATAAAAATAATCTAATACAAAACATAAAAATTCTCCCAAATAAACAATAAAATTAAAAATAATATAAAGTTGGTTTTGTAAAAAGAAAATTTCCATGCAAAAATTTATTATTTCTTGTATGAAATGTTACTGATTTCTATTGGGCTATATGTATTGTTTTTACCCATTTCTCATTGCATATTTCAATCTTTTACTGCAAATGTAGTTATTTCTTCATAAGAATTATTATCAAACAAATTTTTTCTTTTAATACTGTAAAATCAGAAATTTTCATGAGGAGATAAATATTGCTAATTTCAAGTGAATTAATGCTGTCAAATAATATTTCACCATAAAAATAATCTTATGCAAAACATAAACAATCAACCCACAAACAACAAAATTAAAAATACAAGTAACAAAAACAGGTTGAACCGGGTGATGCTCCCTGAGAAGGTTCTGGACACAGGAAAGTATTAAAAACTAGAAATGTGTCATCATGCCACGGATGCCCCCGCATGCAGCCAAAATTTCAGATGGTGCATTAATTTTTTTTTTTCATTTTAAGTTCAAAGCCCTTAAAACTTTTCAATGTTAACATAAACCATTTCAATACAACATTCAAGGCACTGAAATTATTCAGTCTTAACCTTTAGAAAAAGCATATTGCATATTTGTAGCCAAAATAATGGCTAAAAGAATGAGTGCTGAAACTGAAAGTTCAAAATTTTTCCAACATTCAGGGAAGATAAGTTTGTCTAAAATCATTGAACCACAACCAAATTCAATCTTAAACTGCTTATTCCTAAGATGTATCTATATTATTTTCAAAGTGAAAGGGACATAACTCTGCCAAAAAACCATCAAACCATGACCAAATTCCAACTTGACCTGCCCATTCCTTTGACATATCCATATGTCAAATTAAAATTGAATATGTAACACTGTTAGGTAGATAATGAACAGAAACTGTAAATTTCATATTATTTTCAAAGTGAAAGGGGCATTACTCTACCAAAAATCATTGAACCATGACCAAATTCGAACTTGGCCTGGGCATTCCAAAAACATATCCATATGTCAAATTTGAGTTGAATGTGTTGTACCATTGGGGAGATAATAAACGGAAACTGAAAATTTCATATTACTTTCAAAGTGAAAGGGGCATAACTCTGCCAAAAATCATTGAACCATGACCAAATTTGAACTTGACCTGCGCATTCCTTTGACGCATCCATATGTCACGTTTGAGTTGAATGTGTTGTACCTTGAGGGAGATAATGAACGGAAACTGAAAATTTCATTTAATTTTCAAAGTAAAAGGGGCATAACTCTGCCAAAAATCATCGAACCACGACCAAATTTGAACTTGACCTGCGCATTCCTTTGACGCATCAATATGTCACGTTTGAGTTGAATGTGTTGTACCTTGAGGGAGATAATGAACGGAAACTGAAAATTTAATATTATTTTCAAAGTGAAAGGGGCATAACTCTGCCAAAAATCATCGAACCATGACCAAATTCAAACTTGACCTGTATTTTCTCATGACATATCCATATGTCAAGTTTGAGTTGATTGTGTTGTACCGTTGGGGAGATAATGAACAGAAACTGAAAATTTCATATTATTTTCAAAGTAAAAGGGGCATAACTCTGCCAAAAATCATTGAACCATAACCAAATTCGAACTTGACCTGTATTTTCTCATAACATATCCATATGTCAAGTTTGAGTTGAATGTGTCCAACCGTTCTTGAGATAATGAACGAAAACTGAAATTTCATATTATTTTCAAAGTAAAAGGGGCATAACTCTGCCAAAAATCATCGAACCATGACCAAATTCGAACTTGACCTGTATTTTCTCATGACATATCCATATGTCAAATTTGAGTTGAATGTGCCCAACCGTTCTTAAGATAATGAACGGAAACTGATGATGACGGAATGACAGAATGACGGAAGGACGGAAGGACGGAAGGATGGAAGGACGGAAGGACGGAAGGACGGAAGGACGGAATGACGGAACAGGGTAACACTATATGCCCCGGCCATTACATGGCGGGGGCATAAAAATGAACAAAGGGCAAAAACTCCAAAATTAGGCAATGAGATCTATCTACCTACAAAGTTTCATGTTGATACCTCTTATACTTTTAGAGTTATGTCCCGGACAAAGTTTAAAGTGTAAAAATAAACAAAGGGGAATAATTCAAAAATTAGGCAAGGCAGAGTTACGGTTCTTGTGCACTGCACACCTACTCAATGAGATCTATCTACCTACAAAGTTTCATGTTGATACCTCTTATACATTTAGAGTTATGTCCCAGACAAAGTTCAAAGTGTAAAAATAAACAAAGGGGGATAATTCAAAAATTAGGCAGGGCAGAGTTACGGTTCTTGTTCACTGCACACCTTCTTAATGAGATCTATCTACCTACAAAGTTTCATGTTGATACCTATTATAGTTTTAGAGTTATGTCCTGGACAAAGTTCAAAGTGTAAAATAAACAAATGGGGATAATTCAAAAATTAGGCAAGGCAGAGTTACGGTTCTTGTTCACTGCACACCTACTCAATGAGATCTATCTTCCTACAAAGTTTCATGTTGATACCTCTTATACTTTTAGAGTTATGTCCCGGACAAAGTTCAAAGTGTAAAAATAAACAAAGGGGAATAATTCAAAAATTAGGCAAGGCAGAGTTACGGTTCTTGTGCACTGCACACCTACTCAACGAGATCTATCTACCTACAAAGTTTCATGTTGATACCTCTTGTTGTTTCAAAGTTATGTCCCGGACAAGAAAAGGGGACGGACGGACGGAAAGACGGACGGACGGACAAGGCGGCGACTATATGCTCCCCCGAAATTTTTCGAGGAGCATAAAAATGAAGTGGGTTTTGTAAAAAGTAAATGTAATGATGGGTGCCATTACTACATTTAATTATCACATGTTGTCATGGCTGCCATATTGGATTTTATCAACATTTTTTTTTTTTTAATTGTAGGCTTATGTACCAGTCCGAAATATTGATTTTCTGAAAAAAATTTTAAACAAGAAAATATCTCATTTTACAGTATCTATCGTTGTTGATGTGTGTTACATAATATTTTGAATCATATCCAACAGTCCGGCCCCGGCCCCTAGCCCCAGCTTGATATATTTTATATTAATGGCATGTATATGCAGTGCTTCTGAGTGACTATTAAAGTTAAATGTTTTCACTACATGACATGATTAAAGAGTGGGTAAGTTAAAACTACTTTATATTTCATATGAAGATTTGCAACTTTTCATCAGAATAAGTTATACACCAATAGCAAACAAATTATTCTGAACATTGAACCGAGCAGATCTACAGCTAGAACATTGTTTCACACTACTGGTACAATGTATAATGGGTATTTTACAGTTGATGCAAATATTGATTTTGATCCTAAAATTGATCCTTATTTAGATTCTATTTAAAAAAAAAAAATTCTCAATTGCCAAAAAATGCTGTTCAAATGTGTCCAGAATTAAAAAAAAACTTTGATTTTTAAAAAAAATTATTTGGTAAACAATAAAAAGTTTTTGGATACTCTCAGGATCAGTATAAAGTCTATCCCATCATTACATCCTTGCAGTTTGGCCGAACCATATATTTTTACCCCATTAGTTTTAGCTCTTTTTTAAAAAAAAAAATTTAAACTCTTTAAAATAACAAAAGGTCATTCCCAAACTTGATAGCAGGGCTAGAATATAATACAAATTTAGGAGTGTTTACAGATACCGAACAGATACTGAAACATTTACGAGAACTTGACAAGACTGCATATCAAACACAAAAAACTACCTTAACCAAGTTTAGTTGCAGCAACAACAATTCTACAATTAGTCAGCAGTAGACAGCAAATGTTTTACCCCACCCACTACATGATTACATGGTGCAATAGTCGCCTGCACATTCTGTAACTTACCCCTTTCTACCAGCTGGTGCTGGTAAACTACTATAATGCAGAATTAACAAATCAATTATCAGTCAATTAAATCATATACAATCTAAACCTTTCTGACTATACACTTTCATTTTAAATCCTATATTTAAAGCCAATTGTTTTCTTTTCCCAATTAGTTTAAATCTGATTTAGAATAGCTCAGTTTTTTGTGTTTTGTTTTTAATGAAAACATGTAGTTTTTTTTTACCATTCATAAGTCTGATTCCTATTTCTGATCCATAATCAATATTTGAACCGCGCCATGACAAAACCAACATAGTGCCTTTGCTACAAGCATGGATCCAGACCAGCCTGCGCATCCGTGCAGTCTGATCAGGATCCATGCTGTTCGCTATCAGTTTCTCTACTTGTAATAGGGTTTGTTAGCGAACAGCATGGATCCTGATCAGACTGGGCGGATGCACAGGCTCATCTGGATCCATGCTGGTCGCAAACGCATTATGTTGATTTTGTCATGGCGCGGCTCATTTTTCTTTAGAAATAGCTTTGAAACTGTTAGAAAATAAAGAGCAAATTTCAAGAATAGTTTTAATAATCCCTTATGCTATGCCAGAAAAATTAAACTAAATTATAATGAAACTTAATGTCACATACATCTATCTTTATCAAACAAAAATTAGGCTGCAAAACTTAATAAACAAACCATAATCTTAGCTAAATCACCCGCATATGATAGAAACAAACTTTGACACAGGATTCCAAACTAACTATATAAATATTAGTCTATAGATATCCCTTTGTTTAAATTAACTTAATTCCTCACTAATGGAAGCAGGATGTGCAAAATGATACAACTACAGTCCAACCCCGTTTATTCGAAGTGCCTAGGACTGAATATTTACTTCGAAAAATCGATGGGTTCGAATAATCGAAATCCGAATATTGTGATAGATGAAAACTACTCCACTTTGACGAATCGTAGCAAAACTACCGTTTACAACACATTTACTTCCTGTAATCAATTGAGAAAAATAAATATTAAAGAAAAGATGCGTAAAAATTATTGTATTGACATTGAAGACATAAATACTTGCATATTATTCTACATTATGTATTGTTTCGTTTCGCGCAAACCTTGATAATGGCCATGTTGTCGCTACGGTATTTAGCAGCTTAACTCTGGTATTTTCGATTAGGACAAAGGCTCTTATGTAGCGTTTTGGATGTTTTGACAAATTTACATAGACGGTATGTATGAAAAATAGTGCTGTCATCTTCAAGCAATAACAGTAACAAAATCAGACACGGTGCATTGCTTTTCATTTTCGATAGTTAAAGTTAATTAAAGAACACAAAAAGAGCTATTATCACGATTGTCTAAATACATGCATGACTATTGATGTTTTTCACAAGTCGACCAGTCAGCGAGTGGATCTGCGCCAATTAGTCTGACTTCGAATAATAATTAGGCTGGCTTCGAATAATAGGTGTGAAATTCTGTCATAATTGTATATTCGGGACCGAAATTTTACTTCGAAAAATAGGAGGTATTCGGATAATGCATTTCGAACAATACGCTCGTATTTATATTGATTTATATAGAGATAAAAACGGGACCGCCGATCTACTTCGGATAATGCCGGGTATTCGAATAAAGGGTTGTCGAATAACCGTGGTCGGACTGTATATCATGTTTAAACTACAGTATAGGGGTGCATGTTTAAATATCTACTTTAATTCTCTCAACACTGATGGATATCACAATTTAATATGTAAAATATCTTCATAGTACATGTATACAATATTTTGCATACATCACTGAAGTATAAAATAGATATGGCAACAAATCTGATAAACAAATGAATACTGCTCAAGGAAAAACAGACTCAAAGTCACAATATGTATATAAATATAAAAATTAAGTAAAATACAAGTGCCTGGTGTAAAAAAAGTATTTTTTACTTTTACTTGTTAAGAATAGATATAATATATTAATCATTATCTTTTTTACACATGATGATTTAACCTGGTTGTCCTTGAGCTCTACCCAAATGTTGGTCACCACAATGTGACTGCTGTTACAACTTAAATAAGAAGCTGGATCATGGGGCAAGGTATTGGTCTCTGTGGTCAGGAATTTATTATATTTCAGACAAGCTCTTAGTCAAAGTTCATTTCAAAAAACCAAATATCTATAAAAAGTATGTTAACTTACTTTTTGCCAAGCACAACGTTTATAAACACAGTAGAAGCCTGCATGATTTTATCGCTTCTGACAGCACGTACTACACACAAACGTTGCATGGGTTTATACACCTCGTCCATCTTGTCCGGTAGAGGTGTCGTATCAGGACTGTCAGTCTCGCACAAGTTACGCCACTGTGTCTCACGACCATCTTTCGGCATGCGATCAAACATTTCCTAAATAATTATCAATTATCATTATAATTATCTGTAACAATCTCTAATTATCTTAAAAATTATCATACAATTAAAATTTTAACCTTGCTGAATTTGTCCCACTTTTAATTTGGAAAAGCTTATTGAATATGTAAAGGATTTCAATATTAAAATATTGTAATTAAACAAGGTTACCCTGGCTCTGTACAAGTAAAACAGGCAAGTCATAATTGATGCTTGCCATCAAAGACTAGTGGGCAATAAACTTCATCCCATTCATGTCACTTGTTATTTTCTTACTTAGATCTACCATAGCTAAGCAGTCAACCTGTGTGACGTTGATTCACTTGCCCATCACCACTGCAAACTCAAGTCCCACAAAGCAAGTTGAATTCTTTATTTTGGGTTATCTATCTAGCTTCTATTTCATTATTAACATGTTTATTTCTGTAGAAAATAATAACAGAAATAATCTACCTGAAACCATTCGAAATGTGTAGCTAGCACTTGAAGGTTATGGAACTGGTCATCAGTCATCCAATCAAATGGCTTCTTGGTCTGGGTAATCTTGTTCTCCTGAGATTGTTGAATATGACCAAGGGAGAGCATCACTACTGAACTGTAGTCAGGGGAGATAAGAAACTCTCTTTCACCAGGACCAAGACGATCAAGAGAATCTTCAACCTGAAACAGAGCAAAATGTTTAATTTAAGACAAAATAATTTCTCATTCATTAAGCTTTAGCCTGCTGATGCCAACAGATTCTACCCATGTGACTAGTGAAGACCAAAAAATCAGAGGTCAGCCATCAGAACATGATGTACACTTTGTGCTATTCAGTACATAAATTATTTGAAAATTATTATTAAGGGTTTTATCCAGATGCAAAAATAGACAAGTTCCATCAGATATTTAGTGTGATATATTAGGATTAAAATAAAGTTAAAGAGAAACTGATCTTTTCCATGTTATAAATGTAAATAAAGAAATATAACCATTGTCTAGAAGCTTGGGTAATATAACCATTAAGTATTTATACTGTGCTATATAACCTGTCAAACTTATTTATAATATGATAGTATAAAGTTAAAAAACTCAGTTCAAAATAAAGGAAAAGTTCATAAAGTATGTAATCCTTACCTCAATAGCAAGAAGAAGGGCATAGATGAATCTATCTCTCTCAAAGACACCTCTAGCAGTGTAGTAGTATGCATTACTGGTCACTTTCTCTAGAACAGCTTTAATTGCCGACCTAATACAGAAATCATTACAATAACACATCTTTTACATGAAACATACTTAAAACTTTAATATTACACAAAATTCTGACAAAAAAACAATATGAAAAGACAACATAACATATATATAAATAATTCATATGTATTGAATAACTGTGACACTCTTGTCAAAGCTACCTCTAGATATGACAAACAGAATATGAAAGCAACATAATATTATAGATTTTTTTATATTTCTATTGTACATTCTCCTTACACCTTTTAAATGCAGAAGAAGTACAAAAAATTTTCATTACGAATATAAAAATTTACCTTTCAGAATGGCTAATGGCAGCATCGTATATATCAAGGAATCTATTGTAAGAGATCTGATAAAGTGGATTCACTTCACGCATGTACTGAGTTACATCGAAACACACAGCGGCCCTCTGAGCAATTGATCGGAAACCATCTCTCGCCTTCAATATAGAACCCTCACTCATCTCAACTCGGGTTTGTCTGTAACATAAAATAGAGCAATTCTTAACTACATATATTTATATTCACATACAATTCCCATAATAAAGTTTGAATAATTTATTTAAATTTGATTTTAAGAACTACAGTCGACTCCACGTATAACAAACTCGCTTATAACCAATTATCGTTAATAGCGAACTAAATCTACATCCACAGCCAATTCCTTATTTATTTTATATTAAATCACATCGCTTAATACATACTCGCTTAAAACAAATTTTCGGCTATAGCGAACCATTTTTTCAAGTCCCAAACGGGGAAAAAGATGTCAATTTCATCAGTTAAAACAAACTGTTATAATTGAAATATCGGGATGCTCTCAATTAAGATCAGTACATGAATACCGCTATCCAATACTTATTTTAATGAGTGATTTCACAGCTAAGATTAAGATTTTGATAAAATGTTCTTGCAACATAGTTGCCTACTTGTTAGGGAAAATTTGTGTTTCGCACCCTCAGTTGATAAATTGCAGTAAATACCCTATAATTTACCAAACAACTGATTTTTCATTTGCAATATTAACCAAACGATAACAAACAAATAGTAAAAGAAAACACTTTATAGACAAGTACTACATGTCTAAATACATGTACCATGTACATATCATGAAATGACCCGCATTAAATTACCGCTGCCGTAAAATATTGATTATAACAGTAACCAGTGACAGGTATGCCTTTTTCACAGCAAATTTACCCACCCAAACAAGTTAGCAAATTGTTGCTACTTTGCTTTTAGCAAACTTCGGATATAACAAACGACATTAAAATGTCCCATTGAGTTCGTTATAAGCGGAGTCAACTGTATATCATTGTACCAAAAACAAAACAAAATCTTTCCAATTTAAAACTTTGAATCCCTCTACAAGTTTATATGGACATTACAGATATACACCTGGGATAAAAATACAAAATCATAACTGTTTCAATCTAAGACTGTCCGGTTAGCTCAATAGGTAGAGCGTTGGACCGTGAATCAGGCGAACACGTTTGATTCCCGAACGGTTCAGGTCAATTTCGTTGATTGATCATGAAATCTTTTCTACATTCATTCACACTGTACCTCTGCTCTGGCATGTACAGAAGTTTCAGTTCCTTGTATAAATGAAGGCAACTAATACTGGTAAACTGCTTAACAGCTTGCCCAGGAACAATACTGTGGCTGAACCGTGCTCTCATAAATTCAATGTGGCTTACTGCGGTTATCCAGAGTGAAAACTACCAACACCACCACTGTTTCTAGCTAAGCTAAAAGCCCTTAATAATTATTATTAGAAGTACACTCAAGAATAAATATTAATCAATAATACCATTTCTTACAGTAACTATACAGAGGTAAAATAGACACTTACGTCTCCACAGTCTCATCATACTGTTTCTTGAGTTCTGCCAGTTTTTTGGTTGCCTGGAGGTCATTCATAAGTCTAACATCACTAGAGAGGTTAGTTCTCATCTGTTTCTCTAGTTTTGTCCAGAAACTCCATATTCTCCTGTCTCTCCTACAAACATACAGTAATTTAATATATCTCTTACAAACACAGTATTTCAGTGTTATCTTCTTACAGTATTTCAATGTATCTGCTCGAAAAAATATAGTGTTCCAAATATCTCTTACAACCATACAGTGTTTCAATGTAGTCTGCTTGTAAAAATATAGTTAATCCCTGGAAAAACAGACACTAATAATCACTACTGACTACAAAACCTGTAAGTATAACAAACACTGTTCTAAGAGCTGTCTGCTCATCTCTAGTCGAGATTTCTCATGATCCATGAACCTGTTGAGTAATTGCTTCCTCCACGTTCCTTAACCTGTACAGCTGGAAGTACATGGACAGAAGCATACCGCTGCCAGCTGTGGCAGGGGTACATTGTGGCCCTTCCAAACTTTTGGGAAATGTAGGGTACAGCGGAATCTTGCGGTCACACTTCCACCTCATGGTCCCTTCCACCTTCAATTTGGTGAAATTTTAATTCAAAAATTTAGTTTTAAAACATTATTTTTTCAGCTTTTCAAATGTTAATAAAGCATGTAGATTATTTTTGAACCACTGCCCAAACTTTTTTCCGGGGAACAAACCCAGTACGGGTTTGTTATAATTGAGGGACCACGATCACCCCTCCCCAAGATGTTTTAAAACCCCCAAAATTCCATAAAACAAACACATTTTTCACGGGACCTCAAATAATCTAACTTCAAAACTATCACAAACCTAAGAAAAAACAAAAGGGTAAATTAAAAAATAATCTGAAAGGACCAATAAACCTAAAAACCCACACAGTCTTCATTCCAGAAAATATGAAAAAACATTATTCATTTAAATCTATAATAACATTCTAGATTTTAACCTAAATTACACTTTACAATGATTTTAAATCTGTTTTTTCCGTTGATGAAATCTGAGCATCTCTGTATGGATATCGGGAATCTTGCAATCCCTTCGCCAATTTCGTGATATCACAGTCTTTACCAATAATGGGAAACTGCCGTCTGGCTAAAACAAGTTCTCTAGCTAAAGAACGATTTTTCCTGTAAAAAAAAAATAAGAAGGGGTACGCTTTAAAAAAAATTTTTAAAAAAGCTCATCTACTTATCTTGTAATGGATGGAATAGGAGAAAACAAAACAAAATGCACGGTAAAAAAAAAATCGTCTTCCATCTAATCTTTTCTCTGCTGAATTTCTCATATGGGACTTGTCCATTATTAATTTTGGGGATAATCAAGATAAAAACCCAGTATAGACCTTTGGGCAGATCTGACTGCACTCGTAGCATGCTGGCCTGGGCGTCTATACTTGATTCAAAGGCTAAAGTTCTTTTTCAGTTTCAGCAGTAGAACAATTTGTAAAACTGTTAAAGTTGGACATTACTACATTTCCATTAACAAGTGTTTAAACCAAATGAAAAGCTACTTGATGATAATGACTTTGCTAATGTCAGCATTTATTAAGCTATACCAAGCATGCAGTGTTATGCAAAATCCAAACACTTTACTTCTGGATACTTACTTTAAGTAAACTTGGTAAAAAACCCTAACTCATTTTACAATGGACTAGCCCAAAGTCAAAGTGGAACAAGTCAAAAGTCAAAGTGGACAAGTCAATATACAAATTTGGAATATTTCATCCAATATTAAACTTACAGTATATCTAACTTCAACAAGTCCCTTTTCCTTCATTCTGCTACCTCAACCATTTCTATAATACGAGATGTTGGGTCACAGACAAGGGGTCCATGCTGTTATACTCTCTCCTTGCATTCAGGAAACATGCATTCTCCAACATTGAGGGCGTGGTCGTTAGGGAGTATCTCAAGTTGCCATGATATCCAACTGAAATAATTTTAAGCCCAACTTCATTTCCCCATTTTCAGCCGTTTAATTCAAATATTACTTACTATTATAACTATTTTTTTTGGTTTGTAATAATCAGTTTGTCAACATCATCCTAAAGGTTCTTCATGCACTTATTCTTAATCATTCTTTGAATTGTTTTTGTTTTTAGCATTGTTGAAATTTGTTTTTACAACAATGAACAATCCAGTTAAGTTACAGCTAAAAATATTTTAGTGTTTGCAAATTATTCTTCTTTTTTTCATACAAATTGTTCTTTTACACAAATTACTTGGTTTATTAACAAAAGTTGTTGCAAAAATTATACAAAATTTTTTAAGGATTTTATTTAGAGCAGGGTTTTTATTTTTGATGATTTGCAAAGTAGCCCGAGCAGTTTTTTTCCTGGGACAGAACAGTTTCTAAAGCCCCACTTGTGGCTTAGGGAAAAGAGGAAAGCTTCTGTGAATGTTTAGAACTTACCTGTGTACTAAAGAAGTCAACAATCTGAATGTTTCTGAACAAAACTTCTTTTTGGTAACGGGCATCCATCGATGTTCACACACCTGCATGAAAAAAAAACTCTCCATACGCTTCTCGTTATAGTAATAGAGAAATATAACAATAAAATTTCCTTTGCCCTTACATTTAAAAATTCTTTTTTTTGAATTTTAATTTTTTACCTATTTATTTGGTATTTTTTAAAAAAATTTACAAATTATCAAAAAGACTTAAAAATTTCCAATGGGTTGCGAATCAAAAATTCATGGAGTTTTAAAGGGGTAAAATTTTGGTTTTAAAGTGTCAAAAACAATTTAAAACCCAATTTGACTTTCCCTTTAATGGAAACCAATAAAAAGAAAGACAAGCCTGTAAAATTTCAATGAAAGCCCAGCCCCAAAAACAAATTCAAACTTTTTAGTTTTGGGCTCATTTTCACCATGTTGATCTGTAATTGAAAATTTTTTTTTTGCCTTAATGTAACAGTTTTGCCCTAGTTTTTTTTTCGAACAGTTTTTTTTTAAAAATTTAAATTTTGAATTTTAAAATCAATTTTAAAAAAAAGAGCAAAACCCAATGGGACGTAATGCCATCTGTTTAAAATTTTCAAAATTTAAAAAAAGGGGACTATTACTCCAAGAATATTGCTTTCAAAATTATGCCCCTTATCTAACAACTGCACCTTGTCATAAGCTACTAAAAGGTACCACATATATAGGGATAAAATAACAATGGACACTTTTCAAATTAAAAAAGCAGCACAAGTCTATTATACAAATTTAACAATGTTTAAGGAGTTAGAATAATTAGAACATTTACCGGGTACCCTGGTATCCATGTTTATGTGGACCACAGTAAATTAAGGAAGGCAGACGCAGATATACAGTTTGCCAGCAATAGTTCATTAGAATTCATTTGTCCTTCACATGTTGTTCCATTCTTCTTCCTGTCCTTTTCAAAACTATACAACACAATTAAAATACATACATTAATATGTACAGATTTTCATAAAATATACATATATACATACACAGAATTTTATATTGAATTGTACCAGAAATACAGGAATTTTATATGAATTGTACAGAAATACAGAATTTTCCATTTGAAAATGTACATAAATCAATGTATAGATTTTCTTGAAAGTTACATTTTAACATACCAATTACTTGAACAGATTTTCTTGTAAAAATATGTAATATAGATACATATTTTCTAGGGAAATCTGCATAAATATTTTCTTTTGAATTTCAACAAGTTTTTTAACTTTTTACACAGTCAGATTACAATTACAACTATACATACCGTCAACCATTTCTGTAGCAGCCTTCAGCCTTTCATTCATGGATATGAGTTCCATTTCGAGGAATGTTTCTCCACGAACTGCCTGATCAAACTCAGCCTGTAGTTTGGTTCAAACCTTTCATCCTGTCTATACTGTGCGAAAGGGATCTCCTCCTCATACAACTTCTTCCGGGTGCTTTCACCTTTCCTCCTTTGCTTCCTCCTGCCGGCTACAAGTTAACTCAGATCATATGTATAGACATGTAATATAATTATAAACAAATATTGTTGGGGGATGTCAGCATTTTATGCCTGGTTTACACAAAGGTACTGAAATAATGTTTAGTTTGTTTAAAAACAAAGGGTATTTTTTAAAATTCCCCTTTGACATTTTGGAAAAATTTTTAAACCAATAAATTGAAAGGGTATAATAAATTATAATTTTTTACAGTTTTTTTTTTCCATAAAATTTTTTTAGTTCTTGATCTTTTTTTTACTTTAAATCAAAAAAATTTTCATTTTTTGGGAAAAAAAAAAAAAATGGGGAAAAAAAAAATGTCACTAGGGAATTTTAAAACCATTTCTATAAATTTTAACGAAAAGGGAAAAGCTGAAATTTTTGAACCTCAATTTATTGCCCAAAAAAGGGGTTTTGCCCTTTGGGTTTGAAAATTTTTCTGATCTTAAAAGAAAATTATAACAAAATTTTCTTTTTAAAAAGAAGTATTCATAAAAATTAAACCTTTTATACAATTTTTAATACAAAAAACCAATTTTTACTTCTTCAAAAAAATTTTTCAAAAACATTTCAACAACATACTTTAATTTTTTTAGATTATATGTTTTAGTTTTCTTTTGGATATTTTTGGGTATTCTTTACTTTAAAACAAGTATATTTTCTGAATTTCCCTTTTTAAATGAAATTTAAAATTTAAAAAATTAAAAAAAACTTTAGTTTTTGCCATTTTACATGCAATTTAATTGGGATTCTTTTCATCTTTTTAGTTAAAAAAGAATAACAGCTTTTTAAATTTGGGTTCCCTTTAAAATTTTACAAGGTTTTAAATTTTATTTTTTAAATTGGCGAAATTTTTTTAATTAAATAAAAAGGAAATTTAATGGAAAAATGAAAACTTTTTTTGACTTTTGCACCCGTTTTACTCACTTATTAATACCCCTAAATGGGGCATAATGTCAACTTTAAGGAACTTGAATTTCAAAGTGGTAAAATGCCCTACAAAAAAATCTGAAACCCCCAAAAGGGAATATTTTTCCTTATGAAAAGGGTTAATTTCACATAAGAAGAGGGGCAATTTGTCCCAGGTAACCAATCTTAAAACCAATGATTCAAAAATTAGTTTTTAATACATTTTTCCATTCAGTTTTTGTCTTTTAATTTTTAATTTATCAAATTTCATATTTAACCAGCAAATTGATAACTTTCAGTGAAAATCTATATTTATAAAATACTTGCATGTAATTTTTAACAAAACATTAAAAAAATTTGTAAAATGGCAGCAAAAATTAAAATGAAATAAACAAAAACATTACAACAGTAAATGAGAAAAATTATTTACAAAATACATAATGTAGTACTCAGAATAATTGTCATATTAAATACAATTTACACAGAAAAGAGTTAATTAATGTTTTCAAAACTGGCAATCCATCAATTTGGATAAAAAAGTTATATTTATTTTATTTGCTGTCAATTTTTGTATCAGATTCATTACTTATTGTAATTAAAAGAAAACTATGACAATATTATGAGAACTGTATCAATAAATAAAAGGGCATAACAAAATGAATTAAAAACTGACAGAATCTCCCACATAAAGTCTCTTTAACAGGGTAGACATTCCCCTAACTTTGTTGAACCTTAGACGTTTAGCTAAAATTTTAGCTGCCTGAAGAGCAAAAAGGAAGACATAATTTGAATTGCAGGAAAATTGAGACATTTAGCTTTTCAGTATTCAGAAAGCTGGCTCAAAGTGTACTTTTGAAGTCTAGCATAGAACTACTATATTTGTAATTATCATATCTTGTAAAAAATTAGCTTAACACTACAGTTTGACAACTACAGTGATGTGAGCTAAAAGTGTTTTTCATGACTCTTGTGGTGCTATATACATGTATGACATATTTTCCCCTAATATCAAATTTTCTAAACTATTTAATGAAAAAGAAATTCAATTTTGTCACATGGCTGCCATTTTGGAACAACATTACAACATACTGGTTGAAAAATTCAAAAGTGGCTGGTGTGGTTATCACCCTAATCTCATTAAATAAAAATTTGAGCCGTGTCATGACAAAACCAACATAGTGGGTTTGCAACCAGCATGGATCAAGACCAGCCTGCACATCCGTGCAGTCTGATCAGGATCCATGCTGTTCACTGTCAGTTTCTCCACTTGTAATAGAGCTGATAAGCGAACAGCATGGATCCTGATCAGACTGCATGGGTGCGCCGGCTGGTCTGGATCCATGTTGGTAGCAAACCCATTATGTTGGTTTTGTCATGACGCGGCTCATTAATAGACAATTAATGAAGCCTGTCAAAACTACCATGTTTGGTTTAATGCATAATTTGAAATGTTTGTCCCTACCTCTCTCCCACTTAAATTTACATTCCCCTATCCCTGCACTATATATCTATTCAGGCGTGGGCACCAATACTCAAGTACTACAACAGTAGGGCGCCAATGCTCAAGTACTACAACAGTAGGGCACCAATACTCAAGTACTACAACAGTAGGGCACCAATACTCAAGTACAGTGAGTTGGCCAATAACGGATCACTAGTGAAACTTTTAGTGTTTATGAACGAATGATTTTTAAATTCTTAAATAAATGTATGTAGATTTGAAGTATTTTTATTCCTCTTTTATTATATTTCTTGTGAATTTGTATTTTGAATGCATCATGGTGCTTTACCCTTTTTCAAACATCTAGTAAAACATTTGCCCCAATAACGGGTCAAATCAGCCATTAGCGATCACGTGACATACGAATGGGGATTGTCTCAAAACAAGAATTTTCTGATCAAATTCGCTGAACAAAAAAAAATGCAACAAATATATGTCACCCTGAAATATCAGAGTGTAAAAGGGGTACCACTAAGTAAAGAATTAAAAGAGGCAATGAATGATTGGTTAAACAAGAAGTTAAATGTTATGATTTAATAATGGTGAAACTAGATAACCCTCTTAATGATTTGTGTAGGCAACAACCACAAAACAAAATGGCTGACATTCGCATTGAGATGTTTATTACATATGAAAAAGAGTTAAGAGAGACATCTCCACTCTACTAATCAATTTTAACTGGGCACAAATATTTAAAGAAGACAAGACTATTGGACAAAATTATCATATAAAATTTTTCTGTATCAACATCAGAATCCCACGTATTAGTTTCAATATTTGAGCAATATGACATGCAAGTGACCATTGTAACAATCCAATGCTCAATGAAAAAGCAACAATTCTGAATTAAAATTAATCCCTTCAATAAAAAGAATATAAGAGCCTAAACTTATGTGAAGTTTTTAAAAGAAAATATAGTTCAAAAAAGGAAGATTCTTTGAAATAAACGTTGAGTAATGACAAAAACGTCTGAACAATTTTCTAAAAGTTACTATAATGGGGAGGGGGGGGGGGGGGTAAATCATAGAAATATTCATTATTTAACAATGTAATGTTGTGATAATAAGATAACGTAGAAGCCTTGAGCAATGAAAAAAAAAATGGAGAATAATAAAAATTTAGTTTTAATTAAAATTTTGAACAAAATTTTAAGTTAAAGCCCTAGTTCTTAAAAAAATATACTACATACTTTGGAGCAATATTCTTGAGGAATAATTCTGTAAAAATCGTCTTTCAAAAATCATGTTTTCGCGGATGTAAAGGAACAATATTTGTAGTTTGAAGGGAAAATACATTAAGAAATAAAGAATTGCGTAAAAAAATTTTTCTTAATGAAAAACTTAATCCAAGGGAGACGATAATTTCGGGAAATAGTTTTGCCAGAGTTATATCCTTTGTCACATAATATGTGGTTGAGATAAGGAACATTTATTATGATTTGAATTTAAGTTGATGCTTAAAAAAAAAAAAAACATGTTTATGTTAAAAATATTTACTGCAAAATTTACTGCAAAAAATCTTAAACTGAAATTAGGGAACAGCGCTGGGGTGAGGACAAGTCTCAATATATATGTCATATAAATAGCTGAAAAATTATTTCTTTGTATCTGATTTATTTAATAACAATGATTTATTGAGTTATATATAGTCTGGGGAAAAATGGGATTACCTACGTACATGTAGCCTGTATAACAGTAATGTACTATTGCAGCTGTTTATTACTGCATAAAATACTTTTTCGCCATGGACTGCATAATTCGAGTTGCCAATATTAACATAAATCATTTAAAATTTATATTATTTTATTTACTTATTGGTCTATAAACTAAAATTTTTGTAAAAAAAATATTTTTTATATCAGGTTTTATAAACTTTGAGGCGGTCCCTTCCTATAAAATTTCATGATCCGCTTTTTGGACAACTCGGTCAAATTTCATGTTGAATAGCGCTATCAAAACAAATTCCTCAAGTATTTTTTTAAACGGTTTGGTGTTGCAGGTAGCTAACATATTGGGCATCAAATATCTACCAGCTTTGATCCAATAACTTTCGAGTTTTTATGATAAATAAGGCAACAATTTCAAATATGCGGTGTCAACGGCGCTAAATTTCACGAGAAACGGAAACGCTTGGTTAAGCACCTGAGTGAATCTGATATGAATTACACGGATGTTTACATTTTTTTTCCACAAAACAACCTTCCTGACAAATTTCCAGAATATTTGAATGAAAACTGCAGCCACTAGAGTGTTAACAAGCTTTTTCTATTTTTAGCTCCTGTGACCTAGTTTTTGACCCGAGATGACCCATCTTCGAACTTGACCTAGATATCATCAAAAAAACCTTCCTGACAAATTTCCAGAATATTTGGATGAAAACTGCAGCCTCTAGAGTGTTAACAAGATTTTTCTATTTTTAGCTCCTGTGACCTAGTTTTTGACCCGAGATAACCCATCTTCGAACTCGATCTGTATTTCATTGAGACAAACATTCTGACAAAGTTTGATGATGATCCAATCAAAAAACTGTGACTGCTAGACTGTTAACAACCCAATTTTTAGAGTGTTAAACAAGCGTTTTCTATTTTTAGCTCCTGTGACCTTAGTTTTGACCGGAGATGACCCATCTTCGAACTTGACTAGATATCATCAAAATAACCTTTCCTGACAAATTTCCAGAATATTTGATGAAAACTGCAGCCTCTAGAGTGTTAACAAGCTTTTTCTATTTTTAGCTCCTGTGACCTAGTTTTTGACCCGAGATAACCCATCTTCGAACTCGATCTGTATTTCATTGAGACAAACATTCTGACAAAGTTTGATGATGATCCAATCAAAACTGTGACTGCTAGACTGTTAACAACCCAATTGTTGACGACGAATGACGCACAACGCACGCCGGACATAGCCCCATCACTATACCTCACCATGACCACTTCGTGGTCAGGTGAGCTAACAAGAGCTTGGATAATGTAGAACTTAGTACAAAGTTCAAAAAGGGCCATAATTCTGTCAAAATCCATTGTTCAGTTATGGGCCTTAACCTCCTACTGTGCTTTCAAATAAGTGCATGAAGCTTTAATAAATTCCCTTTAGTAGTTTTGGAAATACCAAATTGCACACAAAACCTTAACATGCAGGGAGAAGTACAATAACTCCTCTGATTCCTTGAATTAACAAACTTAATAAGAATCCCTTCCTAGAAATAGTGGATTATAAATATTTTCTATAATATCAGTGCTAAAAACCTGCAAAAACAAAATTGTTAAATTCTTCAAGCAGATTAAAAAACAACAATTAATCACACTGATTGGTTATCACAACAATAAAACCATCACAACAGTACCAGAATGCATCTTTTGTGTTATCAAAAGAATAACACCATGCATGTAGTGTTATCAAAACAGCCTATATTAATAATGTGTTTACACAACTATAACACCATGCTGTGTTCTCACAACAGACTGTGACATTTATGTGTTATGTTTTACCTTTTGTTCCTTTCTCTCTGCCTGTAGGTTTTAAAGTTTACAGATTTAATTTTTTATTTGACTGAGTAAGGGCAAATAAGTATGATTATTTTTTTTTTCAACACAAGTTATCTTTCTTGCTAAAAGAAATGCATTGAAATAACATTTAGTGTAAGTGAATGACAGGTAATTTCAAAACATCCAGTGCAATCTACAGAAGATTCATGTATATGTTTAAAATAAATTAAATATACATTCTAAAACCAATTTATATAACACGTATTAATGGGCATCTGAATGTCAAGTTTTACCTCTTGTTCTTTTTCTTTCTGTAGCCGATCATTTTCTTCGATTTCTCGTTGTAACTCATTCATACGTTCTAGAGAAGCTTTCAGTGGACCACATCTTCTTGTATACTCTACGATAGCTATAGTGTACTGTACCAGGGTGGCGGAGTCCTCGCTCGAGTATTTGGCACCGGCTATTGTGATACCTTTAGTGTTATCGGGAGATGGCGTTCTCTTCTTAGCATGAATGTTTACATCTACAATTATAGTATAGTTAATATCTTAATCTTAACATACATTTCTAAAGAATTATTTGATACAAAAATATATTCTTAGATTAAACATAGTTTCCTCACTTAACATGTTCTCGAAAAAAATACCTTATATAATAGATATGCTAGACACTGTAAAATCTGATTATAAGGGCAGAGTTTATCTAGAGTTTAAGGTGCCTCTCATACATGGGATTGTGGGTTCGAGCCCTATTTGGATCACAACCATGTTTCCTCATGTGACACCAGTACTTATAGTAAGTTTCAAGAAGCAGATTCAAGTTAAGCCAATACCAAATTCATTACAACATAATTATACCTATAAGAAGACATTTTTAGTTGATTTTTGTTAATGTTTACCATCAAGAAAAAATCACATGGTTCAGAACATTATTATTATCACTGACAGCACTATGCTGTATTGAAGATAAAACTGTTAAATGTTTTCTAATTTATCAACCATAATAATTTTCCTATCAACATCTACAGATACATACCTTGAGCATTTTCCAGTAGAGAACCTTCCCCAGTGACACCAAGTTCTCCGTCTTTACCCTGGGAGAGACAACTCTCCACAGCTGAAATATACAATATACTTACATTATATATGCTTAGTAAGACTCATATTTGAAAATATTAATTTGTTTCTAGTGAATATATAGAATATCTGCCTCAAATGATGCTTTATTTTGTTTCTCTTTTCAACTTGTAATAATGAAAATAGATTTTACAAATTTCATTTGCAATCAAGCTCTGCACATAAATTTTCTATAATCTGCTAGGTACCTCTTTCAGGCTATATTCTATCCTGTATCCAGTTAGCAACATATGTACCTAATAATATATACCCATTTAAAATAACACATTCTATGTATTTTCTTAACATTTTTTTCTTTGTTTGTAAATGATATAGAATTACTGTAGGTTATATTATATATTTACCTCTAAGAACATCCTCTGGTAAACCATCTTCCCATGACACATTATGTAACATGTCAACAAACTTTGTAGAGTCTGACATAGTGTTTACCATTGCCTTCCATTGGGCTCTATCTACTCGCCCTGTCTCATCTTTCTTACCTAAAATTATCAAAAATATCTACATATACATGTATTCTATTGTTTAGATGTTTACCTGAAACATAATAAGTCATTGAGGAATCGCAAATCATATCATTTATTAAACAATGTCTGTGAACAGTATGCAAAATAGTGTTGAACAATGTGAACAGTACACAAAAACATAATTAAACAATGTCTGTGAACATAATTAATATAAACAATGTCTGTGAACTGTACATAAAACATATTTAAACAATGTCTGCAAACATAATTAAAGAATATCTGTGAACTGTACATAAGACATAATTAAACAATGTCTGTTAAAATAACATTTAACAAAGCTTTACAAATTAAAGTTTAACAAAGTCTGAGAACTGTACATTTACAATAGCATAAACAAAGTCTATGAGAGGCATAAACAATGTATACAAAACACTTAAGACAAAAAATTAAGCACTCAAAAAAACTACTTAAGATATCAAATAACATGTCAAAAATCTTAAATATTTCAAGATTGCCATTTCAAGGCCAAAGAAGTAAGTGTTAAATTAATTTTATTTCAAGAAGTTAACTTTAGAAAACAAATAGATAAACAATCTGCTGTTTTAATATATTATAAAAATCGAAAAATCCATGCAGTTTATTAGAAAGAATGATCTTATCTCAACCATTATCTTTTTAAAAAGTACTCCGATAGGGAAAACTACATTATGTGCCTGAAAGGGCAGATGTACATTCATTATGCAGAAAATAGGAACATATATACATATCTCTTTATTAGACACAGATGCAAAGGGCTTAACATGAAAAGATTAGGACAGAAAGTGTATATTGTATAATTTTTTTTTCTAACAGACAAAATATGAACAAGAGGGCCATGATGGCCCTAGATCGCTCACCTGACTTATCAAACTCATCCAAACAATTACCTAGACAAGCATTTTGACCAAGTCTCATGACAGGTGAGTCAAAAATGTGACCACTACAGTGTTAACAAGGATTATCCATATTTGAGCAGTGCGACCTAGTTTTTTACCCAGGTGACACATATTCAAACTTAACCTAGAAATCATCAAAACAAACTTTCAGACCAATTTCCTGGATACTTGGATCAAAACAGTAGCAACTAGAGTGTTATCAAGATTTTTCTATTTTTAGCTCCGGTGACCTAGTTTCACATGCAATTTCGAACTCATCCAAGCAATTACCTAGACAAGCATCCTGACCAAGTTTGATGATAATTGAGTCGAAAATGTGACCACTAGAATGTTAACAAGGTTTTTCCATATTTGGGCGGTGTGACCTAGTTTTTCATCCAAGATGACCCATGTTCGATCTTGACTTAGAAATCATCAAAACAAACTTTCAGACCAATTAACAGAATATTTGGATCACAACAGAGTGTTAACAAGATTTTCTAGTTTTAGCTCCTGTGACCTAGTTTTTCATCCGAGATGTCCCATGTTCGATTTATTCCCAGCAATGACTAGACAAGTTTCCTGACCAAGTTTGATGACAATTGAGTCAAAATTGTGACCACTAGAGTGTTAACAAGGTTTTTCTATTTTTAGCTCCTGTGACCTAGTTTTTCATCCGAGATGACCCATGTTCGAACTCATCCGAGCTATCACCTAGACAAGCATCTTGATCAAGTTTGATGATGATTGATGCAAAAATGTGACCGCTAGAGTGTTAACAAGGTTTTTCTATTTTTAGCTCCGGTGACCTACTTTTTCATCCGAGATGACCCATGTTCAAACTCATCCGAGCTATCACCTAGACAAACATCTTGACCAAGTTTGATGATGATTGATGCAAAAATGTGACCGCTAGAGTGTTTACAAGGTTTTTCTATTTTTAGCTCCGAATACCTACTTTTTCACCCGAGATGACCCATGTTCGAACTCATCCGAGCTATCAACTAGATAAGCATCCTGACCAAGTTTGATGATGATTGATGCAAAAATGTGACCGCTAGAGTGTTAACAAGGTTTTTCTATTTATAGCTCCGGTGACCTAGTTTTTCATCCAAGATGACCCATATTTGAACTCATCGGAGCTATTATCTAAACAAGCATCCTGACAAAGTTTGATGATGATTGGGTCAAAAATGTGACCGCTAGAGTGTTCACAAGGTTTTTCTATTTTTAGCTCCTGTGACCTAGTTTTTCATCAGAGATGACCCATGTTCGAACTCATCCAAGCAATTGACTAGACAAGCATCCTCACCAAGTTTGATGATGATTGGTTCAAAAATGTGACCACTAGAGTGTTCACAAGGTTTTTCTATTTATAGCTCCTGTGACCTACTTTTTCATCCGAGATGACCCATGTTCGAACTCATCCGAGCTATCAACTAGACAAACATCCTGACCAAGTCTGATGATGATTGGGTCAATAATGTGACCTCTAGAGTGTTCACAAGCAATTGTGGACGTACGACGTACGGACGGATGACGGACATTCACCGATCCTAAAAGCTTACCCTGAGCAAGCTCAGGGGAGCTAAAAAAGGAATAAGAGTCCTGCACATTAAGAACATGATCACGCACAAACACACACAAACAAACACACACAGAAGAAAGAAATTCTAGAGACATCCATAAACACAATGCAAATGACAAATTCACAGACAAACAAAACAGAATCACTCAAATGACAAAATTGCTGACCAATTTACATATTTAATTCAAAGAAAGTGGGTGAACAGAAACCAAAGTGTATTCTTTTTATTATATTCATGACTTCAAATACAAGAAATGTTAGTAGTCCTCCATGAAAAAACCATCTGAATATATGAGTAATAAGAGTATTGTTACAGTTGTTAAACTATTTGTTGTTCCTCTTCTTGGATTTAACAAATCAGTTGGGTCATTTACTGCCACACAGTTGCCTAAAGACTTTTCTTTTCTAGTTTAAACAAATTCACCTCAAGTATATGTCAACTTCCCCACATATATTATTAAAAACAGCAGTGGGGGATGAACGGCATGGTTCATATTGTTCTTCTTCAAACCATCGAATGGAAAAAAGGTGCACTGCCCGAAAACTCGGAGAAATTTATTTCAAATCAAACAAATATATTGTACCTTGCATAAAGATACCAATCTAATATGCTAAAGTTGTGTATATAAAACAGATTAGTGCAAAACCACCAAAAAAAGAATAAAATTAACATTAAAATAGGTGTGTTAAAAGAGTGTAACCAAAAGGAATAAAAGTGCAAAAATTAAGATGAAAATGTTAATCAACCACCATAATGAAATATAAAGATAAAGCATAATACCCGCAATTTTGTATTCCACTAAAAATTATGCAAAATAGATTCATAAGAAATCAAAAATACCGTACATATTTTTATAAAAATCTACAAATGGAAATGTTGATTCACTATTTCTATTAAATAAGGAACCATTTCCAGGGAGACCCAGTTCACCATTTTCTAAATAAATCTCCAAAATGTTAAGGAATAAAGTTGAAAATTGTTTTGGGTGTTACTTTTTTTCTCGCCATGTAGAGACTCCTGATCAAGTTCATATATAACACTCATTGCTGGAGATTTCACTAACAATAAAATATCATGCTTTACTTAGTGAATTTACTAAGATGATTGTGAAGTGAAATTAACATAAACATGTACTTTATCACATGACTCCTGCTTGTTTTCAATGTTATAAACAATTATTACACAGTTTCTTTACATATGTCAAAAAACCAACCCTTGAAAGGGTGATTTTACCTTTTTTTATATTTTCTGGCTTTAAAAAAATAAAATTATCATGTGATAATATGAATCTTACACATGTCATAATTTCATTTCATATAGACCTAGATTACAATTATCCAAAAAAATGTTATAACAATGTCATAAACTTCAACACAGGCTCATTTTATAACAATTTTCAAGACTTGTACAAATCTTTATGAAATGACATGGTCTGTAATATCCAAAATATAAACCAGTAAACAAAGTTAATTTTCCTAATTCAAGTGATGATAACAATTTGCCAATCATCCTAGCATTATGGAAAGGCGACAAATTTCTGCAGTCTAACAAAACGTTATACTATTGCTCGACGAATTTTAGCATTTTGATATTAAAATCAATGAATATAATGACAGGCCATTCAAAACACAAAACAGGGCAAACATATCATACAAACTTTCATGTAGTAAAGGTTATTTGTTATTATTACATAAATAATGTGAACATTATTATAAGTAGAATATGAAATGATAAATTAGTCTGAATTGTTCATACAATAAAACAATAAATTTGTAATGTTCATTAGTGATCCATTCAAATATTAGTATTTAATGTGATTTCCTTCATTTAATCTTATATTTATCTTATGCTGAGTAATCTACATATAATGGTAACACTTATGTTCCATGATCTTATAACAGCATTGTATTGAAATTGAAGACAAAGTAGTTTCTGAATGCATCAGCCATTTGTTATCCCCAGGGTTTGATTGTTCCCACCATTCCCCAGGTAGTACAACTTGGAGCTGGGATTTCAATCAACTAGCACATCAACATTTAATTTTTATAGAGAATGTTTTCTTTAGAGGCTTACTTTTCTTCATGATCTTGGTCCCACTGGAGCTTGACGACATTCTACTTGACATGTTGTCATCTTTCCCGCCATAATCCTTCATCTCAATCCTTTGTGAAGGTAAGCGTTTACCAATCAAGATCATGATCATCTCCATCACCATGCCAACAAGAACAGGAGGACTTGTAAATGCTCGAAGTCTTTCGATCACATTTCTGTCTACTTTACCTTTCCAATGCAACACCTGTAAATAATTATATTATTAGCTATTATGGCAAACATTTAAGTCATTTGAATGTACTTTCAAATACTGGTTCATTTTTTTATCAGAACTGATAATCTGCATGTTATGTTTAATTTAGACGCCAACATATATGTGGTCTGTCTAACAGGTGAGTTAATCGTGGGAAGTGGGTTGTGGGGGGAATGTACCAAGTTCCTATCTTTCATCTGTTCTCACAATGTATGTGGAGATTTTGTTTGGCACCAAAGTGGCTGGGGATTAGTCAATCTCATAGTGTTAGCACTTTTAGCAAAGAGTTTTTTGTATCCCTGCAAGGTGGGGTCTGTAAAATGGGTTCAATAATCCAAGAGTCTAGGCCCAATATTCTTATAGAGTGGGATGGGGGAGTGCTAGTAACAATTGAATAAAGCATAAACTTTTTTTATATGATTATTAAGAACAGTTCATATGATGATTTAGAAGTTAATACATGACCTAGAAACACACCAACAATAATGGTCCATTCATGCAATGTAATATTGATCAATAAACAATCAAATTATAATGTTCTAATCAAGGCCATTAAGAGTTTTTAAAAGCCTAAGTTATTCATTGGTAAAGAAAATCTATAGTATAAATTATAAACAAAGAAATATAGGACACGTTAAAAAAGTATTGTTTAAAAGTAATTCAATATTTAAGTACCCAATCACGCATGACAATACAAATGACTTTATGCTTGTATTTGAAACTATTTTTTTATTTAATTCTGTCAAGGCTTCAGAAATGAAGGGGTGGATTTTGTTTAAGACCAAAAAGCAGATTGGAGTAATTATAGTTCTAACATTTACCATTAATGTTATTATACTTTGTGCAGGTCTTTCTTTCTTAATATCAAGTGAACAAGGTTCTTCACAACACAAACTTTCCAGTAAATATAAAACACAAAAACTAGCAAATATGGAATACAATTCAGCAGAAAATTCTATGGAAAGAAGACAGATATCTCATTCAAAAAACTTTAAGTCAGGCAAGCGGAATATGTTTTCCAATCAAAAAGGACAAATGGATTTTATACCATCAAAAAGAATGAATGATGAACGGAATACTTCGAATGAAAAGGGAGAGCCAATTTATCAAAAATCTGGTAACCAAGATAAAGCTCTTCTTTCAAAAAGAGTCGAAGCAGTTAACAAACATAAGTTAGAGGAGATAATAGCTCTTGCTAATGAAAACAATGGACCAGTTTATCATATGTATGACGACAATGTTGAAACTGAACATGTAAAGAAATCAGCTTATAAACATGAAATAGAACAAAATAGTGATACTGATCATGATGTGGGGAATATTCATATAGGCAATACGTTACAGGATGATTTAGCTGTTAAACTTGATCAAATCTATGAAGAAAATCATGCAATACCAAAAACTTTTGATGAAAATTACATAAAATACTTTTGGAGCCATCCTGAATTTCGTGAGAAAAATAACAACTTAAAAGTGGCTAAAATAGATCACAGAAACACTGGTGGAGTTAATGATAAAATGAGAGAAGGGAAAAATGAAAATGGTAATTTTCAAGACAAACATGTAAAGAACATTATAAAAGAAATACCAAAGAATAATCAAGACAAGAATAATGCCATGAAAAATAAAGAACCTACAAATGTTCATCAAAAGAAAGGTAGAACTTATATCACAATGCACCCAGCCAAGGGTAAACTTGGTAATCAAATGTTTCAATTAGCCAGCTTACTTGGTATTGCAGAAAGGGGAAACTTTACTCCATTTTTACAAATGTCTCAATTTGAATTAGACGAAGTATTCAGATTTCCAAAGAGTTTCTCTAAATCTTTGAATATATCAACATTTAAAACGTTCTCAGATGCCAATTATACACAGGACATCAGCTTAAAACTTAGTCAAAATCTTAACATACATATAAACTGGTCTTTAGATGGATGGTTTCAAAGTTTCAAATATTTCAATAATGTACCTGCCAAAGTGAGGCATTATCTTAGATTTAAGAAACATCTGCTGAACACTGCACTAGAGTTCATACAAAAGACAGTACCACTTGGACATGTAACAGTTGCTGTACATGTGAGAAGAGGTGATTTTATAAGTGCTTATGAAAAGAAACTTGGACGTGTTGAAGTTCCACCTGGTAAAGTGCTTTTTTTTGGTTTATTTAATTTATAAATGTATTTCTTTAGTGTCTCAATTAACCAAATAAACAAATCAGGTTATTTGGAAACACGGTCATGACCAAAGTTGGGTGTGAATCTACAATTCTTTTGCATAACACATTTTCATGTAAGAAAATCTTACAAGAATTAAGAGCATAATTAGGAAGAACAAGGGTCAAATCACGCAACACCTGACTTAGCCTGGGATTCAGGAGTTGATTGTTTTGCTTAACATTACATAGAACCTGCTTATTCATAACATACACGCTATTTCATATTTGTTCATGTTTTTGATAGTATCAAAGACCAGATATCAGATCTGTCATTTGCAGAACAGAAGCATAGAAAGAGATCGACAGACTGGAAACAAGGCTATACCTGACTTTGATATAAACTTATCTATTTTCATTTTCACAAAAACTAGTAAATATATTCTATTTTCTTTTTCATTTTTTTTAGAATACTTTCACAGAGCGATGACTTATTATAGAACAAACTTTGGAAATATAACTTTCATCATTGTATCAGATGATATGAGATGGTGTAGAGAGTACATAAAGGGAGATAATCTGGTGTACAGTACATACTATCATACGGAGAAAGGTGTTGATCTTGCCTTGATATCACACTGCGATCATGTGATCATTTCTGTGGGAACATTTGGCTGGTGGGGTGGATGGTTGTCAAAAGGGACAGTAGTCTACTACAACAAATTTCCTACACCGGGATCAACACTTGATAAAACATTTGTGCATAAAAACTATTACCCAAGTCACTGGATACCATTAGAATGACTTTTTGCTTTCATTTTATAGACATAACAATGATTAAAATATTTTAAAAATAAAATTTCTTTCTACAATTTTATCATCACGTATTATGTTTACCTCTATCAATGATGGAGACAAATTGTAAAATTACTTTAAAAAAGTGTGGCTTAAGATCCCCCAACTTATTCCCTAAACAAGAGGGCCATGATGGCCCTGGATCGCTCACCTGACACAACCGCATCCAAGCAATGTCTTAAACAAGCATCATGGCCAAGTTTGATGACAACTGAGTCAAACATGTGACCTCTAGTGTGTTATAAAGATTTTTTCATATTTGGGCAATGTGACCTAGTTTTTGACCGGACACGACCCATATTAAAACTTGACCTAGAAATCATCAAAACAACCTTCCTGACCAATTTCCAAGAAATTTGGATCAAAACTGCAGCCACTAGAGTGTTAAAAAGATTTTTCTATTTTTAGCTCCTGTGACCTAGTTTTTAACCGGACATGACCAATCTTAGCACTTGACCCAGAAATCATCAAAACAACCTTCCTGACAAATTTTGAGAATATTTGAATCAAAACTGCAGCCACTATAGTGTAAACAAGCTTTTTCTATTTTTAGCTCCTGTGACATAGTTTTTGACATGAGATGACCCATCTTCGAACTTGACCCAGAAATCATCAAAACAACCATCCTGACAAATTTCCAGAATATTTGAATCAATACTGCAGCCCCTAGAGTGTTAACAAGCTTTTTCTATTTTTAGCCCCTGTGACCTAGTTTTTGACCGAAGATAACCAATCTTCAAACTTTACTTAGATATCATCAAAACAACCTTCTTGACCAATTTCCAGAATATTTAGATGAAAACTGCAGCCTCTAGAGTGTTAACAAGCTTCTTTTTTTTTTTTTAGCTCCTGTGACCTAGTTTTTGACCTGAGATGACCCATCTTTGAACTTGACCTAGAAATCATTAAAACAACCTTCCTGAAAAATTTCCAGAATGTTTGGATGAAAACTGCAACCATTAGAGTGTTAACAACCTTTTTCCATTTTTAGCTCCTGTGACCTAGTTTTTGACCAGACATGACCCATCTTCGAACTTGACCTAGAAATCATCAAAACAACCTTCCTGACAAATTTCCAGAATATTTGAATCAAAACTGCAGCCACTAGAGTGTTAACAAGCTTTTTCTATTTTTAGCTCCTGTGACCTAGTTTTTGACCGGAGATATCCCATCTTCGAACTTGACCTAGAAATCATCAAAACAACCTTCCTGACAAATTTCCAAAATATTTGGATGAAAACTGCAGCCCCTAGAGTGTTAACAAGCTTTCTCTATTTTTAGCTCCTGTGACCTACTTTTTGACGGGACATGACCCATCTTCAAACTTGACTTAGATATCATCAAAACAACATTCTTGACAAATTTCCAGAATATTTAGATGAAAACTGCAGCCACTAGAGTGTTAACAAGCTTTTTCTATTTTTAGCTCCTGTGACCTAGTTTTTGACCGGACATGACCCATCTTCAAACTTGACCTAGATATCATCGACAAATTTCCAGAATATTTGGATGAAAACTGCAGCCTCTAGAGTGTTAACAAGCTTTTTCTAATTTTAGCTCCTGTGACCTAGTTTTTGACCGGAGATGACCCATCTTCGAACTTGACCTAGAAATCATCAAAACAACTTTCCTGACAAATTTCCAGAATATTTGGATGAAAACTGCAGCCACTAGAGTGTTAACAAGCTTTATCTATTTTTAGCTCCTGTGGCCTAGTTTTTGACCAGAGATGACCCATCTTCGAACTTGACCTAGATATCATCAAAACAACCTTCCTGACAAATTTCCAGAATATTTGGATGAAAACTGCAGCCACTAGAGTGTTAACAAGCTTTTTCTATTTTTAGCTCCTGTGACCTAGTTTTTGACCGGAGATGACCCATCTTCAACTTGACCTTAGATATCATTAAAAACAACCTTCCTGACAAATTTCCAGAATATTTAGGATGAAAAACTGCAGCCTCTAGAGTGTTAACAAGCTTTTTCTATTTTTAGCTCCTGTGACCTAGTTTTTGACCCGAGATAACCCATCTTCTCGAACTAGATCTGTATTTCATTGAGACAAACATTCTGACAAAGTTTGATGATGATCCAATCAAAACTGTGACTGCTAGACTGTTAACAACCCAATTGTTAAGAGTGTTAACAAGCTTTTTCTATTTTTAGCTCCTGTGACCTTGTTTTTTTGACCGGAGATGACCCATCTTCGAACTTGACCTAGATATCATTAAAACAACCTTTCTGACAAATTTCCAGAATATTTGGATGAAAACTGCAGCCTCTAGAGTGTTAAACAAGCTTTTTCTATTTTTTAGCTCCTGTGACCTAGTTTTTGACCCGAGATAACCCATCTTCGAACTCGATCTGTATTTCATTGAGACAAACATTCTGACAAAGTTTGATGATGATCCAATCAAAACTGTGACTGCTAGACTGTTAACAACCCAATTGTTGACGACGCACGACGCCGGACATAGCCCCATCACTATACCTCACCTTGACCACTTCGTGGTCAGGTGAGCTAAAAAGCCCACAGTATATCAAATAACCATTACCTGTTCCTTTGGAAAAACCCATTTGTTTTCTACCCCCTTTTAAAACCTGTTTTTTGGGAAATTTGTTAGTTCCTCCCTTTTTTTTTTGAAAACCCCCACGCTCTTAAAAGTTTCCCTTTCACGCATTTTTTTTAAAAACTCTTTAAATAACCCTTCTTTTTCCCTTCTGAAAAAAAATTTAACAAGAAAAAATACCCTTTAAATTTTTAAAATTTTCCTATATAATGTAATTCTATAAAAAACAGCCCCTTCCCCTTACAAGGTCCCCCCTGAGGGGAAATCCCCCTCTTTTACAAAAACCAGTACTTTTCCCAAAGGGCTTCACAATAAATTTCCACTGTAGAGCAACAGCTCTGCACTGCAACCAAAACCTTTGTCTACCAAAGGGTGTAAATGCTGTACAGGAGTTATACTGTTATTAAAAGTCTTTATTACACAATTATATTTAACAAACTGACCTTGTTTGAGAAGTTCATCTTCTTCTACCTCTTCTGCTTCCATTTCGTTCAGATGCAGGTAAGCATCTAGTGATGTAGATAATCCTACTTTAGCTTTCAGTTTTTCCAAAATTGTCGCTTTGTGTGTCAATTTCTCTAACAATTCCTCTGTCCGTACTTTGGCATCTTCAAACTTCCCAGTTGTATTCTTGATGGCTTTTTTCATCACTTTGGCATCACTTCGTGTCTGATCCAGTGTGGCTAGTACTTTCCTGTAAGTAGGTAATTTCTATTTTAATCTTCAATGGACATTTGAAATAATTCTAACTTGTTACTTCCTATAATACATTATATGGTAATTCATTACCTTTAACCAAACTATCTGTGAAATATTGCTTCATCAAAAAGAAATTTATTAACCCAAACACCTTTTGTATAATTCTAGCCCTTGTCAATTCCCTATATGTTTTCAGTTCTGTATTTCTGATTCATAAATATTAAATTTCGGAAAATTTGGAGTGAAATGTGATAAATAAATCTTACTTGAGTTGCTCCACAGTTTGAGTTCTTTCTTTGGATTTGAGGGTATACAAGAATCTGAAACTCTCCAGGGAATCTGGGAAAAGGTCGGCCCCACAAACATTTCATTCTTAGAAATCTCGGGTTTCCTCGATTTTTTCAATCAAAAAAACAAATTTTTTCTAATTTTTTTCCCAAAAATCCTTTTATAATTTTAAATAACTTTAAGGCCTCAAAAAAATCTTAAACCCAACAATCATATCCAAGGTAATTTCCCTTTTTTTTTTTTAAAGAATTACCATCACTGCAGAAGATTATAAATAACATAATGACAAAAGCAACATATACATGTATATCAATGTTCTCTGTAGGTAAGTAAACATTTTGGAGCAGTCAACAATAAAACACTCCTGATTGTTGTTTTTATTATGGTATGACCAAAGTAGCATGCAAGAAATTCTGAAGTAGCTGCGGATTTTGCCACTGGTTAAGGGTGACTACACGGTCCTTAAGTAAATTCTCTTGTATTATAACTCTATACCTGATTCTCTCATTTAGAATAAGTTTGGAGTATGGAAGGTTCGGGACTTTGGCACTTGTCACTTTCAGTTGTTCTTTCTTCTTCTCATGTTGTTTAACAGAAGATAGTGTAATTTCAGGGCTAAGGTCACCTGCCCAAGGCATCTGTCGACAGTCACGTAACACAAAACTATGTATGTTGGCTAGACACGTGGTGATTGCCCATTTAAAAATAAAATTTTTACAAAAAATTTGAAATAAAATTCACATATTTACAAAGAATCCCTTATAGAAATTCATAAAATTACCCTCTCAATGTTTACAGAAAAAAATTTTATATAAATCTGAAATTTAAAAAAAAGCCAATTAAAGCATACGGGGAAATTTGAAAAGTGAACAGAAAAATTTTTAAAATTTATTTCATCAAAGAAATCAAAAAACCAAATTTGCAACTATAAACAAGATTTTTAAAATAAACTGTTAATCTTTAAGAAAGGTGACAACATAGTATTTAAAAGGTTTATGTAAATAAATTTAAAATTTTAAAAGTTCAAATCATATGTCAAAAATTAAAACTAAAAGGTAAACCCTTTCCCTAAGTTTCTTAAAAATCCTCTGAAAAGGTTTTTTTTTGGTAATGAAGTATGAGGCCTCTCCCAGGAGAGCTTCTTGCGGCCAATCACACATGTAGTTAATGTTACAACCACTCAATAAGCCTGGGTATTGCCTGTACAAACAAACAAAAGCCAGCTTATATAAATATGTTGTGTATATATGCATTTCAATTATATCACAAAATTATAATCATTTAACAGAGTTGATGATTTCATTACATATTAGAACAAAGCAAAAATATGTGAATTAAAGACAAATAATTGAAAGTACAATATTACTGTTTATAACTGTTAATTATCAACCATACATTACTAGTAATAAACCATTATCCAATATGTAACAAGTAATTAATAAATCATAATCCAATATGACTGATAAATAAATCATAATCCAATATGACTGATAAATAAATCGTAATCCAATATGACTGATAAATAAATCGTAATCCAATATGACTTATACAAACCTTGATGCAATCTGGAGCAGTTTATGTCCAGGTTGTATACAGATAATCATGTGAAGATTACATCTAACACGAGCAATAAAGAACTTCATAGGGTCAACCGACATGCTTGGGAACTCCCTCTTCATTGACGGCCCAATAGCCATAAGTAAACCTTCAAGTTCATCATTTGAGAAGAGGTGTGGATATTCTCCACTGATTAAAACACTGTTAATTGCATCCAAATACACTGGGTCTTCCAAGTCACGAGCCTACAATAAAATATTTCTATCATTATAACATCATTTACAACAACAAGATATGTTTGTAAAACATGTATGCCCCCTATCTGCAGCCAGTTAGTCATGTGATAAGGTTATTATGCATGACTTCTGACCCAGTGATCAAACAATTAATAAGGGTTATCAAGTATCTACTGGTCATGACCTTAACCTTTGACCCCTTGACCCAAAACTCAATAGGGGTCATCTGCTGGTCATGACCAATCATCATACAAAGTTTGAAGTTCCTAGGCCTAAGCGTTTTTAGTTAATTGATCGGAAACCGTTTTTACCTACAAGGTCAATGTGACCTTGACCTTTGACCCCTTGACCCAAAATCAATAGGTCATCTGCTGGTCATGACCAATCACCATACCAAGTTTGAAGTTCCTTAGCCGAAGGGTTCTTAAGTTATTGATTGTAAAGCATTTTTACCTACAAGGTCAATATAACCTTGCCCTTTGACCCCTTAACCCCAATATCAATAGGGGTCATCTGCTGGTCATGACCAATCACCATACCAAGTTTGAAGTTCCTAGGCCTAAGGGTTCTTTAGTTATTGATCGGAAACCGTTTTAACCTAAGAGGTCAATGTGACCTTGACCTTTGACCCCTTGACCCCAAAATCAATAGGGGTCATCTACTGATCATGACCAATCACCATATCAAGTTTGAAGTTCCTAGGCCTAAGGGTTCTTTCGTTATTGATCGGAAACCGTTTTTACCTACAAGGTCAATGTGACCTTGACCTTTGACCCCTTAACCCCAAAATCAATAGGGGTCATCTGCTGGTCATAACCAATCACCATACCAAGTTTGAAGTTCCTAGGCCTAAGGGTTCTTTTGTTATTTGTCAGAAACCGTTTTTACCCAAGAGGTCAATGTGACCTTGACCTTTGACCCCTTGACCATAAAATCAATAGGGGTCATCTACTGATCATGACCAATCACCATACCAAGTTTGAAGTTCCTAGGCCTTAAGGTTCTTTAGTTATTGATCGGAAACCGTTTTTGCTTACAAGGTCAATGTGACCTTGACCTTTGACCCCTTGACCCCAAAATCAATAGGGGTCATCTACTGATCATGACCAATCACCATACCAAGTTTGAAGTTCCTAGGCCTTATGGTTCTTTAGTTATTGATTGGAAACCGTTTTTGCTTACAAGGTCAATGTGACCTTGACCTTTGACCCCTTGACCCCAAAATCAATAGGGGTCATCTACTGGTCATGACCAATCACCATACCAAGTTTGAAGTTCCTAGGCCTAAGGGTTCTTTAGTTATCACTCGGAAACCATTTGGTCTACGGAGCGACGGACCGACGGACCGACAAGTGCAAAGCAATATACCCCCTTTTCTTCGAAATGGGGGCATAATAAGCATTTGTTACATTATTTTCATTGGTCAATCATGGTGTGCATATATTCTATATACACAGGTGCTGCAAATTTTTAAAATTTTCATTTTAAGCATAGAGAGAAATTGTTTGGTGTTACAAATTTGTTAACAAAGACTTTTGACATATAACATGAACATAATTATGTAAATAATTCTTTGCTAAGTCACCTCTGCCTAGAAATGTGGTTTTATAACAACCATATACAACAGGTCATATAACTAATACATCAACTAATATAACCATGTTATGTCATGTTTAATAAAAAAAGAGTAAAAGTATATAGAACAAGTAAAGTCATGAGATACAACATTCAATCATGATATCAACAAGAGCAAACTATTAATTATGAAAGTTTCCATGTTTGCATACTTACAGTGAATACTAGAGTGAGTATTTTCCCCTCCGATCCTGTCAGTCTAACAGCTGATCTCAGACCATCAAAGAAGTTGCTCTGTTTGGAGGTGTCCATTTTCAGTGTGTTGACATCTGCTACATGAAGAGCTAACTGACACAGGGTAGTTAGATGTGAGCCTACAGCACCTACCAGAAGCATGTTCCCTCTGTAATCAGAATTAAACAGTAATTTAAGTCAGGGACTTACTGACTTAAGGGATAGACAGGACTGGAGGCATGTCTGGGGTCCGTATTCTCAATGCCTGAATGGATGGATGGACCCTTATTAAACTTAGAAATTTAGCAAATTTAGCGGTGTAAGGTTTTGACAAATACAAAACAAATATTAATATAATAACAACCATGGCTTACCCATGATGGAAGCTGAGTATTCTGTGAACTCTGATAATGTGGGCAATGACAAAATCTGACAACATGATGTTAAGTCTGACATTGCCAAATTCCTCGTTATATCTTGTCAGATGCATGTGTAGACATGAGTGTAAATCTCTCAATGTCTCCACTGGCTGTAACTGTATCTGAAAACATAAACAAGTGTATGAACTTTCATACTTCATTCTTATAAAAAATTATTAAATATTCTGCTTGCAGCTATCTTATCAAACAGTTATTAAAATGTATAGAAAAGAAACATTGAAAAAAATTAAATACATGTTTGTTTTATATAAGTTAAAGAGCTTTAAACACAGAACTTATTAAATTCATAAGGGGTAAATAACAAATAATTCAGTCATAGTCCAAGATAGAAATACAAAATTGAATTGATTATCATAATAGAAAAATATGTTAGAGAATAATATCAAATGATGATGGTACATGTATTTAAGTTACCTTGAAATGTTTGGCACCCATAGATGTAACAGGTCTCTGGTAAAGTCTAGCATCTGTTGGAAATGTGACGAAATGCTCGTGCAACGGTGAGTCCAGTTTTGGCCAGAACTGAAATTATGAAAAAGTATGTAATAATGCAAAATATAGATGTTAAATAAGTTAAAACCAGTTTTAACATGATGCCTTTATTTTGAGATAATAAACACGCTGTCATCTAAACATGTGCCGAAAGATTTAATTTTTTATTCTTTAAAGATTATTTTTAAATTTTTACGTATCTGACTTCAAGGTTTAAAAAAATCAACTTAAAATGTCTGTTCTACTATGTTAATTTTTAAGGAAGGTCTCAAGTAAGATTGTGAGCAATAAAATATCTACCGTAGTAATAGTTTTCTCCATGATTTCATCAAACCAGTTGAGATCCGAACTACGTGCTATCCTGTCTCGAACGATTCTATTCATCTCGTGTTTCCATAGTGATACAACCATAATTTCATCAGCCATAGATTCATCAGGAAGTCTTTTCAAACACTGGAATATTCAAATATCATACTCTTTAAAATATATACAAATAAGGTCATTTTCAACTAAGAAATACATTCATCAACATTTTTTTTCTCTCCAAATTCACATTTGTATTGATCTAGTTGTTGTGTAATTATGTATTAAACATTATAAATGTACTCATATCTTGGTCATAATTACATACAGTACATTTGTAAAGTAACACCCTATGGGAGACAAAAGATTTTGGTCCATGCTGAGAGGACTTTGTCTAGAAGTTAAATTTATGGTAATGTCTTGGTGGTGGCTTACTTTAAGAAAAGGATATTGTTGTTATAAGGAGGTCATTGCTCAACAAAGGGCAACTCTGAAGTTGTTCTGTATATCATAAATCCTTCAATGCAGTTGAACCTTTGAATGTTAGGGTCAATTTTGACTTGCCTATGCCACTAATATAAAATTATGTCAGTCTGTTTCTCAGTACATCTAGAGCAGACTGGTTAATTTGTATTTCAATTTTAGCATTTTTTGATATTGAAATACCTTAAAGCAGCAATATGAACTATTCCAAATTTAAAACAAGGTATGTCCAGAATACAAATTATTTGGTATAAAGTTAAAACATACATAAAATTGAATAAGAACACCATCTATCTGTGTGTATTACACTTTGAATATATCTTCATAATATTCAAAATTTTGCAGTCATTTAAAATTTAAAATGATTCTTCATTAATCTTCACTTCACGTTACTAATTTTGACCATACATGTACTAAAAACAGTAATCTTAAGGATACTACTCTAAAAATAGTAACTTTGAGGATACTATTAAAAAGTAACTTACTTGGTAACATGTGGTAAGATCTTTCAGTGTAAACAAGTAGTGGTATCTACCAGGCAGTGGTGTAGGTCTCAACACATTCTGTAACGCCTGTAAGATCTGACACGAGGCCTTCACTATGTTGTTGTGTAGATCTATCTCTAAACCTGGTTTGTCGTTGTCCGTTACATTAGCCTGACACAAGATAACATTACAAGATGTTACACTATACATAAATTATTTCATTTTCGTAAGAAATGCCTGTCTTTACAGAATGATTACATTAGAAGAAAACTGAAAAATACCGAATCTTTTTCTTTTTTTTTTAAATGAAGAAATACTAAAATTTGCAAAAATACTACAATATACTTAAAACTTAAAAATACTGGAAAAAGACATCATGTTCATTAAGACTGTATGCATACCTCAAGTATTCCATGTACAATTGATTTAAGAGCCTCATCTTGTGGTCCAGGTAAGTTAAATACAGCAAAATGACGCTGAAACATTAACAACAGATCATTACTATTATACTCACTAATAATGTAGTAGCTTATTAGATAAACACTGCATCTTGTTCACAAAAAAATCTGAATCCTTTTAAAGATTTAATCTAAATTTTAAGTACATTGGCACAAAACATGAAGCAAGATTAGATCGACACAAAGTAAATATGTTACCAAGATAAATGAAACATGCTGTCTGAAATTATGTTGCAAAGAAAATAAGACTGTAAGTAAATATGTTACCAAACAAGTGATGAGACATGCAGAAAATATGTTACCAATCAAGATTAAGACAGGTATTAATATGTTACCAAGAGTCTTGATGAGAGCATCTGGTTATTGACACTGGGATGTTCACTCATTGACATGGCAGATATAATGTTCAAACCTTCGACTGTCTTCCACTCAAATGGTTTCTGCTGCGTACATAATACTTTGTCATCCAGCAACTGTCGTAACAACTGAAAGAAAGAACAAAAACATTTTACAATATATCTATATATGAAATAACTCTTGATGCTAGTAACAAATCTTGTTAACTTATCTAGTATCAGCTACTTTTCACAATCGGAACTAATAGAAGATAGTCTTCTTGTGATTTTTAAGTCAGCCAATTATTGCCTAGTTTTCAAGTTCTTTATGGCAAACCAACTTTTTCCATTTTCAGAATTTAGTTCCTGACTTTCACGATAATAGTTTAGGTGATAAATGCATGTGTTTAATGGTGAGCAAGTATTTTCAGTAAAATTTCCCTGGAATGTTATAAGCAAATCTTAATTCATTACAGCACTAACTGAGGAAGCTATTTGTGCCATGTTTACTGTAGTCTTGGATAAGACCTAGGCAGAGATAGAGTCCCCATCTGCATACATATCAGGTCCTTTATTCAGCAGAAACATTTTGTAAATCTATAGATATATAAATGTGTAACAACAATACCTGGTTACATCTCTGCACATTAAACTGGTCAGGTACTGGTAGATTCACATCATCTATAAACACTTTCAACATCTTGTTCTCCTTCGCACCATACACGAAACCTTGTCTATGGTAGATATTTGCCTCAATAAATTGCTGTAACTGTTTGGCTGTTGATGCCCCAGAAAATACTAGCCGCTTACAAATGCTGTCTGCTGAATCTGTGACAGAAAACAAAATCCAAACTTTTGAACAGTTTATTTTTTTATTCTATTATTTGAACAGCCAAGTCTTGTATATTGAAACAATGATAGTACACTTATGTGAAAAGTTATAGTGGGTACCATAAAATATTGCCAAACTCTGCAAAACTGAAAGTATTGTAGGCTTGGTTTGAGTAAGCCAGTTATTAGACAGCAGTCGTTAACTCAAAGTATCATCCATGCCCACTAACTTTGGCTTAAAGTAGAATTCTACATTCAAAAGTTCATATTGAGGGATTAGTGTGAAACAGACATAACTCCTTCATTATGGTATATGAGTTTCAGCTGTCTCACACCTCACCCTCAAATTATGGAGTTATTTAAAAGTTTTAATAGCATCAGTAGCTGCAGTCACCAACAAAGTTGTTTCTCAATAATTCCTTAAAATATATAACCACAATAAGTTATCTTATGTAAGATTTTGTTGGATTCAATGCAAGAAAAGCAATGTCTTAACTGTATAGTAATACTTGATAGTACACTATCAATCAGCTAACATTTCCCCAAGTTGTTTACCTTGGAAATCCATGAATTCATCAATCAGAGTAGTCTTTCCCGATCCTGGTGGACCAACAAGCAGAACATTTTGGCCTGAGGCCGAAGCAAAGTCCATTAGAATTCTGGTACGTATAGTATCAACAGTATCTACAAACACTTCTCCTAACATGTTCTGATTATCTGCATACACGGCCTCCGGAACACGAGAAATCCAGGGATCCCATTCTCCTGACTCGTCAACATAGTAGTCAAATACACAAATGTCACGATCATCGTCTGGCAAACTGTAAATAAATTAACACAGTCATGTACATGATAAATAAACTTTCACAGTCATACATTCTATCAATAATTATCATAGTGTTGTACACTATAAAAAATTATCATAGTAATATACACCACATACAAACTATAATAGTTATCTACAGTATAAATAAACTGGCATATTGTCATGTACCCTGTACCTAAATAATCATAGTTATGAAGTATAAATGTTTCCAGTTCATTTGTTTTGCAATTTATTTACATTGGCTACTATCTACTATCTTGATTAAAGTAAACTGTCAAAAATATTATTTGTTATGAAGAACATATTTTACATGAAATGAATAAATGGAATATAAAGCACGGTAGTTGATTTAAGAATACATTGAATTTAAGTCAACTATGTTCTTACGCTGTTGAAAGTGTTTTTCAGTAGGTCACTGAATGATTTACGATCATTTGCATCTAGAAGTCCACCAAATGTCCAGATAAGACAGAACAGATACAGACGTTCAATATGAAGTTCGCCACCAATCTCGATGTTGTCTGCCAACATGGCTGCCAGTAGCCCGAGACATGTCTTAAACATCCCCACCTCTGACAACTTTAACCTGGGTCTGTAAACAGAACATATAATCTGTCAGTACTATAATCATGTTTCCAAAGGTCATATTATTATCAACAATAAAAAGCAGAAGTTGCAGGGGTGTGCTATTTTAACGACTGTATTGCTTAAGTTTATCGTGTAAAGTTGTGTACCCGTGAGTCTGCCAAAAAAAACAAAACTGGCTTTACTGGTGGAGGAAGACCTCAGGTGCTCCTCCATGCATTATTTCAAGTACAAGCAGGCACCTGAGTAGAATTATTGACAGCCGGATAGCTTCTTGTTCCTGACAGTTTATTCCACCAGTAAAGTACCAAATCAGACCAAACATACATGCTGTCCAACCTGACTCTACAATTTAATATAGTATATTGGCTTCACAATTTTATTGCAATATATTTCAATACTGGAAAGCCTCAAACTCACAATGGCTGGTTCCCAAATTTTGAAGAATGGTAATGTTTTTGTACAAAGGAAATGAGGAAAACTTACTTAGCATCATTAAGTACAAAGTTGATGACGGGATCAAGTGTTTTCTGGAAGGCACGCTGTAATACCTGGAAACACAAACAAACTCTTTATAGTAAAAGTTTTTGGTTTTTTTTTTATACAAACATATTTTTTAACTATAAATATATTTTTTAACAATAAACATATTATTCTCATATAAAAAATTCATTTATCATAAAACATTAAAAAAACTCGCTATTTTGATAGAAATTCAAATTGTTATTTCACAAAATTTTAAAGACCTAAAAGTTAGGTACGATATAGTAACATAAACCAAAATAAAAAGGTTTTTGATTAAAATTTTTACTTTACGTTAACATTTAAAAGAATATCATAAATTATAAAGTAAAAAATGCACATTTTTTTTTGCTGGAAAAAGAAGCTGCATAAAACAACTATGATAGCATTATCTCAAACGGAAACAAAAAAAATCACAACAAAAATAACAACATAAAAAATAAAAATCCAACCCAATGAACATAAATCATACAAGTATTTTGCTACCAACAAGTTCCATTTTAGATATTAAGAATTTGCAACAAGTTTCCCTTCTCAAATTGTATTAGGATAATTATAAACTTTCATTTACAAGAATATTCAAATATAAAGCAATTATGGAAAATGAAAATGCTTTTAAAAGTCATATACCTTATTACCATATTCTAACAAAGTTTTAAAAAATATTTTGTTTTAGTGGCAAAACTCAAAATCACTGATAATCATTTACAAAAATACATTTAAATAAAAACATCCATAAGCAGAAAATATTAATTACATAGAAAAAAAAACAACATTGATGTGTATTTTACCTTTATATAGATCATTATAAGTATATCTTTAAATAATGATGAGGACAAATTTACTCTACCATACATATCTATATCAACAAAAGGTTCTAAAACAATCATCAAATGTCTACCAATTTGATGCTTTTCTTTTTCCCTAAATCAAGTTTAATATTTCCCCAAAAATCACGCTAAATTCACCACATAGCTAAAGGATATACTTTAAACAGAAGAGCTACTGGCCTCTACCAAATAAATCTGACTTTCAAAACTGAAAAACTAGACCCAAAATGCAAATGCTATTGTTGCATCAACCATGTGCACTTATTTACCCCTTCAACAGTTTTCTCTCTTATAGCATTGTCTATAGCTTCTACACTGTCATCTGTTGGTGTAGTATTGAACTATACCAGTAATATAAAATACAGCATTAACTAACTTATCAAAATCTTTTATAAGCAAATCTGGTCAAACAGAAAAAATACAGTTAAACTACAAGTAAAAGCTACATTAAGACTTTATTTATCATAGGCATTCTTCTAATTTTTATCTTACAGTTTTTTTTCACACAGATTTAAATCTTGCTTATTTAATTTATTTGGAGTACTGTATTCCAATGCCATTTAAAATAATTTTTAAAAAATTGTAATTGTCTAGCTTGATTTAATATATTATCTATTCTATGGTGGTGTTCCAATTCCCATGAAAATATCCATATGTTGGTAGTTGTGACATTATAAGTTAAATGACAGGGTGTGCTACAAGGAGAAGCTATATGCTCTATTCTTTTTCCACATACAATCCTAGAGAACAAATCAAACATGGTAACAATGTATCACACACATGGTAATGGTGTACTACAAGGTAGAGTTTTTCTTCCCCTCCACTTCCAGCATTCAAACTATTGTCTAGAAACACATTCTAAATTAGCCCCTGTGGTACCAGTACATGGTTGGACAAATTTCTAACTAAAATGGAATGAACAGTAACCTTGTATCAGAGAAAATAGTCTCACAATCACTTTAAGAGAATCTGCACAATTTAATTTAAACTTCAGACTAAAAAAAATGTAAACACTCTTTTTCTTCTTTTTTGGGGAAATTATTTAAAAAATTACTAATGAAACTGTGCAATCAGAAATCATACTTCTTTCTTTACACTTTCAGTATTTGTACAAACAGAGATTATACTTAATTATAAGAAATACTATGGTTGCTTTGCAATATATATATACATGTACAGTTGAAACATTCTATATAACATCATGTGAGACTATTTTACAGTATGACATGTTGAGGTCCACTAACTGTAATGAACTTGAAACTAAACTAACAAACATATGAAACAAACTGTACTTTAGTACTGCTGACTGGTGTTCCCCTATAGGACAATCTGATACTCTGAAACATTGTAGCATCTCACATATAACATATCTTATATCAAATAATGAATGATGATTATTTATATATTAACCCCTTATCCTGCTGAATATTGTTATATGGACTTGTCCAACTTTCATTTTTTAAATGTCCATTATCAATTTTTTGAATATCAAGATGAACATTTCGTCACCTTAGTGGAGTAACATGTTGAGTTCTTCTTTATCTTATAGGAGTGAACCAGTCACTGCACTAAGGTGACAATTTGAAATTAGTCAACCAACACTTTATATTCTAGCAGGTAAATGGTTATATTTTAAATTGAAAATTCTTAAGCTTTAAACTGTTTTGTCAGAACCACCTAAAAATATAGGACTATTCATATTTGTATTTCATTTGGTTAAGCATAATTACCAATCTAACAAGTACTTTAATAGTACATGTAAATGACATTATTTATTTTTATCATTATTTATAAAATTATTCAAAAAATTTATAAGTGAATCATTAGTCTAACTAATTTGATATAATTTATAAAAAACATCTTAAATTGCATAATCTAAGGTTGAACACATTTTTTTTTCATTTAATATTTTTGGCATGCTCTCACTACTGGTAATTTGGTTTGTGTTTTTCCCCCCACTATTTTAGAATGAGCATTTCACTATTTTAGTTGTGCTTTTTTCACACTATTTAAAATGAGTATTTCACCATTTTGGTATGCCTTCACTATTTCAGCATGTGGTTTTTTACACTATATTGGAATGAGCATTTCACTATTGTAAGCAAACATAACATGGGCTTTGATTTACAATTTAGTATTAAAATACAATGTAAATGCACTTTAAACTTCAGCATACAAACTCTGGACACAATCAAAATCACAGACCCTTCACCATACACTAATTTATCAATATCTTTACTCATCTCATGTAAAATTTTTCTTTTCAATTTAAAATAAGAAGAAAAGTCATACATTTATTGCAACATTAAGCACAGCAAAGTTATCAAATTTAAAATAACAACACCCAACATACATAACCAATCAACATCAAGTGTTACCTCCCGCTTCTTCAAAAACAACAACAAAAAGAAACCATAAATATCAGTCAATATAAGAATTCATTATGTAATGACTGCTCCCTTAAACAACACAAATTTAAACAATTAAATTTTGTTGCATGAATCTTTGCCATATATAAAACACTTTTTTTAATCATAGCACGTAAACAACAAACGGCTAAATCTGTGAGGAGTGTTACATTACTCTGATTTTGTTGTTCAATATGGACAACAGTATCAAGAACTGGCCATGTCATGAATTCTTTTTTGAAAACCAACAAGTTCTGACAGTGCATGTGACCTTCAGACACCCACAAATAGTTTCACCTCTATATTTCAATGGTCTTTTAAACAAAGATGATGTTAATTTATACAGAATTTATCTAAGTTTTATTGTGCTGGGAAGCTATAAGCTTTTAGGTGATGTTATCATTTGCATTCTTTAATATGTAAAATCAGATGATGATTTAATTGTAATCAAGTAATAAAAAGCAGTTGCACAAATATGCAAACAGAATAAAATGTTATCAAATTAATAACAGAATGGCAAATAGATTTCTATGATGTGCTTAAAATAGCACACTTGTGAATTTTCTATCATGTGCTCACATAAGCACACTTGTCAATTTTCTATCATGTGCTCACATAAGCACACTTGTGAATTTTCTATCATGTGCTCACATAAGCACACTTGTGAATTTTCTATCATGTGCTCACATAAGCACACTTGTGAATTTTCTATCATGTGCTCACATAAGCACACTTGTGAATTTTCTATCATGTGCCAAAACAAGCACACTTGAGAGAATTTTATACGTGTTCAACTATTTAAATTCAATAAACATTATAGATAAGGGCATGGTTTCTGGGCCACAATACAATCATATGTATGTACATAGTTGGGTGAACAGATTTATTATTTTATTAGTATAATTATTCTGTATAAATATATTTCAAAAGGTGTTCAAAGAGAAGGCATTTAAAAAGTGTGAGCGGTGCATCATTCTAAACTTTTGTTCTAAACTTTGTTGGCAGTTTATAAGGTCAGTCTGTTCTTTGATTTTCAGAAAAAAGTGTGACCTATGCATGGTTTGGGATAAGATACCTTTTAAATGTGTTATAACTTTTTGATAACAGTAATTTATTTTTAGTTTTCTATAAATCCTAGGTTTTTTCTCAAATTTTCCGTAAAATCTGGATTCTTTTGCAAGTTTTCTATAAAATCTGGCTAATACAAATATATAAAAAGTATTTCAGCAACAGTAAAATAAACACTGTTAAATGTAAAATGAAATTATAATAAACATTTCTTGGTTGTATATGATTCTAGCTAACATAATAATAAAAATAACAAAAATAACGAAAATCTTTTGAAACAGACAAAGGTGTAAATCTAAGAAAATATAAACTAATATGTAAACATGCATTTATATTGTAGTGACAAGGAAAATTCATTTGACTAAAAACAGAAACAAAATTGTGTGAGTACAATTTACATTCGTTACCAGGGAAACATAGTCATGAGGGAAATGGAGTGCACAATTTATTCACTGCAAATGGAAATGTGCACAACCATCACATGTTGTGTTTGATAATAAGTGCCATTTTGTTTTTCTTTAAAAAAAAAAATAGGTTCTATGTAAAATTAGAGATGCAAAAAAAGTGATCATACATACATAAAGGAGAACTTAAAAAATAAATGATAAAAAGGCAAAAGAAAAAAAGCACCTTGGCCTCATCCTTCTCCTGTACAAAAGATGATAAAAAAAATCATGTTCCTATATGTATTGCCATAAAAATTCATAACAAGAGCCACCATCAGGCGGGGACCACACTTAATTTTTTCTTACTCCTTAGTTCAAACACATTGAAGAGAGAATATAGCAATAAAGAATACTCCTAGAAAACAAAACTGTCTTCAACAAGTTATAATTCAAATTTCATATTTGACCTTGATGATCAAGGTCATTCAAAGGTCAAGATCACATTTAAATTAATGATCATTGTCAGTTTTGTTCAATATGTTTGAACTTAGAAGTAAAGGTCAATAAAATAGTCAAGGTCATATCAGAAGAATTCAACAGGTTGTTTTGTAGTCCAAATATAAATCAAATCCGTAAATAAATAAATAAGTTATGACAATTTTAGCAAATTTCAATAATTTGACCTTGACAGGTAAGGTCAATTTAAGGTCAAGGTGATATCAGAATCAACTTGCCAGTTTTATAAGGGTTCTATTTTTTAAGTATAAATCAAATTCGTGAATAAATAATAAAATTATGACAATCTAAATTCAATTCAATATTTGACCTTGACAGTCAAGGTCATAAAGGTCAAGGTCATATTTGAATTACTTTACATGTCAGCTTTGTTGTAAGTGTTCTTTTGCTCAAGTATACATCAAATCCATAAATGAATGACAAAGATATGGCAAATTGTTGCAAACTTCACTAATTTGACCTTAGGTCAAACTGACAGCTATGGGAGGTCAAAATAAGTCTCAATGTTCATTTTTTTATTCAAAATCAATACACTTATTGACCTAAACTCATAAAGCTGCCAATATAAAAGACAACTGCCCTTAAAAAATCACACTAAAAAATAAATTTATTGTTTGTTATTGTTTAACTCAAAATATATCAACACATGCCAAATGATTAATTTAGTTAATTTTCTACTTTCATTATAAAATTTTTTTTAAAGATATCAATAAGAATTCTTTAAAAAAATAACCGTTTTCCATGATAATTTTTTTTAAGAATTTTCTTTTAACTACACAAATAATTTCAAGCCATTTTCATATCTCAAAAGATTTCTATGAGTTCAAACAAAAAATGCAAGACTAAAATAAACAACAGTGAAAATTTAAACAAAGTGATATTAATAATTTTTTATATTCTAAAGAACAATCAATGTTAAATCTTGTGTCACTGGATCAATATAATAAAATATAGACTATATTAAAACTTACATGGATCTCTTGTGGTGTGCGGCTGTCCAGCCACGACTTAGCTATAGGCTTCCATCCTACCACATCTTTGTCAATGTACAATATACCCTATATAAATATACGAAATACAGATGAACCTTATACCCTATATAAATATACGAAATACTGATGAACCTAACTTCTGTAATAATTTAAATTATTGAAAAAATAAATAAGAACATGAATTGTAAATTTGAAATCTAATCTAGCTTAATGTACATCTATAATGACGAAAAACAAAAAAAAACAACAAAACAATATTCACTCACATAAAACTGACAAAAAAACAACAGAAATTCTCAATTTTATGTAACAAAACAAATATGAATATGAAATTAAGAGATATTTTAGTCTAATCAAGCAGAAACATGTATTATGGAAAATTATCCAAGAAAACCTGGACTATTGAACATTCCATTGTAATTTGAAAGCATATCTAAAAGGGCAGCCTACAGTATATGTATATACTTATAATCTGGTTGCATTTTACAAATATGCAGATTGCCAAGAACTGGAACTGGAACTGGAAGCAATAATCAAGCATAGGTCTGCATTATTGGCAAAATACTTTGAGAGGGAATACAGCTGTATGGAGCTGCCTGTAATCTGTAGAAAGTCTGATTATATCCTGATAACAGTTTTTAAAGTTGAGCTATCAACAGTATAGAGTCTGGTCAAACAGCACGGATATGCAGGCCGGCCTGGCTCTGATGGCAAAAGGCTATTTGTTTTTCAGTTCAAGCAAGTTAAGATGGTCACTTACACATCTGGCAACAGTTGCAGGAGAAGCCTCTGGAAGTCGGGCAGTCTCAAAGATAATGTTGATGTTATCTGACAGGAATAATTTGTCACCATTTCTCAAATGTAGCACCTGTAACAATATTATAGAATAATGTTTTGACAACATAAAAGCAATGAAGTAACAATAAGTTTATTGGTAAAAACCACTAACTTTAAAATATTGGCCAAAACTGAAAGACTGTAACTGTTATATCATTACTTATGTACACAATTATGACCCAATCAGTATATAATTTTAGGTTAATAAAAGTGCTTACCTTATCAGAGTTGAGGACACTGTTGAAATTATCTGCCCATCCTGTATTTAATGGACCATCCAGACATAACCAAGTTTTACTCAAATTCTAAAATAAAAACAACAAAAATAAATAAACCAAAAAATAAACATTAAAATCAGCAATCTTCTATTGTTATTACAAAAAAAACTTCAAAGAAACAGATAGAATATACTCAATTTGTAAAGATATATAAAGATTAATATATCATAAAAATAAAAATCATTTACAATTTTGTCCTCATCAAATTGGAAATTAAATCTCAAATCATTTCCAAACCATAAAAGATATATCTCATAAATGTAAGCAGATCAATATATTGAAATTTTAGCAGTAATATCTCACCCTGTTAGCTTTCTTGCATGCATTTGTGAAGATACCATCGACCCAGTCATTACTGGGGGTGAGGTAGCCAAACATGAGGTCAGACTCGTCCACCACGAGAGGGTTTATACGAATCAGTTTGTGCATCTTCTCTGACGATGATGATCCCTTGCTGCCCGACGAAACTCGGGACAAGTTGGCTTTAGGGGCCGAAGACAAAGCATCGATCAAGGTTTGAATACATGTACTTTTACCAGCACCTGGCGGACCCGCCACTATCAAGCCTGAAATATTTTTTTACAACAGTGATTAAAGCTATCCTAGAAATCCTATAGTCATAAATATCACACTCTTTTTTTTTATCTACCCTGTCCCTCAACCAAATAATTTACAATCAATAGCTTTCCTCAAGTGGGAAATCATTTGATTTACCAAAACGTGCTCAGAAGTAGAGAAGTAAAGACTGGCAAACACAGAGGAAATCACTGAAAGATTAAATGTATTTTTTCATATTTCTAGTGTCAGTAATGTAGTTAGTATAATGTATGGTTAGTTAATCATATCTATTTAATCTTGATTGGGCTACAAAGTTTGCAATTCTAAAACATGTGTATTCACTTTCAAGTAACCTTCCCCTTGGTGGGCCATATGAAGCTCAAACACAAGAATCCTACACAAGAAGCCAAACATTGCATCCACAAGGCGACTGCTCCCCTTATTGAAATATGCAGGAAATGTCTTACCATGATGTATACTAGAGAGGTTATATAGTTGATTGCACTTGGAGAGCCAGGGTTTATGTGGGATCAGACCACGCTCCTTGGCCTTATTTTCTAGAGCTTGATCTATGTCAAACCCTCGTGTACGAGCAGAAATTGTACCAATAACTGGAGGAGAATCTGGTAGTGCTGCAAAAGTATCCTTCACTATGTTCTTGAATATCTGCATCGTCTAAGAAAAACAACAATAAATTTTCAATAACCCAGAGCATGACAGTAAAATATTTCCAGATTTCTCTGTATTCTTAAAAGACTATTTCAAAGACTTAAATTAAATAGAAATTTATGATTATAATTAAATGAACCTTTTCTACAGTTGAAATACAAGCTTATAAACTAATAACTTTCAAAACATTAACTGTTATTATAAGATTACCTCCCCTGTGAGTCTTGGAGCCATGATTTCTTCAATGGTTTGGGCAACAAGGGCATGCTCAACTTTTCCTGCTGCTGTCATAGGATTTGGGGTACCAGTCTTTCTATGGGCACCAGCTGCCATCTTAACATTGCCCTGAGTAACTGTAACACAAAATGAATAACAATCAGCTGTAAAAATCAACTTGTGTATAACTATTTACCTGAATTTCTGACATGGAATTGCACTGCTTTTATTTATAGAACAGTTCATGATCAATTTTGGGGTTATCAAGATGAAAATTTAAATTTCAACAGCCAACAGTGTAAAGCTTGGTAAAGACTACACAGGTGTACAGACTAAGTAATAGCTGGTGGCAAAGGCTAATTACTTTCAGCATGGAAAGGGTGGAAATGTATAGACAAATCTATGTTATTTTCAAATGCATTCTGTACCTTATAATGTAATATAACTTGACAACAAGATTGGATAAAAATGTATTATTTGCCAATGCAAGGGGGAGTTTATCTCAGATTTTTATTTTTACCCAGACAGTCACCCTTACGACTGAGACGTTATGGCATGTATGAATACATGTATACTTTAAAAAAAAATAAGTTAAGCAATTGAAAGACACTGACCAATCTGTTTTGACAGTGCAATCAAACAAGTTTTTTTTAAAAAAAAGTTTATACGAAACAGCAAACCTATTTTTTCTCTCTATATTTCTTAAGATAAAAAATTTGGATGATTTGAAATTAGTTGTTGAAAACAAAAGTGGGCATAAATGTAAATGTATTCTAAAAAATATTTCATGAAATAAAACATTTCACTTTAAAACAAACTAGAACTATCACTAAATGTGATTAATACCCCCACAAGACTGCTTAGGAAATGAGGATGTTACTAGTAACAGAATACCTTGTAAAAGAATTGAAATATAGAGTTATGGTTGTGGGCAATTAAAGATAGTTGTGGTTCTTATATGTTGCATTTCCTTTCAATGTGGTTGGCCATTGATGAAGTTTAATTGAATTACTCTGTAATGAGTCCAGAAATACAAAGAAAAGGAACAAAGGGCAATAACTCTATAAATACTGAAGATAGAATTATCGTTCTTGTGCACTGCACTTCCTCTTATTGTGCGTTGCCATTGTATGAAGTTGTTTTGAATTCCAACCAGTACGTTTTAAGTTATGCTCCTGACAAGGAAAAGTATCAAAGGGCAGTAACTCTGTATTTTGTCAAAATGGAGTTATGGCTCTTGTGCACTGCGCTTCCTTTTAATGTCCTTGACAACTGTATGAAGTTGTATTGAATTCCAAACAGTAGTTTTCAAGTTATGCTCTGGACAAGGAAAAGTAACAAAGGGCAATAACTCTGTTATTAGTCAAGATGTAGTTATGGTTCTTGTGCACTGCACTTTCTCTCAATGTGCTTGACCATTGTATGAAGTTATATTGAATTCCAACCATTAGTCTTCAAGTTATGGTCCGGACAAAAAAGGCAATGGAAAAGTAACAAAGGGCAATAACTCTGTAATTACTTTAGATAGAGTTATGGTTCTTGTGCACTGCACTTCCCCTTATTGTGTTTGACAATTGTATGAAGTTGTTTTGAATTCCAACCAGTAGTTTTCAAGTTATGCCCCGGACAAGGAAAAGTAACAAAGGGCAATAACTCTGTAATTAGTCAAGATAGAGTTATGGTTCTTATGCACTGCACTTCCTCTCAATGTGCTTGACCATTGTATGTAGTTATATTGAATTCCAACCATTAGTCTTCAAGTTATGGTCCGGACAAAAAAATCAATGGAAAAGTAACAAAGGGCAATAACTCTGTAATTACTTTGGATAGAATTATGGTTTTTGTGCACTGCACTTCCCCTTATTGTGTTTGACAATTGTATGAAGTTGTTTTGAATTCCAAACAGTAGTTTTCAAGTTATGCCCTGGACAAGGAAAAGTAACAAAGGGCAATAACTCTGTAATTAGTCAAGATAGAGTTATGGTTCTTGTGCACTGCACTTCCTCTCAATGTGCTTGACCACTGTATGTAGTTATATTGAATTCAAACTATTAGTCTTCAAGTTATGGTCCGGACAAGAAAAAAAGCAATTGAAAAGTAACAAAGGGCAATAACTCTGTAATTACTTTAGATAGAGTTATGGTTCTTGTGCACTGCACTTCCCCTTAATGTGTTTGACAATTGTATGAAGTTGTTTTGAATTCCAACCAGTAGTTTTCAAGTTATGCCCCGGACAAGGAAAAGTAACAAAGGGCAATAACTCTGTAATTAGTCAAGATAGAGTTATGGTTCTTGTGCACTGCACTTCCTCTCAATGTGCTTGACCATTGTATGTAGTTATATTGAATTCCAACCATTAGTCTTCAAGTAATGCTCCGGACAAGGAAAATGCAACGGACGTCTGGACCGACCGACCGATCAACCACCGGGTGACTCCTATATACCCCCCCAAACTTCGTTTTTGGGGGTATAATAAAAAGGAACAAAAAACAACAATCAGAACAGCAATGTCAGGCAATGATAAAAACAATAAATAAGGATATAGAAAAGTGAACTTTCTTTAACTGAATAATCAACAACATACACAGTGAAACACGAGATCTGGGTTCTAGAAAAAAAATAAACATCTCTCATTACATTACAGTATCAAGTGAAATCCTGTGTATACATGTACTTTGATACTTTATTATATTTAGGTCTGAGTACAACTCTTTTATATCTTATCTTAATATCACTCTTAATGAATCAATATAAAATAACTCTTTGACTTTTGTATTAGCAGCATATACAGACAAGTATATCAAATTTAGCTCTGTTGTTTTAAGACCAATTCTGAACCTACCCTCAAATGCACACATACAAAAAGGTAAAATAATTGTTCCTATTGATTTTTGTTATGCAAAACATCTTGGCATATTCAATTCAGATTTTCAGACTAAGTTGATACAGAATTAATTTAGTTTGATTATGAAGTACCCTATAAGCTTATAAACACACTCTTGAATCTATTACTGTGCAATGAGTATGAAGCTTCTTGCTAAAGGACACAACAGCTTGCCCCTGACAGGTTTTGAATCCACAGGACCCGCAACCCTGAGTTTACTAGATCTGATGCATTATACATTTGGCCATCCCACTATCTATTCTTTGGAATTATTGGCCAGTTATTTGTGATAGCATAACAACTCAAGACTTCGCACATCATTTCAAAAAGAGATTTGTAAAATAACTGTACCAGTTGAGCTTTGTTGTGGTAAGACAGGTCTGCTATCTGAGGCCTGGCTATTTGATCTGGATGTTTCTTCTTTCCCTCTAAGATCCAACTTATCCTGAGTTTTCTCATCTCGTATGTATTTACGTTTTAACATTGCCTTTTTCAGAACCCCAACCAGGGCCTCCACACTGAAATGATGTTGTACCTCAGCGGGTCTGTAAAACATATAATATATAGAAATTAACCTGCTGAATTGGAATGAACTTGTCCGATTTCCATTTTTAGAACTGTCCATTATCAATATTGGGGATATCAAAATAAAAATTTGAAGTTGGTACAATCATGCTGATTTCAAAACAAAATGAAGACTTCTCAAGGCTGCTATTATCAGTAAGTCAAGTGATGATTTTGTGCATACACAACCTTCTTGCTTTAGATAAAATTCATCAACATCCTTCTTTTGACTAATGGGCTTTGATATGATTTTGGCAAGCTACAGACAAATATTCTACCAATTAAAAACAGCCCAATATGGCTTTAATATTATATAAAAAATTGCTTAATCTAACAAATACTATTAAAATTTTATTTGATTTATTCTACAACAGGCAGAAGTCATTTGAAAGCAAACTCTTCTGAAAATCGGGGTAGTTTTTTTTTAACATCTTAATGTAAGTATATCACTATTTTTTGGGGGGATAGAAATGACAGTTTTTGAGTATAAATCAATGTTGACATTTATTAACTTACAGTTGATCTTTGGCAAGTTCAGCTAAGACTTTGAGTCTTGAACCAAGGACTACCGGTGCCTTGAAGCCGAGTGCTGCAGACTTGGCTCGCATGATCATACCCATGTCTGGTTTGATGACTGATACAGGACGGAACAGGAGACGTATATCGTTGCCAAGTTTGGTGGAGATAGGTTGTGTATCTGACAAGTTAATAGTCATGTGTACTGAGGTAGTTCTCTTCACTGCAATCTGAAATAGAATAATATTACTCATAATAAACATTCTGTTATTGAGTATTAGAACAAGTGCAGCAGTCCACTGGTGACACTGACAACAAATCTAACATTCCCTAGTTAAACACATTGCTACTTCAAATTAAAATTAAGAACATGTCTTTCCAATAGGACTTGTAATTACTTGTATCTTTTTACTTTTCTGGAAATATTAGTACATTTTGCTCTAGTTTTATTTTCTTGAAATGTTTTGGCTCATCTGTAGGCATGCAGCTTTAATGCCAAAAAAATAAAGGTTCATCATTTCATTTTACTTATTTCAATCTAAAAGGTGCTTACCTCTTGACCATCAGTTAGTGTGGCGAAAGTATGTCTAGCCTTAAGTGCGAAGGTGACCGCCTCTAAATGTTCGAACATAACAGCCATAGCAATGTTGCCTAAAGCCTGAGCCTCATCAAAACAACACCAACAACCATCCTATAGTAACAAAAATAATCATATTTCACAACTTTCTTATAATTAAAAACGAAAACTTTTAGAACAATTAAACAGTCACTTTTGATTCTACAAAATAAGAGATCATATAAAATCTGAAATTATTATTCACAAACTACAAAATGTATTAACAATAGGACCATGTTTGCTCTGGATTGCTAAGCATAGCCTTACAGAGCAAAACCTGTATAAGGTTGACCTAGTTTTCATTATGAAAATCTTCATAACTAAGTTTCATAAAGATTGGTTAAAATTTTGTAACTATTTATTTGATATTTACAAATACTTGTCTACATCTTTTTGGTTGTTTATAAAATACACACCATAGCTGTGCCCTGGATGATCTTGGCCAGACTTGTAGGGTCAGTTTGTTCAGAACACTGGAACACTCCTAAAAACTGACCTAGAATGTTTGCCAATCCCTGAAATTGTTCAACATTACATTAAAATGACAATCAAGTGTACTCATCGTTAGTCATCTTGCAACGTGGTAGTAAAAAGTATGTTGATTTCAGTCTATAAAACAATTAGTAGACGCATACTTTATTTAGCTTGATTGCTGTGGCAGCTAGATTAATGCCACTATTGAACCGACTATCCTTTGTTTGAAAGGCAGACATTTTAACCACTGGGCCATCTTTCTGCAAGCACGTATTCTTTGCTATTTTTAGATCTTTTATTCTCTTACAGTTTATTATAATTAAGGAAATATGAATGTAATACAATGAAATATATAATTTGAACACATACCTTGACAGTTTCTGTTTTACCGGCACCAACAGGTCCTGTAACTGCACTACCCTGGTACCTCTGTAATGCCTGAGACATGGTCAAGAAACATCTCTCTGTCACTGGAGTCAGGGCTACTCCAGTGTTCATACCATAAAATTCATTACCATTCTGATAGGAGGTGTCCAATATCCAGATCAGAGGTTCATATCTCTCCTCACCTGTAAACATCATATGTCATGTCACATTTCTATAAACATTATGTTACATTTGATATATACAGATAAACCAGTGTTAAAGACTACCTCTGAATAAAGGTCACCCTGTTAATAAAGGCCATTCTTTAACAACCTCTCATTTATTAAAAAGAACATACAAACCTCCATTTGAAGACCACTTGTTTTAAAGGTCAATTATGAGCCGTGTCACGACAAAACCAACATAATGGGTTTGCGACTAGCATAGATCCAGACCAGCCTGCACATCCGCGCAGTCTGATCAGGATCCATGCTGTTGGCTTACCTATCTATCATAAGTAGAGAAACTGATAGCGAACAGCATCGATCCATGCTGGTCGCAAACGCACTATGTTGGTTTTGTCATGACACGGCTCATATTTGGTCTTTCCTTTTGGTGCTCTTTGTTCACAGATTGATGTATAATGTCACACCTATTTTACCAAATATATTATCATATTGTGTCACACTCCATTTATACATTATGTAATATCACTAGCCATATACCCATGTTTACACTAAGTCCAAACCAATTTTTTATCTTGCTATAACTAATAAACATTATGTCTAAGTAAATATACTGTACATGTACATTATGTCACAATAAAAATACATTAGGTCAAACTTACTATTATACATCATGGCACACTTAATAAATATCATGTCACATTCAAAACTCAGTAATACATCATGTCACACTCATATACATTTAAAGGTCTAGGTCTTTTCTCAAATTTCAGCATTAAAACACTTTTTACCCACATTTGTATAAAATATATATATAATTAATTATAATATATATATAATAAATTTCGAGCCACAATCTATTTTAAAAAAAAAAACTTTAAAGAAATACAAATTTGCCCCTCTCTTCCATACATCCATACATACAAGTATAAGAACCAAGCAATTCTAAGAAACTTTAGCCAGCCCGCATAGCTCAATCGGTTAGAGCGCGAGACTTGTAATCTCGACATTGTGGGTTCGATTCATGGGCTGGCCAACTAAAATTACTAAAATCAGTCTTTCGGATGAGACTTTAAATCGAGGTCCCGTGTATGGGTGCTTAAACACTTGGCATGCTAAAGAACCAGGAGAAACTTCTGGAATTGGGGCATCTTTCTGTATCTGTAATTGCACTGTCCTTAAAAATCTTAAATGACTAATACTCTTCTGGAGGACTCGCCCATATGGGCAACCGGTGGCGAGTATAAATAAACGCAAATACACACACACGAAACTTTATATACAAAGTGATACACAGAGAATACAAAGTGAAAATATTTAAAGCAGTCACAGACAGTTGAGTTTGAATATAAATACAAGTCATCCACATCTGTTTATAACCAACAGAAGAACATGTAAAATAACTAAATAAATAGTATACCTTTAAACACCACTGTTAGTAAAAAATGAAATATTAAAAATATCCCTGTGTATAACACTATACTAAAATACTACTCTTCTAATCTATACACTGTTACACCTTTATTCTCAGGAATGAAGACAAAAAAAATCAACAAGTATATACATAAAAACATAGGCTTTACTTCATGAACTAAACAGTTCAAGTTCTCTACAAACATATAATAACTAATGTCTCAGAATCTACCCAAGTAATAGTTTGTGTTTATTAAATTATAACAAATTAAGAAATTGAAAGGGAAGGAACAGAAGTGGTTTGTTGTCATATTTTCCTGGACAGGGCTGCTGATGATTTTTGTATGAACAGGTTAAAATCAAGGTTGCTTGTGACACTAATATGGTTTCTTTAGTAAAGGATTTAATAAACACAACTACATGTACATGTATTTAAGAAATAGAGCACAGCACTGAGGTCCTCCTAGCATTATAGTGACTCATCAGCCAGCTCACAAACCTTGAACGAAACCAAGGCTAACTGGAAGGTCATAGGTCATGCTATAGGGTCCAAAGCGCTTGAGCTACTTCTTATAAATCACTGAACCTAACAGAAAAAGAGTTCTAAAGGGGAAAGAAATATCTTTGTGGGAAAAATTCTGATATTTTAAATAAAATACTGTAAATTCTATAACTTAAGGCAAATTAGAACAAATAAAATAGGTACACATTTTAGTTATCCTACAATATTTCCCAAAGTTTATATTTAGTGAGGAACAAATAAATACACACACAACTAAAGCTAGAAATAAATGCTTTTTTCGTCAAGCTAAATATACATTTGTGGGAAGGTATATTTTTGTGCAAGAATTCCTTACTGATTTCTGGTGTGGCACTATTACTATTGTTACCAGACGTAGGTAACTTCTGCTCCACTGGGATTGCAAAAAAATCAAAAAGATCGTACAATAAGATGCAGTTTGATAATAAAGATATATGTCTAAAAAAAAATGTTAAACGACAAATTATCATTTGCCACTGTTGAAGGATACAGTAAACATCTTAACACTATAGTACATTTTTTGCACTGGTCAATCGTAACTAAAATGCCCCCACCTCTGGGGAAGTGAGAGGGATAGCTGTAGAAAAGAGCCAAGTTTTTAACTTCTGTCTCTCTCCAAACTGCTTTGTCAATACAGTTAGTATTGTTCGACACCAAAATAGAAGGAGTAATTTCAACTCATAGTAGGCATTAATAAGCAGACATTTCTCAGCTATTGTCCAGAGGTAGGAATACCAGGGTTACAATTGACCTGTGTGCTATAAATTCATAATTTCTGCTGAAAAATCAAAGATTTTACTATGATAAGACCTACAAATACAATATTTCAACACTTAACAAGATCAGTTTTCTTAATTTTAGCTTGAATGTTTCAGCATGTAGTTGGCTCTAAGATTTCAGCAAACAAAGACCAACCCTTCTGCCCCGTAAAACAGTAAAAAACTTCAAACTGTTAAACTATGGCCACCATTTACCAAAAGATTCAAGTAAACATCCAATCAGCTTAACTTATAAATAGATTGTGTCTTCCTGAAGACTCAGTCATCTAATTATCAAAGAGAAATATGCTTTTTATACTGGAAGTAACGGCATACATTATATAAAATAGGACGTACCGATTGGCTGATAATAACATCTGAGACTTCTACGCCACTCAAAGTCGGACACCTCTCTCAGTTTCCTCTGACATAGCTGATCTAGGGCGTCTCGTAAAAACTGTGATGACTATAAATAGAAACAAAAAACACGAGTTGTTAGGTCTCTAGTAAAGCCTAACAGCTGTTAGGTTACAATGATCTCAAGGAAAAAGCATTAAAGATATTAAAGTCACTCACTCACTCACTTGATCACTCACTCACTCACTCACTCACTCACTCAGTGTAACCTCTGCAAAGTGCCTGAAATAATGCATGGAAGGGCACCTGAGGTCTTCCTCCACCAGTAAAGCTGGAACGTCGTAATATGACCTATACGCTGTGTCGATGTGAAGCTAAACCCAAAACAAACAAACAAACAAAACCTCTGCAAAGCTGCCCTCCTGTTATTTGATATATAGCATATTATATTTGTGTAGAGGCTTGCATAATATGATTTTATTCAACTAGTTCAATAAATTACACTCATTCAATGCCATATATATATTTAAGGTATGTCCTGTAACATGTAAATCAAAATAAAAATAGACTGTAAGGGTAGTTAATACTACTTACGGTGATCATACATTCCAGCCTGTTTTTATGTAGAGGTAACATTGGGTCCTCCAGATTCCTCCATTGACCTCTAGATAGCACAGTGGGCAGCTTTGATACAGTACCGATATATTTCTTTAACGTTCCTTGCAGAGCTTTTCTGTCAAATTTAATCTCAGTAATGCCCATGTCACATTCCTTTGTCCAGTGGTACAGCAAACCCAATCTGCATACCTGAGCTGGATACTGTAAAAATAGACAAAACATAGCAACATATTAACTCTAACCATCATAAAGTTATATGATAAACTTGTCAACCCTTACATTTGGAACTGCAGATTACTACAAATAGTTATGCCATAAAATAAAGCAGTAACAAGTCAATGACCTTGTTTGACAGCATGGCTGCACAGGATGCCTTAGCTCTATACTAGTTGCAAAGATGATTTATTATTGATAAATTAACAATTAAATTCACAATATAGGATTTACATTTCTGCTCTGTCTGTAACAGAAATTTACAGTCAACATATTCAATGACACTCTAGCTTATACCTGATGGTTGGAGACCTCACGCATATATTAACGGCCATGGACAAATAACTGAAAGCCAATATAAAATCAGCTGAATGGAACCAATCTATACTGTAGGGACATGCAGTCTGGCCTGAATCTATACTGCTGGCATAGGTAAGGCATTACTTCTAGAGTTTGGACATTTGACTTTGTAATGCAGTGTTTTTAAAAAAAAACAAAAAAAACTATCGAAGTTACCTTTGCCGCCCACTCATCTATGGGAACACCGTTGTTACAATCTTGTATGATTGCAATGTTCATCTCTCGTATAGTCTTACATACGGAGTCACGTAGTTTTGACAACCAGATTTCCACCTCGTCTGTTAACGTCACCTGATATATACAAAAACTGTCTAAAGTCAAACAGTCATTTTTATGAATTTACGTTATGCAACAATTTCTAAATTATTTGACTTAAATTGAATTTAGGTCATAAATTTTATACAGCCATATAAATATTAACACCACAACTTGAATGGTGAGAATAAATGGTAAAAACAAACTACATTTTAGAAGGAAATAAAATATTATACATGTCAAGTACAGTTTACCTTTTCACTGAGAAGGAATGATTCTCCGTCAGCACTGGATACAGAAACAGCGTCTTTTATAACAATCTCCTCCATTATACCCTCCGAGGGCAGGTACGTCGGACCTTGCTGGAGGGCACTAGGGTTCATATTCTGATATGTAGAAATAAAATACGAATTAAAAACCCTGAATATAACTGAATTGTGTTCCAAATATCCTGTCAAAAACCCTCAGTTACAAGAATATAATGTCATGTTGTTTTCTTACATATTTATCTTATGATTATTGTATATTGTATAAAACACAACATAACCAATGATTATTCTATGTTTAAGTACTTTTTTTTTCTTTATATCTTTTTAATAGCAAATTACAAAGTACTTGTAAATCATAATACATATGCAAATAAAATGAAACTACATAATGATGTCATCTAAAAGTTTGAAAAAGTAAATCTAGATGAATACAATTAACAGGAAAGTAACATAATATTATTGTTCTTCTACATCTCTAAAAGTCATTATGCTGGAAAAAAATATATGACAAAACAAAATAACTAAAACATGGGATAATTTTAAACATTCTAAATAAGTCATAAACTGACAAGAAATCATTGTTAATATGTAAGGAAATGCAAAGACTTGGTCCATCTAAAATAAAGATAAACTTCTCAATAATTCCTTGTCATGTTTGTAAAACATTTTTCTAAATAACCAACATTTAACGTAATTTGTTTCAACATCTTTCTGGGTAAATATTTCTCAACATTTTATGTCTGAATTTTTTTTATTTTTTCTACTATGTGTCGGAATCTTTTATCATGTAATGTACATGTATATCACATCATCTCATTCAATATCTATTTAACCAATCAAAATGCTTCTTTACATCATGTGACCACATAAATGTATTTGGGTATTTGTATGCATGTGCTTACTAATAATGTTTTGTTTCTGTTCATATATCATTCACATGTTACCAGACACATTGCCGTACCTACGTAAGTGGATCAAAGTACTTAAGGTACCAGTGGAAGGCCATTTTTGAACTTTGACAGATTATTTATTAATACGTTTTAGTAATCATGTAAATGGTATTGAACAATAATTTAACAGTTTTTATAAAATGTTGTTTAATAGACACCCAGAACATTTTGTATAACTGTAATAATTATAAAATTATGTCTTACAATACGAGAATCTTCTACTATTGCGTTTTTTTTCGCATATTCAATTATTATACCTGACCACGGATTCATTTGCTATGGAAACAATAAATTGGCTTAATTATGAAACAGTACTGTATAGTCAAATATATAAAATATATCACTAAACAATAAAAATAAAATATTTAAAATTAACTTGACAAAATAATTTACAAATTTTTGTGCACAAGAAATAAAAAAAATTGTTCAGTATCGTTCAGTTTACATGGAATCGTTACAGCTTAAATTTTTTAAATCGTCATAATATCAATACAATGTATTCATTTTTAGTTCTGTGGTAGAATTATTTAACAAATTCCAGTGAATGATAACAAATTTACATGAATAAAGATTAAAAAAAACAACAACAGAAACAATTGAATATTTAAATTCATTCTGTTTAAAAATGATTAATAATAAATGCATTGTAATTATAATGTACTAGTACTATGTAAAATTAAAATATTTTATATCGATCACTATTGGATCCATTTCCTGGAACAACATGTCCCAGTACTGATATGTCAATTGATGGAACTTTAATCATGACCCAAGTAGGAATTGAACCTATGACCACTAGGTTGAATGGTAGATGCCACTGTTTTTCTCATACATATTGTGTTGATAATGATTTTGTAAAATACTAAAATATACACCATAATAAATATGAAATGAATTTAAAAGGAAAGTTCAGAAAAAAATGTGTAAAACTTTGTTCAAATGAATGACTTAAACAAACATAACAATTGGTGTAACAGTATGTACCACAGAATCTGCAGCTGTTGGTTTCTTCATTTTCTGGTAACATTGAATAAAACAAATCTGTCAGCAGTTCATATAATTATTTCATACTATTTAAGAAATCAAAATAAGAATGCTTCATAGGCAATACTTAGTAAAAGTTTGATCAAAATTGCGAATCATTTCACCTGGAAAAGTTTATTACATGCAATAAAATGTTGGATGGATGACACTATATTTTTGCTGAAATTAGGTATATAAAAATCAAAACACAAAAATGCAGAATAATCTGAGCTAATCAAGGGGAATAACTCAGTAAATATCCATGTGCAAGAGTTACAGGTCTTGATCAGTGACCTACAATTATGTTTTTGAAGACAGTCATGTGTAAAGTTGAAATGAATACCTTTTAGGTTTAGAAAAGTTGCACACAAAAAAACAATCAAGTGGTATGCCATCACATTGCCCACAGTGTGCTAAAACAGTAGTACATCACCCTTTTAAAATGATAGTTGTAATGTGTGCTGTGTTGGCTGTGCTAATACACAGAAGATGAGTTTTAATTGTTATGTGCATTTCTTTTATATCATTTGTGGACACATCATGCTTGGGTGTGGATTAAACTTCTGACCATCTCTCCAACAGACTGAAAGCCTTTAAATCCACATAAATTCCATTTTCATAAATCCCAACACTAGTAATCAAACTATTAAAATTTCTTTTGATATAGATTGTAAAAATAAAATTATACTATAACCTATAAAATATGTAATGGTACTAATAATCTATAGTGTTTGGGTGGGATCTTTCAAAACTGGAATATATTTGGTTCTAAATGGTTTAGGGCGTGGGACAGAAGTTTGATCCACACCTAAAGTGTGTCTGCACTTATCTGCCATTTTTTAAATCATGTCACATGATTCCCAGTCACATTATTAAATAATTGCAAGTTACATGAAACTGAGTCTTCTTATTGCATTCTTAATAATCATGTCACATGGAGGATCCCAGTCCGGTAATAACATGTACACTTTTTATGGATCTTAATCAAACCTTCTCACATCACATGACTCCTATTCTAGTAATTACATTTTAAATAAAATCATGTTACATACGCATTGTTTTTCTGATTAACAAATAAATGGCCCATGCTAGGATAACATTCTTACTCTAAAAACATGCTGTGTACGAATGCAAAAATATCATGCAACAATCTTGCTACGTTTTTGAGACCTTTCAACTTTTAATCATCACAAAATCAAACTAGTGCAAAAGACCATATCCTTTTTTGTAAAACACTAAAAAAAACAATAAATAAAAAAAAAACCAACAATAAATATAAACAAAATATTGCATTAAAAAATTGTCAAACAATTGAAAATATTTTCAAAAACTATTCAATGCACTCATTGACTTCTGTCTAAAAATATAAATGTGAACACAAATTTTGAAATGCTATACCTCAGGCTCAGATGTTGATCCTTTCCTTTTCTAATTAAAAAGTAAATATTCATAGTTCATGATTACAACAATAATTTCAATGAAAATGACTTATCATGAACTTATTGCTTATCTTGAACTTCTGTCTTTCATGATTTTATTGCTCTTTATAAACTAGCTGTTGACCTTATTTATCATGAATTTATGAATCATGATGAAATTGTGCCTTGTTAAGAACTAGTTTAACTTATGACTTGTAATGAACTTATGGCTCATCATGAAGTTAGGGTGTATCATAAACTTATTACCTAATACTTGAACTTGTAATTCACCAAAACTGACTGTTTATTTTGGTTTAATTGCATATCATTATAATTTTATTTCTTATCATGATCTTATTGCGTATTATTAACTATAATACTATAGAAAGTCTATTTGAAACATAATAACAGTCAGTCAATCAATCCAGTTTTGCAAACAACACAAATTTACAATTTAATGTACATAGTGCTATCAGGTGTGAATTTTTTTACCTTTGTATATTCTGATGAAGATCCCTTTTTTCTCTATGAAAGACAAATCATTTATAAAATTCAAACAAAATTTCAATACACTTTCCAAGAACAATAAACTTAATAAAACAAAATTAGTAATAAATAAATTATTTTAAACACAATTATTTTTTCATTTATTTGGATCTAATGCTGATTCAACACAAAAATGGTCATACATCAAAGTTCATTAACAATGTAAAACAAGAGAGCCATGGTGGCCCTAACTTGCTCACCTTACTGAGCTAAAAACAAAATCAACACAAAAAATGGTCATATGTCAAAGTTCATTAACAATGTGAAACAAGAGAGCCATGGTGGCCCTAACTTGCTCACCTAACTGAGCTAAAAACAAAATCAACACAAAAAATGGTCATATGTCAAAGTTCATTAACGATGTGAAACAAGAGAGCCATGGTGGCCCTAACTTGCTCACCTAACTGAGCTAAAAACAAAATCAACACAAAAAATGGTCATATGTCAAAGTTCATTAACGATGTGAAACAAGAGAGCCATGGTGGCCCTAACTTGCTCACCTAAATGAGCTAAAAAATAAAATCTTGTCATCCAACATCATAAGCTGTCTTTTACATAGCCATAAACATATTCAAATAACAGAACATAGAAAAAAAACAACAAACAAATGAAATATGAATCAGCAGAACACAACTTACATATTCCTTCTTTTTCTGTTATATGAAAATGAAGTTTTCTCAAATTTTCATTAACAATTTTGGCAAAGTATTCAAAATATTCAATTAAAAGACAATTTTTAAACCAAATCTCTAAAACTAGAAACATAAAAGGTGTTAGCTATAGAACGCAAAATGTAAGAAAAAAATTGTTAAAACTGCTGGTTTGATATTCCAATATTTATATATGAAGAGATATTTGGAAATATTGGGAATTTAATTCAATCACCTAAATATACTCATGAAATCAATATTTCACTACAGATTATCCAATTCATTTGGAAATACATGTATTTATAAATCTATTTCCATCATTATGATACAAAATCAAACTAGTGCAAAAGAACATAACTTTTGTAAAACACTCCATAAATTGAAATTAAATCAACAAAATATTGCTAAATAAATTGTCAAACATATGAAAAAAATATTTTCAAAAACTATTTAATGCACTCATTGACCTCTGTCTAAAAATATAAATGTGAACACAAATTTTGAAATGCTATACCTCAGGCTCAGATGTTGATCCTTTCCTTTTCTAATGAAAAAGTAAAATATATCACCTATCGATGACATAGATATTTCACACAGATTACCAAATTTATATAGGAAATATTATGAAATTTATTTCTATCACCTACCCATAAAATTAATATTTCACCACAGGTCACTAAAATTAGGGAATCTATTTCCATCACCTAATCAATAAAATAGATATTTCACCACCTATTATCAATTTATAATCACGAAACCGATTCAATCACGGAATACCAAAGTCATTTTGGAATTATTACATGTATAAGGGAATTTATTTCCATCACCTACTAATGAAACTGAACATTTCAGGTCAGTTTACAAAATTCATTTGGAGTTATCAAGTAAAATGTATGATCATCTAATCCAGGCTTGAGTTAATACAAATACATAAGTAACAACTAATTTTCTTAGATTATTTGTGTAAATGTTGGATTATTTGTTACATTAATTGACTATAATAATTATCACCACATTTGTTACATTAATTGACTATAATAATTATCACCTATATATGTACCAAGCAGCAGTGCCATTATATCATTATGAAGCATTATTAGCAGACACTAGTATCTAAAAGTAATACCAAATTAGTAAAACTAATTATCTAATTCATTATTGATTCTTAGTATAATTCTTAGTACAATAAAGACAAACAAAAAAAGATAAAAATATTTTCTTTATAATTAAAGCATTAACATTTTATTAGACAATCACAAATATGAGCCCCTGTTCCTAACATATCAAACAAACAAAAAATTTCATGGCATAAGACTTAACAGACTGTACAAATCAAATATACACGCGCTTCAAACATAAACTGGTGGACATAGTTTAGTCACATGAGACAAGAACATGTTGATCACATGATTCCCAAAAAGCTTCCAACATAAACTCGGCACATATAACTCACTCTGCTGCCAGGCCCTGGCGTAGAACTAAACAAGATACGTTCTACAGTAGGTCTGCCCCGGGGTCGTACCCTGGGTTTTGCTATACGTCTCATCTGCTGCTGAGTATCACTCATAGAGGCCTTTATATAATCACGATACAGAGTAATAACTTAAATCGTGAACATAAAATAATTGTATCATTCCCTTAATCAGTATGTGACTATTTCACTCTCTGAATCCCTTTGATCCGTTAATTTCCCTGAATAAACTAAATTCCATCAATCCATTAATCCTCCGCCCACCCCAAATCTGCCTGAACTCCCCTTGGATCCGCTCAGTCCCTCAGATTCACAATAATTTGAGTAAGAGAATCAACTTTAGGTTATTGGATAGCTTAACTTTTAATACTTTTTACACAATAAATTTCATAGTTGTACATTAATCTAGGGAAACAATGTGTTCAATCATAAATATATTTTCAAATACAAAATAAAACTATCACAAATATAAAATTTCAAAATATGCTATAGCAAAACAATATGATTTTGATGCATTACTGACTAAATGTAATCATAATTTCATTCTTAAGATAAAGTTGATCTGATTACATTGCTGTTTATAATTACATTTGACCTTGTTAATGAAGATGAGAAATGAGGAAAAGAAGAAGGTGGGTACATGATATTGTTATATGATATAGATAGATTTGTTTTCGTACAGGACCGTACAGATGTTTGGTGAATTTATCTACAACTTACATCTTCATCGCTATGTTTTCTAGCCCGACGACGCTATTCATGAAATCATTATACGATCATTAAACAAAATTAAAACATAAAAGATTCATCCATCAAATACTTTCTAATTATAGTCGAACTACTTTGTTTTCTAACTGATTCACATTATACCTGCATACTGTCACATTTTGTTACTATTTTTAACTCTGGTGGGCCCAATAAAAATGGCTTTACTAAAATTCCACAAGAATACTCGACAGCAGCTTGATAGGATGTTTGAAATGGATAATTACAGTCAAATAATCTGGTACTGACATAGCAGTACTCAACTAACACTATGCAAATTACTAACACCTCCACAACCTCTAGCAAAATCTGTATGTTCAACAAGCAATGCTATTATATTATGTGTAAGGTATCAAATTTATATGTTTGTGCAAAATATGTTAAGTATAATGATATACAGATTATATATTTGTAATATCTTATGTGTACTTCAACTTAAAAAACAAGATTATACAGTAGAACTTGGATAAGTCAAACTTAAGGGACTTGCGTAAATACTTTGATACATCAGGACTTCGACTAAAGAATCAGTCTCAATTTATTGAAAAAAACTCCAGTTATCAATGTTAACCAGTGAGTTACAAAAGGCGTAATAAAAGGAAGGGCAGTAACTACAATAACTTTAATATAGTAAATTTAATATATCTCGTGCAATTATCATGTGACACCGGGTCTCAGAAGATCTCAAATGAATAAATCAGCACATATTTTTAATAAAGAATATATAGGGGAAAAAATTTGGACTTTCAATTTTATTCGGCACATCGAGAAAATCAACTAATCTAAGTTCAACATATAGAAGTTCTACTGTATATGTCCATACCTGTATAGATTATAATTCATTCGCAGTAACATATATGCATGAAATTAGAATAAGGTAAACTGGTACTTGTTTATATCACGCTTTATTACTAATACAGATCTTATAAAACAACTTACATAAACTTGAGTGAGTCTTTTATCAATTTTTGGTGGGGTTTCCCCTCGGTTTTGAGCGGAGAGTACACTAGATGTTTTTGCTCGACTGTGTGGGGTAGTGGATCTGAGCCCTCCTCCAGAGCCAGGGAAGCCAACCTCATCTGTGGGTTCTATAGGACCTGCTCGGGTTTCTTCCAGCTTTACATCATTTATACTGCTGAATATTGATCTAAAAAAAATCCATGTAATATTATAATACTGCAACTTTGTTACATCTATTTTCATTGGATAATAGTGACCTTTACTTTACCTGTACAAGTACACATGACTGCTGTAAATTTATAAACTGATATTTACTTTTCCTTTAAGAAATAAATTTCCAGTAATAAATGTTAACGTTTTTTTATTGTTTGCTTGTATATAAAAACAAAATAGTATTATACATAATCATATACTTAATTTTTTGTTTGAAGGATCAGCAATGATGAAACAAAATTTTTTTTTTCCAATTTAGGTTTTTATCACAATACAGAAAAAGCAAAAGCATATCTCTTTGGTCATATCTCAGTGGTCCAGCCACCTAACAGGCTTTCCTGGATATCCAACCAGTAATAACAGATTTTTCCACAAGTGACCTACTTATAATCCAATGTTAAAGATCAATTCTCAAAGAGAAATTTATCGACGCCTGAGGAACAAACTAGCCACCCCTGGATAACTTATCTGATGCTATCCAATACTGCAATATATATATTGTGACCAACTACCAATCCAGTATCTAAGATCTATTGTCACACAGAAATTTTGCCTCACCCCAGGGATCCAACTAGCCACTCCTGGACAACTAATCCGGTGCTATCCCATACTGCCATATACTACTCTAAACCCTTTAAAGGCAATGTTAAGAGATAAATATTATCACTAGCTTACTTGAGATGAGGTTTTACAGATTCCAGGTCTGTTGGTCTACTCAAGATGGCAAGCAGTATAGGATCAGAGACATAATAGAACCTTGGAAACACACGCCTCTTGTTGTCTAGGTAACCAACCAGTGACTTGAAGCAAATTTCAAGTTCTTCATAAACATGACGTAGTAATACTGCCTTTGGTACTTCTCCACCATAGCAACACTGTAAACAACATTGACAATTTGGAATCAATTTAACAAAATAATCAATTAAAAGTCAAAGTCAATCAGAGGTCATTGGTATAAAATCTTATTAACATTGCACACTGTTGCTCTACAGACAAATATCAGTTTTTCCCTTAAAACTACATTATAACATTAATGTCCCTTGAACGCTCCATTTGCAAAATGAGAGATTTTTTGACAAGTACTTTGGAAAATAAAAATATGCAAAAAAAACCTTTGCATATTTTATCAACTCTGGAAAAAAATCTGTCTTGAGTGTTGAAAATAATTGTATTTTCAACAGAAGTTTATACTGTAAAAACTTTCAATTTATTAGAATTATTAGTTGCTTTATTTCCAAAAAACTGCCTATAGACACATACCTGAAGAACATTTCTTGTATCAAATGCCCGCTTCATCATCTTTGTCCAGCTCTTGTCAATACGAGCAAATCTCTTAGCCTCCTGTGGTAGCTCCTAAAATCATGACAAAAATTCTCATTATCTCATATATAGCATGTAAGATATTTGTAACCCTGCACATTTGTAACATAGATTATCATTAGACAATGATGATTAAATTGTATATTTTGCCACCTTTGTGCAGTAACTGGGTAACTCATATTAAATTTCATAATGAGTTAACCCAAAACTGCAATACGGTGATGGTGTTTTGCAAATTTATGGGTTTTTTTAAATTTTCAACAAACAAATTATAATAAATTTGATATACGAAATATGAAGTTGTCTTCCACAAAACTATATAAGTTTACAACCATTCAAACCATGTCATACAGCTTATTAAAAATATTTATAAGTAATGATATAAATATAAAGTACTTACTCTAGCAGCCACTTGATTACTGAAGACAGCTTCCAGATATTGCCACAAATCTTGCACCTCTAACCAGAGTTCAAGCACCTCAGCCACTTCCTTTAGCTTCTCAGCCCATGAGGCTGCCTCATCCCTCAGTGGACCGATATATCTACAAAACAACAAAGCAACTTCTTATATACACACTGATGATGTCATAAAAGAAATGTAATACATAAATAATCTTGACTAAGTAATTTGCACCAGAGGAATAACCAAACAAACTAAAAGAGAAAATAGAAATATCTTTTATGCATTAAAGGACAATTTACAAAAAGAATGAACATTTTATAACTACAAACCTTGATGTGAGCATGTTAGCCAGTAAGGCCTGTGCATCTTCAAGTTGTTCTAACAACCTCTCAGTAAACACTTTATCCAAGTATATAGGTCCACGACGTTTGTAATGCTCGAAGGCAAGCACCTGTTCCGTCCATTCCTCCTCGGTCATTCTCATCTTGATCTCAAGTTCAAGTTCTCGGCTTGCACCGAGACATATTTCCTCTATTGCTGCTTTATGTCTGTAATAAAATGAATACCGGTAAATGTTTAATTATTTTTAATTCTGTATTTGTCTGTATTCACAAGTTTACGGATACATCTGAGTAAAATTTAAAAAGGTTAATTTTTCCTATAGACTAACATGCATTTAAATTTTACAACATTATTAAATAAGCTGCCACACGGTTATATAGAGTACTGTTTGTACAAAATATTGGCAAATTGCTCACAAAATTGCGTTTTCCTTGAAATTGATATTTGTATAGCAATTTTTTAAGTTTAGGTGGACCAAGAATATTTTTAAAAGTATACCTTAGCAAGATAAGATTGATTTTCACTAATGTATATATTGCAAATGAAACAAAAATTTGTATTTAATAAATGCACTGGGACTAAACTTACTTTATAAGACCAATATCCAGTAGGTGACATAGTCTAAACACATTGGCTTCTAACTGGAACGAACTTCCGGTGACATGCATCACTTGTAGCCAATGACGATTTCTGATTTCCTGTAGAAAGAAACATGAATAAAACATTAACTATAAATTTTATATAAACACAAATTTCACGCATACTTCTTTTTTCCCCCAAATGCATTTTACATGAAATTACATATTCTGGTTCGGTTTATTAACAAACATATCACAAATGTCTATTTAATGTATATAATCAAATCATTGTATTCTAAAGCTTTCAAGTACATAAATATAATATGTAGAAATGGCACAAGAGTTTCTGTACATTAATTTCGGTGTATTTATACTTTAATACTACTTGTATTTTTTATAAAATATTATACTTCCTTGAACTTAATGTGGTCTGATTTTGTACATGCAGGTGTTAGATATAAGCTGTAAAAGCAAGTTTGTTTTTAATGTCTAATTGCAACAGACATAATTATATCACAGACATAAAGCACAGACATAAATCACAGACACTTGATTAGTTCATCTACAAATAAATAACACAATCTAAAAAATCAACATATATTTATTACACACTTTTTACTGAATATGTCAAAACTGTTGAAAACTATGTCAGACACATTTTCCATGTGTACATGTCTCGCAGACACATGATTCTACCAAAAAAAAGTCACAATTCTGCATAATTTCAGAATAAAATGAAATAAAAAGAAATTATTCACATTTCTACAAAACAAATAAATCATTAAAATAAAAATTCACTCAAATAAAAGACCCCAAAAACAGCTCTCCACACAAATACTTTACTCACTGGTATTTCAAATCTTTGACTTCCCTGGTTGGCGATAAGATAACATAAAAACATCAGTTTGAATATTTAAACTATATATAGTACTGATTTTCATCTCTAATCAAGTTAGTTTTACATCAATTTGATATTAATGTTTCATTTCATGTGCTTTCAAAGTGATTGATTTGCATTTCTTCTAAGTATACATAATATTTCAAGTGTTCACAGTGTTATAGTAAATTTTTACAAAAAATGGAGTCCTTAACAAGGGAGACGTTACCTACAAGTATAATACAACTTTTATAATTTGAAGAATTAATTGTTACTCTCTTGAAATATCATGGGGATTACAATCCCACTAAACTTTTACAGAAAATTAATAAAATGATCTCTAAACAAACATTAACCGAGTTTCTTAAAAAGCCCTTATCAATTTATAAAATCATTTAATCTAAAGTCTTAACCAATCTTAAAATTTTCTTTTTTTAGTCAAAACATAAGAATTTACTCTTTAAATTGAAGAATTTTATAGAAATCATTAAAAAAAACTTATTATAGAAAGATTTTAAGTAAATATGGAAGAATTTGTGACTTGACAAATTAGAACTTTTGCTTATATTTTAAATATAAGAATGTTTATTCATTTAGCCTACAACCTGGGGACATACATTTTTCTGAATTAAAACATGCATATTTCTAGATAAGTAAAACATGCTTTCTATTCTAATGTCTAGCTTTTTTTCTAGTAATGTTATTTCTGCCTGGTCTTGTTGTTTGTTTTTTTATTTTTTTAAATCCTAATTTTTACTCAGGTCTATCATTAAGATGGTAAGCAAATATCTTTTTTTCAATTTATAAAAAAAAAGAACATATTAGAATTCTAGAGTGGATCATTACTGATGCAATATGCTGGTGTGTAGTGTTAATAAATTATGCACCAGTGAATTGTAACCTCAGTCCCCCAACCCCATAGGGTACTTTTAGATTTCAGATCCCTGGTGTGCTAGAATAGTCCAAAGATAAAGTCTCTTAAAGAAGCACCCGTCCTGCCAGTTGGAAATGAGTCCCAACTTTTTTGTTACCGAAACAAAATCATTGTATTGACCCCCTGCCAGTTGGAAATGACTCCGGACTACTTTGGTACCAAAACAAAACCTGTATATTGACAGGGCAGGGTGGGGACGGACAGAAGTAAAATCTTCGCTATCCCTCACACTGCCTGGAGGTTGGAGGGCCGAGGTTACCAAACGATTGACACATATGTTGTAAGCTAGTTGTACCGAACATTACCCGTATAGAAGGAGTTTCTTCACCAGTACGTAACTTTTTTTGTGAACATATAGACAAGTCATTAAAGCATATTACTATTATACAGTACAATGATAGTTTAAAAACATGATTTTAAGTTAATTTATATCAACACTCAGTACAGTTCTCCAGGAATACTGTCAACTAATACTATTCATTTTTGCAGGTAGATACCAAATCCTACATAAAAAAAATTCTTGACAAGAAAGTAAAATTTTAACATATATAGTAACATAATTGTAATCGTCTAATGAAGTCAAGCAAATTATATTACAACAGACAATTATCATCTCAATAAATTGGAACAGTATTAAGGTATGACATCAAAAGAATCTTGGAGGCATTATTTGACAGTATTCAATCAACCAGAAACATACAATGTATATTTTATCTGTTATTTTATCATATGTTGGATTTTCATAATACTGCACAACTGCATGTTTGTAACACTGATTTTCTTTGGACAATTGTGATGTTTTTTATTGATTATAAAGCTGTGCTCAAATGTTTGTTTGTTATACAACCTTCACCATATTGCTCTGATTATATATATGATCTTTCCAAATCCTTTATAACCAATTATGTACAAGGAATGATGTACAATTTACATGTGCCATATTAGCTGTGAAATAGTTTTACAATATAATTCATAAATATTTCTGACAGGTTATATGGCCAAATATAAACAACTGTAAGGCTATATAATTCAAGTTTCTTGGTGAGGGTTATATTGCAAAAGCACAGCTAATAATCAGTTATATAACCCTTTTAAAACCTTAATTAGAAATTTAAAAAAACAGTACAAATTCTTTTTTTGGTTATGTAATAAATTAACATATAGATTATATATATTTCACAATTATCCAATGAAAAACGCGTTACAAATGTGCAGCGTTATAATGAATAGTATAAAAGGAATCAAGTATATGGGCCTTTAATAACCTTAACAACCAATAGTATACAGAGAATTTAGTATATTGGTATAATCCATAAGGGAACTATAATGCTGAAATAAAACACAAACATGGGTAGGAATATTAAGCCATGGCACCGGGGGTAAAGTCACATCCTGTTGTCTAAATAATACTGAAAAATCTACGCCAATTACAGGGTGGTCTACACCAAGTACAAGTGACCTATATAAGCCAACTCTGGATTGCATGGAGTTTCCTTGGGTTACCAAAAAATGTAGGGTACAAAGGTATGCCTCTTTTACTTACTATAGTTACATATTTTCCTAAACCTCCCTGTATATACAAAAATTATACATAAAATATCCATAATATATACAGTTATACAAGATGGAATATGTTCAATATTTATAAAATCAATATTTATAAAATCCAAGTCAGTATTTTACAATTAAATTGTTGCACACATTTTAAAAATATGATATCATTCTATTTTCATCTAAGGCTTTTGAATTTACCATATGACTGTCCAATATATTTCCTGCATTTGATACTAAAGTATCCAATTTTGGACAGTAAAGTATGTTTGGCCTTTTCCAAGAAGGATAAAAGTTGTTTATTACAAAGTATTGGAGCATGACTTTAAAAAATAAAACTGTCTGAGGTTCCTTATCAAAATAAATGTATATTAATTGGTAACAATTTGTATTTCATCTATATAATGTGGATAAAGAAGTAACTGGTTATATAACATCATACTGTACAATATGAGATATATTTGGACTCTTATACAGATTGAGGTATCATATTAGACTTGTCTAGTGTCTTGTCTCTATGTACTATATCCAAATATATTCCCATATCATACAGTTATTATTAAGATTTTTAAATAACTTAAAATTGTAATCCAAAATTCAGTAGGAATAACTCTTTTCATTCATTTATGATTTTCATAATTACATATATAGTTACAAATATTAAAAATTTTGAACTGATGTTAACTTCAAACTGTTTAAACATAAATGTCAAAAGATATTACAAAGGAAAAAAAATCATTGACTAAACTAGACATGCTAGAAATATCATGATCTATTTGTAATATAAAACATACAAATATTACATATAAATTTTAACATGTATATTTTAAAGGTATTGGTACATGCACGCTGACAATTTTAAATCCCTGCATCAAAAGCCAGTGACATACAAGCAATTTTCTAAGCATGACCATACCATGGGTAAAACATTCCCTCATTCAAATGTGTAAAAATGTGCTAAATTACATGCAGGAGAAAATATGATTATATGTAATTTCAAGGGCATGAATGCATATAACTGCAATTACTATTGCAGATTATCAAATATCTGAAAGCTTTGACACCATTATGAAATATGGAAATGTAAATCTCCCTTTCCCCTCCCCTCCCCTACCCCCTGTAAAGTTTTGATTGCACATTTATATTCTTTCTTTTCTAATCCTTAAACTACCTTAAACTGCTGAATTTTTGTTATGAATTTGCCCTGCTTTAAATTTGGAATGATCCATTCAATGTTTTAGAGACTTAAAAATCAAAATGGAAAATTTATCAACAGTATAGAGCCTGGTCAGACTGCACAATTGTGCAGGCTGGCTGGCCTCAGGCACTTTTGGTCCCAGGAGACTAAACAAAAAATTGATTTCAAAGCATGATTTATCTTAGTTATACTATTACTTGCAGGTTTATTGAAAAATCTACCAACCTATCCCTCTCAAATACCCCTACAACAATGAAATATCAAACATGTAGTCCAGGATTATACAGTTTACTTAAAAGAAAGTAGTTCCTTTGAAACAAAGCTTTCACATATTTTGTTTAAATTTTAAGCACAATGAAAAAAGGGAAAACTGGAAACACAATCTGACCTGGGCAAGCTGAAATAAGTTATTATGAGTCATAATATTATAATTTTTTAATTAACAAATGATAAACAAAGTGTAAAAAAATAACACAAAAAGCATCAACTCCCTGAACATTTTTTCTTTATTAACTGATTTAGTCACCGAAACTTTAAAGTCTTGCCTATCAAGCTTTACAAATGGAGGTAGACCTTGGATGCTCCTCTGTGCATTATTTTAAGCATATGCAGGCTTGTTAGTAAAGCAACCATCTTCGCTAAGCTATCAGGATATCTTTGGCATATGGACATATTTTAAGTCCCCATTGGGTTCCAAAACCCACAATCACAAGATGCCAGAAATTGAAGGTCAGCAACCTTAACCACGCTATATCTTAACTTTGAAGCTGTTGATTTTGAAGCATGTTCATTATTTGTTCAATTTCGACTTTTCTTTGTGCAATAACAAATGGTTAAAGTAAGCCACATGAAAATGGCATGGTAAACAAGAGCTGTCAGTAGGACAGCAACGCTCGACCATTTTAAGTGCTTGATAGTAAAAGAGACTTGATAATGTAAATTTTTCTAAGTTAATAAACCGGCCAAATTTTTCTTTAAATCCATGTTATAGTTATAGGCCTTAAAGCGAGTCCTATAATGCTCTCAAAGAAGTGTATAAAATTTCAACTTGTTTCAAAGCCAGATGTCAATGAAATATGAAAATATCTGAGGTGGTATGCAAACTTTTACGTAAATTCTAAGTAAAAAAAGAGGCATAATTCTGACAAAATGCTTGATAGAGTTACCTCCTCCTGTCTACAGGTTGAGTCATGATGTTGAACAAGTGTGCAAAGTTTCAAAGCCATATGTCAATGGACTTTGAAAATATTTGAGGTATTACAAAAACTTTAACGTAAATATTTAGTCGAAAAAGGGGCATAATTCTGTTACAATGTTTGATAGAGTTACTTCCTCCTGTCTACAGGTTGGGGTCATGATGTTGAACAAGTGTGCAAAGTATCAAAGCCATATGCAAATGGACTTTGAAAATATTTGAACTATTACAAAAACTTTAACATAAGTGGTTACACCGAAGCCGACGCTCAGGTGAGTAGGATAGCTCTACTTATTCTTATCAAATAGTCAAGCTAAAAAGCTGATTAAGCTGTTAGGGGCTTTTTTTATATAGTTGTATCATATAATTAAACTAGAAATGTGTCCATAGGACACGGATGCCCCCACACACCACTGTTCTGTCAATCTTATGACTCTAGGTCAAATATTTTTTGGACTACATGTGCCACAAGTTGAAAACTAAAAATCAACAAAGGGCCATAATTCTGTTAAACTTGGTCGCAGCAAAAATTCCTACCTTTACTACCATCTACACATTAAGGTTGTTAATCCCTGGAAGTTTAAGCAAAATCTGCCATCCGGTTTAAGAGGAGTTGCAATCACAAAATTTCTACATAGTATATAATGAAAAAAACAACAAAGGGCCATAATTCTGTTAAATTTGGTCGCAGCGAAAATTCCTTCCTTTACTGCCATCTACACATAAAGGTTGTTCATCCTTGGAAGTTTAAGCAAAATCTGCCATCCGGTTTAAGAGGAGTTGCATTCACAAAATTTCTATATAGTATATAGTGAAAAAATCAACAAAGGGCCATAATTCTGTAAAGTTTGGTCGCAGCAAAAATTCCTTCCTTTACTACCATCTTCACCTTAAGGTTGTTCATCCCTGTAAGTTTAAGCAAAATCTGCCATGCGGTTTAAGAGGAGTTGCATTCACAAAATTTCTACATAGTATATAGTGAAAAAATCAACAAAGGGCCATAATTCTGTTAAATTTGGTCGCAGCAAAAATTCCTTCCTTTACTACCATCTACACATTAAGGTTGTTCATCCCTGTAAGTTTGAGCAAAATCTGCCATGCGGTTTAAGAGGAGTTGCGTTCACAAAATTTCTTCATAGTATCTAGTGAAAAAATCAACAAAGGGCCATAATTCTGTTAAATTTGGTCGCAGCGAAAATTCCTTCCTTTACTACCATCTACACATTAAGGTTGTTCATCCCTGTAAGTTTAAGCAAAATCTGCCATCCGGTTTAAGAGGAGTTGCGTTCACAAGATTTCGGGACGTATGGACGGACTGACGGACTGACGGACGGACTGACGGACAAGTGCAACGCTATATGCTCCCACTCTGTGGGGGCATAAAAAAATTCATTAATTTTGTTGTCATCTCAAATAGTCTTGAAACTAGCCAATAATTTTGCCGATGTGATTAAATCACTGTTTGATTTGTCATTTACTTCATGACAATTACTTATCATTTACATTACTTTGGGTTGATGACATTTTATACTTTAATGAATTACATAATGTAATTTCAAACAAATGACCTAGTATGATAATATATGACATCTATTTCAAATTTAATTTATACGTAAAAAGTGGTAAAGAAAACATTTCAGCCTAAAAGTTGTTATCAAAATTGCTCTGTAAATAAAATTAGGAAGAAATACAACATTTTGTTTAAAATAATTATCACATAAATCATCATATCACAAAAATAGCTGTCACAGTTACAGTAACAGTTACTATGTGTAACATTGTATCTTAACGCTGTAAAGTAAATAACTGATCAAGATATATATAATATTTCTAAAAACAAGTTATCATTAAATTTGCAAGTAAACTTAAGCAAAACATTAATGGCAAAGGTGGATATAAATTGTGTAAAAATATGAAACACAACATAATTTGAATTCAACAAAGCTGTTAAAATGGTGCCACTTCACCCTGTTGCTTGCAACACAAAAAATATTTACATAGCCAAAACAAAGCTATCTTACATATAATTCACTGGGTAAAATTTTGAAATTTTCCCACATAGGAGTATAATAACATTTTGAAATACAATGTACTTTGAAATCAATTTTGTTTGGGAGGAAATTTTACATATTTTGCACAAGGAAATAAATTGTATGCTTAACTTTTTTTTAAAGAAAAAACAGTGCAGATATAAGTCCATAGTTTGTGCAAAATTTCATTCCAGCAAAATTAATTGATTTCAAAGTATTACATACTAAAGGCATAAAAAGATGTTTTTTTGTTTTCTTTTCATTTTAAAAAAATAGTCTTTACCAAAAAACTAGGAGGCACAGAGGGAACATCAAATAACTTTTATGTGCATTATGTGCATCATGTGCATATCTACCAACAACCACAATAAAAGGTCTTGCCAACATATTAACTTCAATATGTGCATGTCTTGAACATATTCACTTTAAGGGCTAACCCTAAACCTCGGTAGTTAACATGTGCTCATGTAATAGTTAACAAGAGCATACATAATAGTTCACACTTAAGCATGGCAAAATTTTTCTAATGTTCCCTCTGTGTCACATAAAAAAACAACAGTAAAAGAATGAGCTAAAACCATATAAAAAGACAAGGAGCTCAGTAAGTCAGGATAAATTGTTACTTCATTGCCAAAGACAAAGAACAAGGTAAATTAAACGATGAAACATTTCAATAACTGGGATATCTTGGCACAAACTGACACCAAATTGTGATGAAATCTTGAAAAATTGCAAAATGCAGAACAAAACTCTGGAGAAAACAAGAGAATATAAAAATATTTACCTTTGCAGCCAAACTGTTTAGGAGTGGGAACACCTCTAGGTAGGTTTGTAGTTTAGATTTGAGATCATTATATGCGTCCCAGTCTTTTAACTTGCTTGGCAGGGCTAAACACTCGTCCCAGTAGCTCTCAACCTGAACAAATACACAAATAACTCAACTTACAAAAATATTTTCACTTACACAAACAATTACACTTACACAAATAATTCCATATACACAAAAACGCAATACTATGTTTTATTTTATAACCCTATAAAGCTAGACAACTTTGCATCAGCCAATTAAAGCCCCGATAGCCTTCCTTTCCTACAAGTGTGGGGACAGTAGGGTCAAATGAACCAACTTCTTACTTAGTTATTGTCTGTTTTCAAAGTGCGAGGTCAAAGTGGTTTTATTTTGGCATCAATATAATGGGATATGTCCAACTTGTAATGTAATGTGGGGACATTTAGACAAGATTTTATCATCTTGCTGCCCCTTGTTTTCACCAGGTGTTAAATGATAAAAAAATTGAAGTTTACACTACATTCAAGGGTTACAATTGACTGATGCAGAAAGATCTGCATATCAAAGGTTGATCGCAAAACTGTCGTAAGTCCTTTATTTCATAAGTTATTGCAGTTTTGCCATCAACTCTTGACATGTCATGACGAGTGAAGTAATACATAAATAGGATTGATAATCCAATACAGTCAAACTTGTATACTCTGTCCCCTGGTGAAAAAAATTCAAAATAAATTTCTCAGTAATTGTATAATTATATATTTTCTTTATACACAATACAAAAACATATGTTTTACAGGAATTGTAAGTTTTAAGAGTTTTGTTAACAGGTAGACTATATTTATCATGTATGACTGTATAAATGATTTCATTCATTTATAATTATTCAACAATGATCTCAGTGTATAACATGGAGATATATTTAGACGCTTTACCAAGCTGTAAAAATCATATTACACAACCCACAAGTTACCTTTAATATGCTTTATAGCTGAGAATATAGTTAAATAAATTCCATAATGCCCAGAACACTATGAAACAACCTGTTTATTCTATACCTTTTTTATATTATATTTATTGCAAGCATTTGTACATGTAGTTTCCTTAATCACAAAACCCTCGTATGTAAATTATTCATCATATTAAATGGGCGATGTTACTTCATGTAAATCAGGTCTGACTAAGTGATTTTTTCCAGAACTTTTCAATGCATTTCAGACTTATTTTAAGGTTTGAATTGTACCACTGAATTGTACAAAAAATATATAATATTGAAATTTTTGTAAGCATCTTCGTGCAAATCATCTACGGGCAAATACTGGAATACATATGTATGGTAACATGATGTAAAGAAATCTTGCAATTGGTTACATAAAATAGGTATAGAATAAATGTAAATATAAAAAAGTAAAATTATTGTACAAGAAAAAACCCCAATGTTTTACTATATACAAATCAATGTGTATCAGTGATCATACATATAATTAGAAATACTTGTCTAAATATATATAACATAATATTTCTACAACTAGTTTCCGCATATAGATTTTATACTCTACGATGCATACATTATAAATAACCATAAAAATAAATTCAAGTACATACTGAGCTACAAATAATAATTTCAGTACAGAAAATATTTCACTCAATTTATAGAAATTACACAACAAAGTTGTTCTATCAAACAGCGCTGCAATTAACCTATTCATGCAAGAATGAATCTGAAGCAGTTACTTTATTTCTAAATCACTTCGTAGCTTTCACAGTTTCATGCAGACAACAAAATAATAGTCTTTAAAGAGACAGAAACATTTATTTTTCACTGGAAACAACTACAAAGCAGTTAATTCAAATAGAAATTTAGGCATAGAAAGTTGAAATTAATCATTGTAAATAAAACAAAACAAAAAACTGGCTAAAACATGTTTGTCTAGTATCAGGACCTCAGTATTTTATTTCACCATGTTGCTAGTTTCCCTCACTGAACATAAGGAAATGACAAAAATTATATAAAAAAAATTCATATATAAACAAGAGGGCCATGATGGCCCTGAAGTCGCTCACCTGTATATAGGCCCCCGGAGCGGGGCCTTTTAAACCCCAGGGCTTTTATTTGAACAAACTTGGTAGACACCCACTAGAAGATGTTTCATGCTAAACATCTAAGGTCTAGCTTGTTGGGTTTTTAAAAGAAGATTTTTTCAAGTTTTTTCTTTACACATATTGTTAAAAACAATGACACACCTGGGGCAGGGCCAGTTTTGACCCAGGGCTTTTATTTGAACAAACTTTGTAGACACTCACTAGAAGATGCTTCATGCTTAATATCTTAGCTCTAGCTCTTTGAGTTTTTTTAAAAAAAAGATTTCTTAAGTTTTTGCTATACGTATATAAGGAAAATCAATGACCCCCGGGGTGGGGCCAATTTTGACCCCAGGGCTTTTATTTGAACAAACTTGGTAGACACCCATTAGAAGATGTTTTATGCTAAATATCTTAGCTCTAGCTCTTTGGGTTCTTTAAAAGAAGTTTTTTAAGTTTTTACTATATGCTTATAGGGAAAATCAATGACCCCCTGGGGCGGGGCCAATTTTGACCCCAGGGCTTTTATTTGAACAAACTTGGTAGACACTCACTAGAAGATGTTTCATGCCAAATATCTAAGCTCTAGCTCTTTGGGTTTTTTAGAAGAAGATATTTAAAGTTTTTTCCTTTGGTTGCCATGACAACCAGAGTTCTGCATGGAATGGAATTCTTTGAACAACTTTGTTAAGGCTTCACACAAGGAACATCCCTGTGAAGACTCATTATGATCTGCCTTATGGTTTCAGAGGAGATGTCGTTTTAAAAGTGTAAACGGACAACGGACGACGTACGACGGACGAAGAGTGATCCTAATAGCTCACCCTGAGCATATGCTCAGGTGAGCTAATAAAAACCCAACCCCATTAATTATTGTACTTTATTGTTTTACAAATATTAGATTATTAGATATAAGTAGTGAGTTTTTAATTAGTTATTTGTATAAAAAAGAAAAAGTATAAAAGTTATTAAAACTATAACTCATGTTAAAAAATCCCCATTCTTTTACAGTGTAATGTAGATTACCCATTCTTTCACTGTTTAATAGTATAACGGAGGAAAATAACCCTTTCTTCCATAGAGACTTAAAAAAACTAAAGGCATTTGATGTATTTTTTTCTTATAGAGTATAAAGTACAAAAAAAACAAGAGGACCATGTTGGTTCTTTTATCGCTAACCTGAGTGAAAAACTGTAACAACCTTTTATCTTATGCTCAAATGGGTGTAAGCATAAATCAATGAAGAAAAAGGAGATAAAGTCATCAAATGGAACATGAGCGACAGGCAAATTTTATCAATCCTAATTCTTTACCGTTGAGCATATATTATATGCTCAGGTGAGCTAATAAAAGTTATCTATGAATCTAATGACTGATACATGCTGTTACAATATATGTCTAACATACCCCACTATCCTCGTTTATTATCTAAAATATATACATGTATATATTTACACTTGAAACTTGAAATTTTTATTAAAATGCCAATTTCTATATATAAAATACATACTCAATGATACATGTTTTGTACAATCAAACAAACGGAAATATACAAACATACAACCAAGAACATACAATGCTGGCACTTTGAAAAGTGCAAAATAGTTCTTGAAGTAAAACAATGCAATTGTCTTTTGAAACTTTCAACCAATTCAAACTGTCTGATACTAAGACATAGTTATACAATTTTGAAAATATTAACACAATCTCTTATCTTACAGTGACACCCCATTTCTCTTAGAATTTGTGTTTTTGAAATCACCATTCTTAAATGGCAATATAAAAGTTAACAAGAATTACCTAAAACAAGAGCTGTCCATAGGACAGCACGCTCGACTATTCTAAGTGCTTGATAGTAAAAGAGCCTTTATAATGTTAAATTTTTTAAGTTCACAAAAGAGCTAATTTTTTTCATAAATTCATGTTATAGGCCTTAGAGAGAGTCTAATTATACAGTATTGGTTTGACTATTCTGAAGGAAATGTCACAAGGGTGTTTAATTGAGTAAAATAATACTAATTACCTATGAATACATGAATTTGACAGAAAAGGTACAAAGGCTTGTTATTAAGATGTTTTATCAAGTTAATCACTGCTTTATTATTATGAATGCATAAAATTGTCCCAAAAAAGGTACAAACCCTTCAGTAGTTATTGAGATAACAGCTTACAAGCAAAACTTTACCATGAATTTTTAAGTTAAATTGAAAAAGGGGAGAAAAATCAGCCTAAATGCAAGATAGAATTATGGATCTTTGTCAGTGACCTACAATTATGACCCTAAATGCATATGTGAAGTTTTAAATAAATATCTTTAAAAGTTATTAAGATATGTAAAACTATCATGTTAACATTAACCAAGAGACTAAGTAGAAAAGGGGATGTGAATCAGCCTTAATGCAAGATAGAGTTATAGAACTTTGTCAGTGACATACAATTATGACCCTCCAATTATGACCCTAAGTGCATGTGTAAAGTTTCAAGTAAATATCTTTGAAGACCTTTAACCTTTAACCAAAATTTCTAAGTTTCAAAGGGGCAAATAATTCTGCAAATATTGCAGGCAGAGTTATGCAATTTTGCAAACTGATATACATTGTTACTATAAAAGAGTATTTTAAATTTCAATTGAATATCTCAAGCAATAAATAAGATATTTGACTTTACAATAAAAACTTTAACCAAAATTTTTAAGTTCCCAAGGGGTATAATTCTGTCAATATTGTAGGCAGAGTTATCCAACTTGTCAATCTGATGTACCTTGTTACTATAAATTTTTAAGTATTGTAAGTTTCAATTGAATATCTCAAGCAATAATTGAGATATTTGACTTTACAAAAAACTTTAACCAACATTTCTAAGTTAAAAAGGGACATAATTCTGTCCATATTGTAGGCAGAGTTATCCAACTTGTCAATCTGATGTACCTTGTTACTATAAATAAGTATTGTAAGTTTCAATTGAATATCTCAAGCAATAACTGAGATATTTGACTTTACAAAAAACTTTAACCAAAATTTCTAAGTTAAAAAGGGGCATAATTCTGTCGATATTGTAGGCAGAGTTATCCAACTTGTCAATCTGATGTACCTTGTTACTATAAATAAGTATTGTAAGTTTCAATTGAATATCTCAAGCAGTAATTGAGATATTTGACTTTACAAAAAACTTTAACCAACGCAGACGCCGACGCGGACGCTGACGCCGACGCGGACGCCGGGGCGACTAGAATAGCTCTCATATTCTTCGAATAGTCGAGCTAAAAAACAAGGAATATTGGTGGTACACAGATGGATACTTTGATACCCTAACTCCTCCCTACCCTTCCCCCATCAACACAGATAAACTCTTTTCCAAACTAGAAAAATGTTCTTAAAGTTCCAGTTACCTTGAACTTGATCCTATCTATTAATCTAATGTTCCATCTTAGTGAAGAAGTCATACAAAGTACTGTGTAAGTGGTTAAGTTAGCAATGCAGAAATATTGGCGAACTTCGTGCATTGACAAAAATCGATAAAATTTCCTCTAGCCTAAATATCAACCAACCTGTCATTAAATTCTACCCTCGTACGATTATTTGATATTTCGTTGTGCAAAATATCTGAGTTTTTTAATTCGCTAACTTTTCGACACACGGAAATATCCACTTATACAGTATTGCACATTTTCTTAATTTACCTTAAAAGTAGCACAAACCTGGGAGCATACTACCTTAATCTTACAAGGGTTTACATGTATATAACAAAACAAGTATAAATTTACCTCCTTATATGAAGCATCTAGATCCACCTCAGCCCACAATGTATCCCTGAACCTTGTATCAAACCTAATAAACTTCTGGAACAGTCCATACAGCTGACTTAACAAATCTAGTTCCTGAAATTGTAAAAAAAAAACATATTTTAACATAATTATGTTAAATATATATTTCGTTCTTTATCTTCCATTTTTAATAGCAGGGTTATAAAAAAAAGTATCTTTTTAATATATATGGTCTTGATTTCATTTTTTTTTTTTCATTTTGATTTCAGTACTGAAATAGATTTCAGCAAATGCCTTGATTTCTTTAAATGTCATGAATTAACTGAAGGTCTTGATTTCTGTGAATGCCTTGTCAGAAAAAGCAAAGCTTTCTTTTTTAATGAAAGCTTTGAGTTCAATAACAGTTGTGATTGGAATCATTACAAATGCCTTCATATTTGTGTAAGGCCTTGATTGATGTCATGATATTGACTTCAGCAACAGGACACTTGCAAAGAGATAATAACATCACCAAAGTAAGCAATTCCTATGAGAAAAGAGTTTCAAACAGTGAAAATTCTAAATGGGCATTACCTCCCCTGTTTTATCTAATTCTGCAAATGGTTTACATGGAATACCAAACAGTTTAGAGACAGAGTCAAGTGTTTTCCTTTTTGAGTCATACAGATGGTATCTTTGTTGAAAGTCTTGCAGGCGGGAAACAGCCTCGGCAGGTGGTATACCAGGGACTGCCGGTCCCTGCGCATCAAATGCATTCCTGAACTGGATAACCTCAACAACAAATGTCTGAAAGTGAAAAATAACAACATTAGAAACCAGTGTTTCCCACTCATACAACCCATCAGTAAACTTCAAGAATTAAAAAAAAGATAATTAAATCTAAAATAAAATATTTAAAGGAGCTTTTTACCATATATCAATCAGTGATCATTATAATATTGCATGTTTTATAATAAATACATCTTTCCCAGTTAAACTTGTCACCCTTTAACATACAGAATGAAGAGTTCAACTCTAACCTTCACTTGTTTATCCAGTTCTTGTTCAAATGCTCCTCTTCGTTCTTTTAGAAGTACTTCTCTGACCTGTTCAGCCAAGTCCATCAGTTCAGTCCAGTTCTCTCTGAGGGCATCAACCTCTTCTACTTCCTGTCTAGGCAATCTTAATTCAAACTCTCGTAACTTTGTGTACATAGTTTCTAAAACAAGAAAGTTTACATTTTACCAAGATTTCTTTCAATTTTGTAATTTCCTTTTGCATGAACAATAAATAACGTATGTGGCCCAAGGAAATTACTGGAAATATTAATCAGAGTTTACCTATAAGGAGTGGGGTAGTGTTTTCACAGTGGCCGATTTATATTTTATCTGTTACATTTTCCAATCTCAACTGTTGGCCAATCACCATTATAGTAATCATTCTTTTAAAATATAAAGTCAATTAAACTCAACTTGTCAATGAAAAAATGAACATAATGTCACTTTAATACTTTATAGACATGATCCTGATAATTATAATCAGAGTACAGTAAATATTCCTACCAATGGGCAAATAAATGCCATCAATTTTGTTTTCCATATCTCTGAGCTCCTCTAGTAGATGAAGTGCACTGTTCAACTGATCGAGTGTTTGTACATGAAGTTCTAATCTGTTACGTACATTAGATCTATACAATACTGCCTGGTCCAACTTTTTCTGTAAAACATCAAATGTTAAGCTATAACTAGGTATTAATATACATTTCAAATATTTATACTTTTATTTTTTAGCAGGTTTTTCAAAATCTGCCAATTTTAAGAACAAGAGCTAGAGTCACATTTGATCTATACAGCCTTAAAGGAATAAACAAATGCCACTTCAGGTCCTGAGAATAAATTTAAAGTTGTCTGATTTTTATCTTCAGTGAAAGTCTTTATGTTAAAATTTGATTAACTTATACTACAACTTGACTGATTATGACTTTTTATACAATGAAGATCAAATAAAATGACACAGAACTTGGTCTCTTAAATACAATTCATATCTAATAAAAGATCAAAGTGACCTTGGCATGTTACATAAAACAGTGATAAAATGATTTACCTCACATATGAGGACTTAAAACCGATAATTGACCAAACTGACCGTGACCTCATTTTTATTGTAATGATCTAATAATAGATCACTCTCACCTTGACCTCTTATATAATTTGAATTAAGGGTCTAATAGATCAAACTGACCTTGACCTCTTATATACTATGAAGATCTAATGATAGATCAAACTGACCTTGGCCTCTTATATACTATGAAGATCTAATGATAGATCAAACTGACCTTGGCCTCTTATATACTATGAAGATCTAATGATAGATCAAACTGACCTTGGCCTCTTATATACTATGAAGATCTAATGATAGATCAAACTGACCTTGGCCTCTTATATACTATGAAGATCTAATGATAGATCAAACTGACCTTGGCCTTTTATATACTATGAAGATCTAATGATAGATCAAACTGACCTTGGCCTCTTATATACTATGAAGATCTAATAATAGATCAAACTGACCTTGGCCTCTTCATGTAGAACAGAGGCAAACTGTGTCTTCCAGGCCATAGAGAATCCATGTAGGGCATCCTTGATTGGGTCTGTTTGTAACAGGATAGGGCCAACAGGCAGTGACCTTGGAATACCCAACACCTTCTTCTCAATATATAGATACCTGTATGAAGAAAACATAACATTTTATATAACAAAGACATAAAAACTGGTCTTTATTGTTGTCTAGAATGTTCCTTCAAATTATTCATATGAGTGAGTGTAAAGTATTCAACTGATTAAAATTCAACTAAGTTCAATGTTAAAGAATATATGTGTTAATAAGAAATATTTGCAGAATGTTGAAAAATGCTAACTTGTTATTTTCAAGTACTTCCTGAATAGTTCTCTCTTCTTATGTTTATGCAAAACATACAGTGATTTGTTTATCAAAAATGGAACTTTATAGCTCTACCTATTTTCATTTTTTCAGCATTGTAATAACTATGTACAAAAATATTCATAACATAGAATAGTTACCTTTCAACCTCACGTTTGATAGCAAATATTCCTGGATCACTACTTATAAACTCTTTGAAGTTACCATGCATGTCATCCTTCCACAGGAAGTTGTAATAAGAGAAATGGAACAGGTGTTTGTTCACCACCGGGTCTAAATCTGTAACATAAAAAAAAGACAATATAACTTAATTTGTAGTGTATAAAATAATAATGTGATTTAAATTGTAGAATTCAAGTCAATGACATTATTTAACCTGTAGCAAACAAAACTAGGACATGATTTAACATGTAGAATACAAAACCATGACATGATACTTGTACAGGGACGTTTACCAAGTAACAGAGTTTTTATTTGGTTGTATTTATAAAGATAAATATTAACAGTATTTTTGACATCATCTAATTTCTAATACCATTAATGATGCAAGCTACAGATTGTGTTGGAATTCAGTTTATATCACTACACAGTACACCCAATGTAAAAAAAAAACTGTTGTTTTTTTTTTCAAAGACTATACCCATAAAATAAAATGAATAAAGTGTTATGTATAAAGAATGAGCCATATATAAAATTGTACCTTGAACAACACAGGCTAACTGTGACATCATGTCTACAACATTTTCATCATCATTTATGAGATCATAGAAACTCTCCTCTCCACGCTCACTCATCCATACAATATCTGAAAATATCACATCAAAATTTTACGACACCAAGTTTTATGACATCAAAACATTTCACACAAAATTAAATGATACCAAGTTATATTTCAAAGTTATGACATCAAATCATATCACATGATGGTTTCATTATGTACTTTATATTTTGACATATTTAACAATTACCATTTTTCAATGTTTTTTGTTAAAACATACTGTAATTTTAACTTTTTTCACTGTTTAGTGGCTTTAAATTATCTTGTAATCAAAAGAATCTTACATGTATTGTCATTTCATATAAACTTACATTAAACTAATCCAAGAAACGTTTTAAACCATGCCACAAGCTTGCTTTACAACACTTTCCTAGACTTTTTGGAATTATTCAATATGAACTAACAACTCATTAAGATACTATATATAGATTACACAGATGATAATACTGAATAGCAAAATTGATAATCAGTTTATCACATAACTTTCTGCATCTACAGAGACTTATAATTATGCATATAAAGTTTCTATAGCTTTTTTCAATTACCAGATTATAACATAATAAATCATAACCATGTGATGTTTCGATAAAATAATTTACATACTTCTGTTTGATTCAATGACACATTTGGCCACATCGGCCACGGCGGTCTGTGCTACGTCTAATGTTGGCTCAACACTGATTGTAGGTATACTAAACTTCACCTCTACCTCAAACCTGTTGTTATAGAAACAATTATTGAGAAATTTTTAAATTTCAAAATTACTTTTCAAAATTATTAAAGTTTTCAGTTATCAAAAAACCTATTCAATATTATTCAAGAAAAATCCTAGTTTTTATTTATGCTACATATCATTAAGTAAAAAGTTGATACATTGAATATAAAATTATCAAAAGAAGATGACAAATGAGAATTCAGGAGCTTTTTGCATTTTTTTAAAAAAATTTAAATGTTAAACACATTGTACTCATTTGCCTGGTATCCAAAATAAATTATTAATGAACTTACTGTAGAAATGTGACTTGGTGAGTTTTTTCTGTTGTCCAAGTCATGGTAGATAATTGTGAAAGACTAGACAGTGGGCGTGAGTTGGCAGCAGATTGTGCCCGACCTTCCCCGTCCATTACCGGGGTACCAGCTCGGCTACCCCAGTTCCTAGGTGACGGTGAACTGGCATCACTAGACTGATTAGACATGGCACTGATCACACGTACAACTTCACTATCACACCCACAAGACTCCGCTAACAGAGCCAGGGACTTAGACGTGGCTGATAGAACTGCTTCATAAACATGGTCACGGAAATATGCTGAAGAAAAAACAACAACAAACAAATTAAGTACTTCTAATTTGCATAAATAGCCAAAACTGAACAAATTTTACACTGATCATGAAACAGTTTTATTCTTACTGTATCATTAAATTGTTAACATTTTTACCTTACTCTTCTGTGCATTTTTTCAGGTAGAACAGCGGACGTTCCCAAAGCTAGCTGGATAGCTTCCTCACACAAGAGAAATCAAAGTCTCTGTCGGGATTCAAACCCATAGCAGTGAGAGGCAAGTGGTTTGAAGTCAACAACCTAAACCACTTTGCAATGGATGCCCCTATTTGTTCACATTATATTTTTTGTTTACATTTATTTTTTTACAGTTTAACATTCTACAACAATAAAATTATTTATTTTATGACTCTATATATCTATTCATAGAATCTATTATTTGAAAAGTATGATAACTGATAATAAAGATTACCTATGAGATCAAGGACAAGTTGTTCCTCTTGTTGGGCTTTAACTCTCTCCCTCTCTATCTCTTCTGGGTCTACAATCACTGATACCCTCTTACCTTTACCATGAGGGTCCGGCTGTAATGTACAGAGAATAATTGTTTATTTAATCGTAAGATTCACGATCATATTTTATTCATCTACCAACAAGCATGAATAAATTCAAATTCTTTATTTGTATATTCATATATACATACTAGTAGTCAACAAACTGAACCATGAAATAGAGGAGAACAACTGCAAGAACATAGTGTAATACATGTATAAACATTTTCTGGAATCTCCCATACACTTGTCACACACATATATCTAAACAAGATCTGTTTCCACTGAAATCCAATTATTTTCTATTATAAAGTTATTTTTAGTATCAAATGCACTTACATTGTATAATCACTATTATAAATAACTTTTACTTAACATGTGGCAACATTAAAGAATTATCTTTGAAAATTACAAATCAATTCAGAGAAATCCTTGTAGTTTTTTGTACAAAAATCTTTTACAATATTTTATAAACCTTCCTAAAAATTTTTTATTTGTATCTGATTCTGGTTTCAATAAAAAAGAAAGGAAAAAGTAATAAAGAAAAAGAAAATTCAATAATAATTTCTTCAAAAATTCAAATTCCAAGATATGGAGCCACTCATTTTAAGGCCAAAAACTTAATAATATATATTTAAGTTTAATAGTAATTCCACTTCCTGGAACTAACCAGTACTGGTGGTCATATGTGGATGCATAGTCAAAACCCCAGGAAGGCTCAAATCCACAATTTCTAGGTTGAGAGGCAGACACCTTAACTACCAGGCAATCTCTATGCATTTGAAATTGATTGATTCTATTAGATAAAAATGAAAAGAAAAAGAATTATCACACAAGTATTACAGACAAAATAAAAACAAAATGTGTGGAATATAGATTATGAGATAATAAAGTTTCACAAAAACAACTGTCTCAAGATCTTTGAGGAGAAAAGAATAATCAATTGTATTTTTCAAGTTCTAAGAAGTGCATTGAGTATATTATTGGTGATGTAAACACACACATAAGTGATTAGTTATTACAAATTTTGTAAAGGTTATATGACCAAGCATATATGGATATATAGGAAACAACCATTTAACTTCTTTATAACGATTTTATGTTAATGCACAGTTCCCGACTTTGAGAAAATATAAAAATTAATTCATAATAAAATTACAGTAGTTGTGTATAAAGACAATTTGAAAGTTATGATTATCCAAGGAAAACAAACATTACAAACTTATACTATAAATATACATATTAATTTATATATGTACATATTTCTGCTTATTCACCATAGGCATAAAAGTAAATGGCTAGCAGTTGGGTGTCTTAATACATATTTATCTATGTTAATCATTTCAAGAAATTTAATTATTTTACTTAATAAGAAATCCAAGATGGCCTCCAAGATGGTCACCTCAATTTTCTAATGACCAAATTGTGTTACATTGACATCAATAATCATTAGATCAATCATTATATCTTACAAATTATTTTAAGTTTAGCCTTTAAAATTCAAATGTTTATTGCATAAAGCATGTCAATACAATGCTTATAGCACAATAAAATTTAACATTCCATTATATGGAAATGCTGGAGACAAAAATAAACAGCACTAATTTAGCCACCATAATGTAGCCAGGCAAGCCTGAATGTTCCTTCAGTCCGCACAGGCCGTTTGTGATGGCAGACAAATATAGAAAAAAATTATCAGAATATCCTAAAATTTGACAATTGACTCTTCCAAACACAGAAGATGCTGATGGATGAGTTCATTTAAGATATTTGGCAGTGTAATTTAGTTTAGTATTGAAGTAGAAGAGATTGAGATGTAGAAAGTTGCGAGAGATGCAGCAAATATTTGTCATCATTACCAGCATACTGAGATTCTCAGCAGACCATTCTCTTCTCTGAAAGTTATAATTATAACACCTTTATTAACTTGATCACCTGCAGGGGTTTCATTATGGTTCACAAAAACTATGGTTATTTCTTGAAATAAGTAAAAAATTCCAGTTTTGTTTGTTTCATTTTACGCCTTTTCCCAACAGTATTTCAGTCATATAGGCGGGTAGTTTTCTAACCATCGTTCCTGGAGAGTTACACAAGTACTAACTACCTTCCTCTGTGCTAAACTACCAAAGCATCTCCCGGGGATCAAACCCAAGCCAGAGAGGTAAGTGGATTAGAAGTCATTGACTCTAACCCCTCGACCACGGAGGCGGTTAAAAAAGAAAAAATTCCAGTAAGAATGTATACATATATAACTTAAAGTAGCTGAATACAGTAATGTTAATCACTTTATATTTGTCTAATCTTTATTTCGCGCAAAACCCTTTCCTGAATTACTTTGCATAATCATGAAGGACCAGAAATTTAAATTTGAGACTTTTTTAACCTTGTTGCAGGAGATTTTATATGGTAATTTAATTGGGTCACAATGAAACCCCTGAACCTTCTTATCAAATAAAAAAATAAAATATTCTTTCCTCAGTTTTTTTTTAAACTAGAAATGTTTATTTGTTGAAGCAAATAAAAAAAGAACATATAAAAAACGTATATATAAAAACAAAAAGCGCTCACACTTCAATTTCTAAAATATCATAATGTATTGTTTAAAAGGCTTACACATGATATTATGATATTATTTTACTTTTGTGAAAAGTATTTTGGTTAATATAACACCATCTCATGCTGTAAAACAAACAATAATAACGAGTTATAAATGATAAGCAATTTTAATTAGTTAAAACGAATGGGTGGTTAAAATATTAGAAATTTGTAGGGCTGTCAACAGACATCAAGACAATGATGTAGTGATGATTTTTAACGGTTTATCTGATATCGATTTCAAAATTTGGAGTATTAATTCAAATATAAATGTCTAAAAAAAATGCTACAACACTAAATTAACTTCTATGAGCTGATCTTTTTCTCGTTTTGAATTTCTTCAGCCAAATTTGGAAGACGACACTATTACTGTTTACTTTTTTCTCACACTGTGTAAGGTTAACTGATCAAACTTGAAAAATGTATATACAAAATTTAAATTATAGCATCTAAACGAAGCATAACCAGCATTATGACAAAAATTTGATATATTTATAAAAAAAAATCTATCAATGACAGCCCTAGCAATTTGTTACACATTCACAAATACAGTGTATATCACTATTATGTAATTAACTTAAATATTGAAACAACACATTGGCTACTATGGGAAGAATTTTAATTTTATGTACAAATGAAATGGGAACATTATTTTAGTGTAAACATGTTTTATTTAATCTGGACTGTGAAGAAAGCTTAAGGCTTGTCTGAGTCACTGTGGGGCCTGCTCGAGTAGATTTTGTAATGTCAAAGATGCAAAAGCCTGGAGTGTAAACCTGTGAAGCAAAATCTTCAGGACTCAAGACCAGATCCTAGACCTTGGTTCTCTGACAATGACCCTTTGATTATCAAAACCCTTGTAATAATTTGCAAATTAATTGTAAAATAATAAAATTATTGAATAGTCCATAATTTTTAAACTTAGATCACAATTGTGTGTATTACTAATTCTAATTTCCGTCTTGTCACATTTTTTTTATATCTTAGATAGCATACATGTAGCAGAATATATACAGGTATAAGTAAAATAATATTTCAGTTTATAAGTCCAAACAAACAAAAAGCATCTACAACTTAACAGGGATGTGTATTACTTCTGACTGGAATCATTTCACATATTAAGTGTTATAAGGTATAGACATTCTTTTACTTGTTTTCTGTTAAAAAGGGGATTAACGCTTCATTATTTGTGAATTATATTCTTGCTCATTATAAAATCATACTGGTGATTGCTCAGTGAACAGGTATTATGGTTATGAGATGTGGGGCAAAAGCAAAATTTTCATGCATAGCTGTTCTAAGCTAGCTAACCGTGATGCATTTTTTCACACTTTCCATAGAGTTTGCTTTCTTCTTGGATACAAAGGCAGTGGCTGACAGGTTGGACATGGACATTCCAACAAGAGAATATGCCTAGAAATCATTTAATTATTAAGTCTAAGTGATCATCATACATTCATATAAGTCTGAAGAGTACACAATGTCTAATTATTAACATTTAACTGATAAATCCTGCACCTATATCTTCTATAAACATACATTGTAACATCATATTTGAAGTTTTAATGTTGAAATTACAATAAAAAAGTGTCTTCATTAAAATAATTGTACATACACAAAAGATTAATCTTAAAATGAATTTCTGTAATTGACCAATGTTATGCAAGTATTATACTACAACTGGCATAACTAGCATTACTATCTGTAAGATTGGTAAGGATAACTGAAGCATATGCACAGTACATAAATAATATCACTATATAAACAAATAGTTTTATTTGTTAAGAACTATTTTCAATGATTATTATCAATCAATATGTTGCTATGACAACATGTGTTACCTTCTTGACAGCGAGGATGTTTGAAACAGTCTGTAATCCCTCCATGACAGTTTCTACATAGTCCTGTAGCATATTACTTCTCTCTACTGCTGTACGCATCATTTCTTCACGGAACAACTCTGGTGGCTAAAATAGATACAGTATAACAGTACAATGTGTAATAACAAATAATACAAACTGTATATTTATATATATTATAATTGTATAAAAATCAATGAAATACGATGTATATTAATTAGGAACAAGATTATGGTGAAAATTTCCGCATTTCAAAAATTTGACCTTGAAGGCCAAGGTCATGTACGAGTCATTGTGATATAGTCATATAATAAAGAAGCTCTCATCGATAAGTATGTTGTGTTCATGTATGAAAGCTCTAGCCACATTGAATAAAGATATCTATCAAAGTTGACAGTAGTCATATTTCAGATGAGACAAAACAATTTTGCCCCAGATCCACTAGTATCTCAATCATTGTTCAGGCATAAAACTTACAGAAAATACAGCTAGATTTTCTGGAAAAATTCAAAATATCTTTTCAATGCTTTTTTCCTCTCAGGAACTACCCATCAGGCATTATTTCAGGAATAAACTAGAAATGTGTCCATAGAAAACTTATACCACAAAATTCCTGTTTTTTTTTCAGGTTAGGGCGGACAGTGTCACAAACAGACAGACAGACAGACAAACAAAAGCAAATGACAAGAGGGCATAAAAACAACAGTTCTGATTGATATATTTACCCAAGCTCTAGAGAAGGCAAGCTCATGATCAAAGAGATAGAAGTTTGTGATTGTGTCGAGGGTACTGAATACTTTCTGTTCCATCACATCATTTACTTGTTTCTGCATGTTCTTCAACTTTGTTGTTGCTGAGTGTATCTGATGTAGGAAGGCATCTGTAACAAATATAATGAATTATATTACCAACAAACTATATCACAAAAACGTGTTACATGTTTAAAGTTTTTTTTACATGGTGTTTTATTTGTTGTTGTTTTTTGTCATTTTTTACACTGATTTGCACATAGGAAATACTGATAGAAATACTGGTTTTGTGACAGTTTCTAGTCACTAAATACAAGACTTAAATCAGTAAAAAATTTCTGAAGAAGACTAAACGTCGAAAGCTTAAGAAAAGCGTTTGTTTTTATTGAACTGATTATATTTCTACTCAAAATAGAATACAAAATTTAATCTAGAAAATTCTATAAAACAAAAACAAAAATAAAAACTTGCTCTAAACCCAAGAAACTTAAAACATATTTGGCGTTTTATGAAAAATTTCTATAAATGTGTACTATCATCTCAAAAGCTAATGCTTTGATAGGTTTGTAAATTTTTTCCAATTCTCTTATGGTTACCATGGTAATAAGTTTCCCAATTTAGAAACAGGTTGTTTCAAAATGGCTAGGAAAATATAGTTCAGTTGTCAATTAATTAAAGTATCATTTTCAGAGGTATAAAAAAATGATCTGTGCAAAAAAAAGGAAACTGTTACATAAAAATACAAATCTGAACAATAGAACTTGGCCAGAGTTACATTGTGATCTACAATAAATGTTTAAAGTTTAATACTATATCAAGAAATATTGAAGAAAAAGTAAATTTCAAGACATAAAAATACAGTATACATTACTATATTTAGTATTGACAACAGTAGTAAAAGATCAATACATAAACAACAGTCATGCAAATTTGTATTCCAGACACAATGTGTGATCATAGTGCATTACAAGTGGAACATTGATTGTATTTTACCAACTTTTTAAACTGAAAATGTATATATATATACTGTATATATAACTGCTGTATAATTTATACTATAAATATAATAATGTGTATGTTCATTATATAGTATATATTGCAATATAAAGCTTTATGCCAAGGGCTGTCATTAGGAAGCAGCTGTAGGGCAAAATAACTGTCTCAAATGCATTTTGTGTTGCCAAACGCTAGGAAAACATTCATTGTTGCAAGTAAAGTGATAAAACCAAAAAATGACCACCTCAAATTCAAAACGGACTGTCTCAGAAAAAAATTATTAATTTAATTATTTTTAATATGCAAATTTGTAAATGTATGAAAATTGGTTGGAGTTCTTTAAATTGGTTGGAGTTCTTCGTGGACTAGCCGTTAATAATGTTGCTGACTACAATTCAATAGCCACTCACAGCTGTAGGTTTTCTGCCAGGAACTTTGTGTTCATTGAAGTAAAGAAGCTTTCAAGATAATTTACACAAGGTTTGTGTTTTTAATTGTGTGCTATGACCTTAAAGAATTATTGTGACTTAAACCACGACCAAAAACACCAATAAATTTAATTAATAACTGAAATATAATACGATTTTCAGTACAATGTACCTGTTAAGATGAAAACTGCAATGTATACCAACAAGAAAGTTCATACCTATATTCATACTGTTCCATGCAAGTGTACTGAGGCCTGGCTGTAATTGCTGGTTCACATACTCTGTTATGAGGGGTGAAACAAAGTTCTTCAATGGATCTGGAATTAGCTCGACACACTTCCTATTACTTCATCGAGAACAAGTGTGTGCAAGGTTGACCTATAGTTCTTAAATCTTGATTCGGCCACTTATCACGGCGGACGGACCAGTGCCGCCCATGCAGTATACCGAGTCTTGTGCAATACACTGTTTGCCTCATGCATATCCACACATCGTAGAACTCATGGATAACATTTTATAAAAAAATACTTATTTAAGCTAAGCACTACTAAACCAGTCTTTACTGTATTAGTATACAAAAAGCATATTAAAAAAGTTAAACTTTTCATGAAATGAAAATGTTGTCACTTAAGTGCAGTAATGGGTTAACTGCAATGAATTTAATACGAGTTAACCCATTACTGCACCAAGATGATGATAAGCAAGCAATAAACCAGTGATCAGTAAATATATTTTAGGATGTATTGATATTCAATCTACAAAATAAGTGAACTTGACAAAAAAGGTCTCAGTAAGTCTGTTAAAAAATGAATCACCTTTGGAATTAAGATTCAGTGTTTTGCAAGTACTTGATTCCCATGTTTTCTATTATGTCTGACAAGAATAAATAAACGAGTGACTTACCTTTCATCAGCATTGACAACAATCTCATTAGTAACTGGATGATGTACAAACAATGTGGCCCTTAAACCATTCCGAGCTTGATCTATGCGACCCTTCCACTGAGTAAACCACAAGCTCTCAAATGTAACAAGAGCCGTAGCTAGTCTGTTATAGATACGAACTATACGTCCAAAATCTCCAAGTTGTGTAATAGCCTTGTTATCCCTGAATATCTTCATAGGATCCTCGATACGCTTCAATAATTGTCTCGACCAATGAATTGCTCCAGCTACAGGAGGGGCATTTCTAACCAACTGTGGGTTTTCCTGTATAAATTACCACAAGATGATAATAGTTATAAATTATTTATAGTTAAACATCAAATCATACCAAAAAGATGTGGCCTATCTTACTTGATCAAGATAACTAGATCTGTGATATTTTTCTTAAAATGATGGGAATAAAGAAGGGCTCACTGACTAACTCATTTTTAATAAAGCCATTTTTACAGTGTACCTACATCTTTTAAAATTTGTAATCAGAGACACTGACTGGCTCAAAAATAAAATGTCTTCAACAGTCAACAAACTTTACTTAATTTATAAAACATAATTACATGGCCGTTATCAAACCATCAGTGGCAAACTAAAATTACCTCTTAACATTCTTAGACTTCTGCAATGAATGAATGAACAAATGCAAAAAAAAGGTTAACACACAGATCATGCACCAGCAATTGTATAACCGACCATTATCTAATCCCAGAGAACAGTGGGAGACTTTGACCTCTTCATTTTCAAACCTTTGGTAAGGGCACTGCTCTGTGGTGTTAATTGGAGGGTTAAAATCTTTACTAATGCCTCAACAATTAAAGTTGTTATTTTGGAATTAATTGACTGGTGCATAAGTCATATCTAAACTTGTGTACTGTATACCTTATGTTGTTCATATATCTGATGAACCTCCTCTAGATCCGCTTCATACCAGTTGAAAATTTCTACAAACTTTTCTGCTAGAGTGGCTCGAATGCCAGGTCTGTTCTGGACTGCTTGAAGTCTAAAAAGATTACATTTGATATATAGAGGATATTGAATGAGTGTAAGTTCAATACTGAATTTATTGCACGAGTTGAATAAAATTATATTATGCGAGCCTCTGGCGAGCATAATATTACTTTATTCAACGAGTGCAATAAATTCAGTAATGAACTTACACGAATTTAATATTCTTTTTATCACATACCCCAAAAAAGACCGTTTAAAGTGAAATAAGAGTCATTTTTCATTGACGCGTCTATAGTATAACGCTAATATTTAGCGCGTCGCATTACGCTAATGACGTCAAGTCAAAATATATGCACGGCCGTGCAATACCATTTTTACGGAGTCGCGAAATCGGCACGGGTGTGTGATAAATAATTAGTAATCAACCCCCTTTCCTCATATGACACCATTACCAATCGCAATAGAGGATCTCAAATGAGGTATCATTTCAAATACTTATTTCAGTTAACTAATATAAAACAAATCTAAGACTGTGTTATAAAGCAAGCTATACAACATTTCTGGAACAAATGTTACTAAACAAAAATAAATGTCAAAGGTATTTATTGTTATCATTCCATGTGTAACACTTTTAAGTCATATCTGCAGAATTTTAAGTCACATCACTATTGTAAAGGTTAAATTGCGACTTTTCAGCTCTACTGGTAGAGGAAGACCTCTGGTGCCTCTCTATGCATTATTTCAAGCACAAGAAAGCATCTGAGTAGAACCATGGATCACTCATAAGCTAGCTGTGTAAATGATGTAACAAAAACAATACCTGGTAATGATATCTAAACCTTGTTGAGTCTTCATTTTTCTACAGAAGATAACATGTAAATACGAGGCCAGAAACTTCTCTACATCTCCTACAATCTTAGAGAAGTTGCTGTAGTGGTCATCAAATCTGTCTTTGTCCTACAAATAGCAATCACGACATCGTTACACACAAAAATAGCTGGTTTTAACAGTTTCTGAGTTAACATTTTCTTATTCAATACCCACCTGTATCCCTGTATTTATGTAATAGAATCATCCTGGTTTGAAGTTGGAACTGTCCATTGTAAAATTGTGGGAATTTAATATTAAAATCTTAAAATTGTCAGTTTTAGTATTCAATATTTTTTTCCAAATAACATAGTCTTGAACATTACACATTATATTTCATCAACTAGCTTAATTATGTACAAATTGAAAGTTTTCTTCTTTCTCCAATTATTGTGAAATATCAAGTAAACATAGTATGAAAGTCACAGTTTAAAAATGTTTACTTATTAGGGGACAGAATGTATAAACTCCAGATAGCTCAGTCAGTAGAGCCACAGTGTGGTATTCCGATATTCCCAGGTTTCAGTTTCAGTCAGTCCCCACTTTTTCACCCTATGACATTTTGCACCAAATCAATATTACTCTAAGTACAATCATTGGCAATGTAAGTATTGTAGGTAGTTTACCTTTGACTCCACATCAAGCATTGTTTTTGTTGTAACATTTACACTCAATGATGTTGTCATATTAGTCAAATGTTCAGCTATTATTGTAGATATAGCTGGGCCTTCATCTTCCTCATCTTCAGGATAATACCTTCCTACAAACAAATATAATACTTCCCTACAAACAAATACAATACTTCCCTACAAACAAATACAATACTTCCCTACAAACAAATACAATACTTCCCTACAAACAAAAATAATACCTTCCATACAAACAAATATAATATTTCCCTACAAATAAATACAATACTTCCCTACAAACAAAATACAATACTTCCTTACAAACAAAATACAATACTTCCCTACAGACAAATACAATACTTCCCTACAAACAAATACAATACTTCCCTACAAACAAAATACAACGCAGGTAACACAAAGTCAAATAAATATTTTACCAATCAACCATTCTAAATTGATTTTCATAAGCTTATAATGGTAATTTAATATATTTTGGTTACATAGATGCATATTAACAGCTTAACTATTTCAGACAGCTAATTGTATATAACAACACTTCTTCAAAACAAATTCAATACAGGATATCTAAGCAATTCAAATTATGTACTTGTCAAAATTCATGAACAAAATAAAAGTCTTTAACCAAGTGTCTTATTAGACAAACTGTCATATTCAACAAACTCTGGTATTCAATGAGATGTCAATCAACAGAATAATTTGTACCATGTGCCGTTAAGGTAGTGTTAAATTGTTTTCCTTACTGAGAGTTGCCAGTTCCTCTTCTGTTAGTCCCTGGTTGTTTTCTTGTGTATTGAAAACATCATCACCTTGTTCTACAGCAGTATAGATGTCCATTTTCTTCTCATCTTTCTCAGCATCAGCATCTTCTTCTTCCAGCACTTCTTCATCTTCTGCTATCACCCTTAGACTACGATCTGGTGATGCCATCTTTACTGTCACCTGAGCTAGGTCTGGATCTTCTTCCTCAAACTCAACTTAAAGTAGAACAATATTCTAAATATTTGACATTCTTATTGAAACCTTACCATAACAGACTTGCCATGCTTTGAATATCGAACTTATTGGTTCATTTTGGTTTTTAAGACAAATTTTAACATACTTTTTTATCATATCTCCACATTCTGTCTACTTAACTTTCCAGTAATTACCAATTTCTTTCAAAGATCAACTGTTATTCCAACATGATTTCTGAATCAGTGGTAAGATACAAATGACTCAATGCCTGGGATCATTTGTACAGGAGACAATATACCTCGCCAGATGATCATACCAGGAATACCCTAGATTACAAATCTGATGGTTTCTCTATTCAGCTAAGCCCCTGCATATTTCAATGTTAAAAAAACTCTTCCAAAAACATTCCATTACAAAAATAAAACTATAAAATGTAAATAATAGTTCAATGACAATCATCAGTTGTATATTTAACATACTTTTTGGCATAGGTTTGGCATCATCGGTTTTCTTATATTTCCTCCATTCCTCTTGTTCAGATCCATCATCTATCACAAGATCTTCCTTCCTTGGTTTTGGCACACCTCGGGTAGATTTTACCATCCTGTCAGGGGTGATAGATTACATAATAAAATAATAATGTTTTAGATATTACCATCTTTGCATCTCTGATAAAAATGCAGTAAAAAAAAATCACAATAGCTGAGATGCAATGATTTTTTAAAAAAAGTAAACAAAGTCTAACAACATACTTTTTGTGTGTCCAAAAGTTACAGGATCTTTTCGTAAATTCTATCACATGATGCAACTTGTTTTCATCAAGTGATCAAAATATATCTTGCACTGCTTGTCATATCATTTACTCTTACTTAGATCAAACTTGTTCAAGAAAAGTTATGAAGCTTGCCACTTTACAAAACTGGTTTTAATGTAAAATCTTGTATACCAGTATACAGAATTAAGGGAGACAGAATGAAACGAAACTAACTTTGTATACTGAGCTAATGTATTGATAACATCTATCAGCTGTCTAATCCTGTTACAGAACAAATCAAAATGTGACATAATCGCCTCCTCATCTGTCATCGGTACACCGTGACCTTGAACATCAGCTAGTAGAGATGACACGCCCTTCTTCGGTGAGGATCCTGTCACACGTGAGGTCCCACTCAACAATCCCCTGTTAGACCTGAAAAAAAATGGTAAAATGTTAATAAAATAGAGAAACACAGAATCCCTTAAGAATGCCCAAAACAAAAAAACTGAAAATGTTGCAGGCTCGGTTTGATTGAGCCTGTTCATGGACGGTACTGGAAAGTGCAAGTTACAATACACACCCCCTAGCACCGGCTTCAGCAGAATTCAACATTTGAATACAAAAATGGTGAATTTTTTTTTTATTTAGAAATATCAGCAGGTGTGTTAAATCTTCACAAAGAATACAATCTTACATGTTTCACTTAGACTTTCACAATTAAACAAAAGAAAATAATACCAACAAATAAGAAACTATGGCTTTTAAAATGTACGATGCTAAGACTAAATAATACTTGTTTACTCAATCTTTAACCCATAACCTGATGACCTTGAATATTGGATTTGCCAAACAGTGTAGATTACTAAAAATACAAAAACTTAGCTACCAACAGTATAGAGCCTGGTCAGATTGTATGAATGTGCAGGCTGGCTGGCTCTATACTGGTCAAAGAGGCTTAACACTTTCAATTCCAGCAAGGTAATAGTTAAAACATTCTTTACTAGAATTTAAGAAATGTTCTAGATAAATATGAAAATGTGAACCAACTAAGTTGCAAATTAAATCACAAAATGAAATAACATAAATATTCAGACAAAGTTTTGATATAAACAAAATGAACAAAGAGCATTAAGATAACAGCACAAACATAAAAAGATAACTTTATTGAATATATATACCCAATCCCAATATGGCTGGATTTAGTTCTGACAAAAAACCTAAAAGAAAACATTTATTTTCTACCATGACAAACATACATATAACATCACAAAAATCTTTACAATAAGTTAATAATCTAATGCAATTGCTTTCTTTGACCAAAATAAAATTTATATCAATATTTTGCAGCATCTGTATACATGTATATAGATAACATAAATGTTATGATTGTTCACTCAAAAAAAAGCATAACAAACATGCAGTATTATAATACATGTACCTGGTAGTAAAACTTCCAGGTCCTCCTACACTACTGAGAGATGGGAAGTGTGACATGTTAGAAGATTGACCAATAGAATCTCGCAGTGATCTCAGTGTCTCTCTATAGAAACCTTGAAGTGTCAGACAGGCCTTTAATCTACCATAAAGTGTGTCGTCCTGGAGACCAAGGTCACGACCTTCTTTAGCTTTGTTCCTTCCAGTAGCACCAGGCTATATAAATTTATAATATACAGAACATTTTGAAATAATATTTTTACATTGTACCCATCAAGGTTTTATACTGATGTCAATTAAACAGATATATTATACACATCCTAAGGCAACATTTTAATATTTTAAGATTATAGAGAAATCTACATTTTTATGCATAATTCAACACTCTGTAGAAAAAAACATAATTCATTTTCAGAAAAATCTACATACTTGTAATAAATATACTGCTACTTTTTAAAATGACATATTATTTCTACATTGCAATCTTTTTACCTTTAATTTTGATTCTACTTGGCTTTTAAGAAGTTTAATTTTGGGGTCGACATCTGTATTTGAGGTGTCACGTATCTCTATTTCTTCCTGTATTCTATCCCAGAGTAGATCATCATCCTCCATAGTAAGTGTACAGTTCTTGATGTACTCTTTACATGCCATCACTAGCTGGTTTGTGACCTGAATATACAATATAAAATAATGATCATGTACAGTGTAAAAAAATATCTAGGATACCAGTTAATCTTAAAAATATAAAAAATAACCTAATTAAGAAGTGAACGACAACAGTTTGTAAAACAAATATACACTGTGAGTGAATCAGTCTTTACATTAAGTTCAGAACAGACATTGCCTTAGTATTCCTCTATATAAACAGATTTTTCATGAAAACTTTATAAATAAATTAGATAAACAAAAAAACCTTTGTAAACATAAGCCCTAGAAATCCAGTACGAGCGTAATATCTGGAAATAGAATCCATCTGCTTGACACTGTTAGCTAGTCCTGGTATGGCAGTGTTTATGATGCTAGACGGTGTAGACTCTACACTATACAACTGATCAAAATGCCGCTTTAAAGACTCCAGAAATTTCACTTTGTCTTTGGTGTCATTCATTCCATCTGTTATACTGTAATAAAGTGTTAATAAAATAATAATTATATATTGGAAATTTTACACATTCAAAATCTTATCTAATTTTTTGTATTGCATTTTTAATGGTTACAGATAAAGCTTTGAACTGCAATATCTTAATTTTATTGAAAATAATAAAAATCAATTTGAAAAATTGAATAACATCACCTTATTTGGACATCGAGAATTGACAAAAAACAAAATAATATTAGGTAAATCAATGCACGACCCATTGTCATTACGCATACATTGTATTTCCATTTTCAAGAACTGTGAATTTTCAATAATTTGTCAAAAGGAAAAAAATACAAAACTAGAAATGTGTCCATAGGACACGGGTGCCCCCACCGCGCCACAGTCCTGTCAATCTTTTTACTAAGTCAAGGGAAATAACTCTACAAATACTGGATAAATCCACAAGCGAAACCCCAGGTGCAAATCTAAATATGCTGAGCAACATGCCCATAAGGTTTAATGACTATGTCAAATCCTTTTTGAGTAACTTGCGACACAAGTTGAAAATTGCAAAAATTTTCTAAGTGAAGGGCAATAACTCTAAAAATACTAAATAAATCCAGACAAAAATACCTGGTGCACAACTGCACATGCTGATCAATATTCCTGTAAAGTTACATGACTCTAGGTCAAACACTTTTTGAGTTACGTGCGACACATGTTGAAAATTGCAAAATTTTACTAAGTCAAGGGCAATAACTCTGAAAATACTAAAAATATCCAGACGAAAATACCCAGGTGCACAACTACACATGCTGATCAACATCTCTGTAAAGTTTCATGATTCTAGGTCAAATACTTTTTGAGTTACGTTCAACACAAGTTGAAAATTGCAAAATTTTACAAAGTCAAGGGCAATAACTCTGAAAATACTAAAAATATCCAGACGAAAATACCCAGGTGCACAACTACACATGCTGATCAACATTCCTGTAAAGTTTCATGACTCTAGGTCAAATACTTTTTGAGTTACATGTGACACAAGTTGAAAATTGCAAAATTTTACTAAGTCAAGGGCAATAACTCTGAAAATACTAAAAATATCCAGACAAAAATACCCAGGTGCACAATAACACATGCTGATCAACATTTCTGTACAGTTTCATGACTCTAGGTCAAATACTTTTTGAGTTACATGCGACACAAGTCGAAAATTGCAAAATTTTAATAAGTCAAGGGCAATAACTCTGAAAATACTAAAAATATCCAGACGAAAATACCCAGGTGCACAACTACACATGCTGATCAACATTCCTGTAAAGTTTCATGACTCTAGGTCAAATACTTTTTGAGTTACATGTGACACAAGTTGAAAATTGCAAAATTTTAATAAGTCAAGGGCAATAACTCTGAAAATACTAAAAATATCTAGACAAAAATACCCAGGTGCACAATAACACATGCCGATCAACATTTCTGTAAAGTTTCATGACTCTAGGTCAAATACTTTTTGAGTTACATGCGACACAAGTTGAAAATTGAAAAATTTTACTAAGTGAAGGGCAATAACTCTAAAAATACTAAATAAATCCAGACAAAAATACCTGGTGCACAACTGCACATGCTGATCAATATTCCTGTAAAGTTACATGACTCTAGGTCAAACACTTTTTGAGTTACATGCGACACATGTTGAAAATTGCAAAATTTTACTAAGTCAAGGGCAATAACTCTGAAAATACTAAAAATATCCAGACGAAAATACCCAGGTGCACAACTACACATGCTGATCAACATCTCTGTTAAGTTTCATGATTCTAGGTCAAATACTTTTTGAGTTACGTGCGACACAAGTTGAAAATTGCAAAATTTTACAAAGTCAAGGGCAATAACTCTGAAAATACTAAAAATATCCAGACAAAAATACCCAGGTGCACAACTACACATGCTGATCAACATTCCTGTAAAGTTTCATGACTCTAGGTCAAATACTTTTTGAGTTACATGCGACACAAGTTGAAAATTGAAAAATTTTTACTAAGTCAAGGGCAATAACTCTGAAAATACTAAAAATATCCAGACAAAAATACCCAGGTGCACAATAACACATGCTGATCAACATTTCTGTAAAGTTTCATGACTCTAGGTCAAATACTTTTTGAGTTACATGCGACACAAGTTGAAAATTGAAAAATTTTACTAAGTCAAGGGCAATAACTCTGAAAATACTAAAAATATCCAGACGAAAATACCCAGGTGCACAACTACACATGCTGATCAACATTCCTGTAAAGTTTCATGACTCTAGGTCAAATACTTTTGAGTTACATGTGACACAAGTTGAAAATTGCAAAATTTTAATAAGTCAAGGGCAATAACGCTGAAAATACTAAAAATATCTAGACAAAAATACCCAGGTGCACAATTACACATGCTGATCAACATTTCTGTAAAGTTTCATGACTCTAGGTCAAATACTTTTTGAGTTATGTGCGACACAAAAGTGAACGGACGGAAGGACAGACGGACGGAAGGACGGTCGGACGGACAAGGGTAAATCTAAATGCCCACCACTAACGTGGGGGCACAAAAATAAAAATTACTTCTTATATTTTTTTTTAGAAAGAATGAAGTGTAACATACGCTGCGTCAATTTGTTTCCATTTCTTCAGAAGTCGTGACTTTGCAGTGATGAGAACACCAATCACAGCTTTACATTCTTTCCCTTTCAGTTGTTCGGTGATATTGGTCAGTAACCGTTGACGTCTACGCCATCTCTCGAGCTCTGACAGTGGACCGGCATTTGGATCCATAAATCTAATATATAAACATATAAAAGTTAATATTCTGTACATGTAAAATAATACCAGACCTGTAACAACTGTTAACCGTGCTTTTTTCTCCAACTCTTTTAGAAATGAATGCGGGTCAGGTTTTCATATAAACATCAAGCAGATTGAAAACTACATAACCAAAACTTATTTAAACTTTGCATGATCTTAGATTCTGATAACAGAAACATTTTAAGTGAATAAAAACTGGACGTCACCTGAGCACCTTAACAATACAAACTTAACATAGAGAATATCTTCCCATCTATAATATTCATGGGATATTTCTCACAAGATCTTGACTTGAATCTTGAATTCATTATCATCTGTTTCTTACTTAGTTAATTTATACAACCTTGTGACAGATCATATTGGACACTTGAAAATATTTGAGTTTGGAGCAAAAAAATAAATGTTATTCATGCTACCAACTTAAACGTACCAAGTTCACCATATACTTACAGTAGTCTTACTGATGTAAAATGTTTTTAAGGTAGGAAAATAAATATTGATATAACACAGTTTACACAGGTATAATAGAGCAAATTTCTTTATTTTTGAATACGAAATATATCTTTGAAATGATTTATTTCAATTGGTTATGTATAACTACATACAAAGGCTTTTTTATTACACTGTCTATATACAGCAGATTTTAGATTATATCAGACTCATGGGCAAAGTCCTGAAGAAAAGTCAGGTATGAAAATTTACCCAGTACCAGTACTTGGTTATTACAGCATGAATACTTGACTTAAATGTCAGCAAAAACCTATCCATAGTAAAAACAAGCTGAAATAATATCAATTACTTGTCAAGAAGTCAAGTCACAATATTTTGTGAACTTTTCAATCATAATTGTATACAATATTGATTAAACAATGTATGTTTAGTTTATTGATTAGTTAAGTTGAATGTTCAGAGCCTCATTAGTTTTCACAGCTGAAGACAACTGATAATAAGCTTTGCTGAAATCAACAGTTACTGGTAAGTTTTAACACACACACAAGCCTTTGCAAAGATGTGTTATCTAAATAATTACTCAGCAAATATTACACAAATCTATAACAAAAATACACAGAACATAGCAACAAATTACAACTTAATGATGTTTATTAAAGTTAAATTTTGAAGTAATTCTTAGATCAGCTTGAATTAGTATCATAAGATCTACTAAGATTCTTTCAGAAACTTAACAGTGAAACAAGCTCTTTCAATTTAAATTACATGTAGAAACTTTCCAGCCTGTTTTATGGATTGAAGTCATGTGTCAGATGACTAGTAATCTCAGGATTGTTGTCAGCATGGGTTCAAACCCTGTCAAAGGCAAGCCTTTGTTTCCATGAGCAACAAACTTATTTAAGAGTGTAAGAAGTGTGTGAGAATTTTATGGCTTGCTACATAATAGAACTTATATAAATTCTGCATGAACTAATAGAACTGACTAAAATAACAAACTAACTTCATAGTATAAACAATCATGTTAGGTTGTAAGAATCAAGTATATGAATTCAATATTGAAATGATGGTAAGGAAGCTAAGCACATTGAATCAATTTTAGGCTAAGTACAGCATAAATTATTCTAAAGACACATTTTTATTATTCAAATCAGACATAGAAACATTTTGTTAAACATTTTATACACTTGATCACCTGGAACGTTCTGGGAAAAGAGCATCCATTTTTCTAAAACAAAACAAATTTTATAGAAAGGAAACCTGTATGAATACATAGAAAACTTGTAAAACAAAATATAACTGCTAAATAATACAATCAAAAACCTGTAGAGGTATAAAAGATGTTTACTTCAACAATATCCTTAGAATGTGTACATGATGCTTTTATTCTGACAAGAAAACTCTTAATGTCATAAAGTGAGTACAAAGATAATTGATGTAAAACTTAATAGATACATAAATGTATGCATATAAATAAATAAATAAAATATAACGAAATCATTTTCTAACTTCATATATGGTAGAGCTTTCCATTTTTAAAATATCTGTCATAAAGAAAAATTCAAAAAATATGTTGATACTTCTATTAAATCCTTAATTCATTGTCCATAAAATACTTTGAACAGGAAACTTTTAATATGTTTCAATATATATGTTTCATTATATACTTATACACATAATGTTTATTTAGGGTTTTCCATTAGATAAAATGACCAGTTATAAAATAAAATTTTGCAGGTAACAATGTGACCTAAGTTGTTCTCTTTCAGACTTCCCGAAAGTAAAAAAAACTGTCAGACATTCGGTCTGACAAACCATGAAAATCTGTCGCACCGAAACGAAATCTGTCAGACCAAATAAAATTGATCAAAATCAAAGAAAAACTTGTGTTTGTATTTCTAAGACACTTTTTGTTTTTATTTTTTTCGCCGTAAAAATCGGCACATTCCGTACAGTGCATTTTCATCTCCTCCCTGTTATACACCAACGATTCATGGTCCTGCTTCCATTTTTCATTAAATTTTGTCTCAGGTCTATTCTTTTCATCCTTTTATTACTGTTGTGCGCGCTCCTCTGACGAAGATTTTCGTTTTTCCCAGGTTTGGCAGCTTTAGCGACGCCATTTTGTATACATGCGGCTTGGATAAAAGCCGAACATTCGGACTGATCCGGAATAAAAAATCGTCGGACCTGATAAAAATTTATCGGACATGTCCGTCGGACCGACGTATTTCGGGAAGTCTGCTCTTTTCATTGAATGGGTCACATTAGTTACACATCTGTCACATATTTCTCTTTCACTTCAGACAACTCTTGTCTGTAATTTCACCCTAATGCCCTAGACACCTTGTACTTATAAGAATAAGCCGAAACCCTGCATATATTTCTAATACTTTCAAACAATGGTCTATGAGACTGCAGGCAGATTGTTATATTTCATCATGTTATAGTAATTACCTTTCATCAGAAGTATCTGTGAGAACTGCCTCTATTGTGTTCATCCATTCTGTGACTAACTCTTCATACTGACTAATAAGCTGAGGATCTAAAGCTGCTGCCCTTTGCTGTTTGAAATCATTCAATACAATGTGGTCTGGCTGTTTTAACATCTAAATATAGGAGCATATGCATGTAGAATAACAGCAACATAAAAAAAAACATGATTAGCAGTAAGTAAAGACAAAACCATAAGATGCATAAATGAAAACTAGATTAAGAAAAATTTACACAATATTATGAACCATTTGATTAAAATGAAAATGCAGAAAAACCTTTTCATGATATGTCATGGTAAACAAATGTTCTCTTATTGGAGACCCTGCAAGAAAATGTGAAGCTCATGCAGTTGGTAAAGCTGTTGAACATGGTGTTTTTATTCAAAGACTTCTAACAAGATAGAGTGACATAAACTTAACTGGTAGTCTGGTACAAAATTAGGGACATTGTCAGATATTAGACATTACTGGCTTGTTAAAGTTTATGTCGGTCAAGTCCAGAAGCAAAAATATCTCAATTTGACGTCATATTTATAGGACAAGGTACCAATTGAGAGATATGTGAGGGATAACTTTGAATTATATACCATCTGTTTTGATGACTGTAATGACGCTGTTGATTCATTGAGAGCTGTCAAAAATTTGTCCATGTTATTCATCAGCTGATTCTGGCCATCAGGGTTGCATTCACCCCAATCCTTCTGGGCTTTAACCAGAGGAATGTAAACATCAGACAACAGGGTTGTGAGTGTTTCTATAGTGTTATGCTTAAGTTCTCCACAAAATATATCCCGTTCCATCCTTGTTCCATCAACATCTTTATCAACACGATTACGGAGGAAATATAAAATGTTTACATGTTCCAAGTTTGTATCCTTCAGGGATGCCAATGTCCCTGTCACATGAAGTTCCCGAGTAGAAACAATACCAGTTTCTGGCTTTTCGCAATAAAAGAATAAACGACATGGCCCTCCTGCTTTGAGAAACTTATTGATTTTGGCAAGTGTCGTTTCTTCAATCATAAAGTCCTCCAACAAAGTCGGATTATCGTAACCTCCGATTTTGAAAGTTTCTTGGATCTTACTGGCTATCCACCAGTGTCTTTCATCCATCTTTGCTTATGTATGTATTCCCTTATCTGCTACAAATAATGGCGCCACGTTACTCTTATTTAAAGATAGCTGAATTTCCTATTTTATAAAAATCACTACTTAGGTAATCTAAAACCAAACGTCTGCATGTAGGCCGCCATTATTGTTGTTGGTAACCACAATATCCGGTCTAAGCGCACCTGTTCAAAAACGGAACTTGATAAATAATATACTACGCCGTACCCGTGCCGTATTAAGTTTCGGCCCGGTTAATTTTCGCCCTAAGGTAAATATTAGATTGATGGTGATTAACAACTCAACATGTTCAGTGAAAAATTGAATTGGGTAAACATTTTTCTTACCAAGTTGACATAAAAGACATGATCTTGAATGTGTGCTTAACAAGATAGTGTTTAAGCTGGTGTGCTCAACAACTCTCAGTACTTGGAAATGGATAAAGAACAGGTCCTTGAAAACTTGTAAATGAAAAAGAGATATTAACAGAAGTATCCCTTATTTATAAAGCAATAACCGGAGGTGTGAAATTGACTTAGATCAAGACTCAAGAGTGACTACCATAGCTCTCCCTGGAAGATTCTGAGACATTATCATAGTGGGAGTGATAATTGTACAAATCAGGAGGCTCTATCTCGTCATCCACCAAGGTTCTTAGACATAAGAAGACAGGGAAGATTTGTACCAGACATTTATTCTGTTTGATATGCGTCTTCACTAATTACTGGTGGGCAAATTTCATTGCTGTTTTTCAAAAAAAATTTTACCATGTAAAATGACCAAGAAACGAAAAGCTTTTAAACAGTTCATAAACTCGATCTAAGAGAGGCACTAAATTTTGATTTAAAATAAATTCTTTAATTAAATTTACTTTAATTGTAAACATATTTCTTATTATCTTTTTATTCCAAAACCCACAGTTTATCTACTTTTGGAAGCAGTGGAGTTCTTTTAACATGTCAATTATCTTGGACATTAAATCATTTGTCTCTCAAGGCTGCTTAAGCTTATATATGTATTTGATATAAGTGGTATTCAAACATGACAATCAGGACATTGTGATACACATATAGCTCTCCATATGAGCAATGTCGACGGGTGTATTAAAAATGTTTGTACAATTTCAGCTTAAACATAACAAGACAATCTCTTTTTCTTTTTTCTTTAAGTTTATTTTTTTATTAAACTCTTTCTGAGATCTAAACAAGCATCTATTTCTACTTGAAAAACAACAACAAAACAGCAACAAATATTAACATCATTTACCAAATTTGTGTTCCTAAAAAAAATTGTTTAAGGGAATTTTGTGGGAAAGAAAATACAATTCCTATTTCACCAAACAATACTAAGATTTGTGCATCATGGATATTATGCCAAAATATGATTAGGTTATCATAACAAGAGCTGTCGGTAGGACAGCAACGCTCGACTATTCTTAGTGCTTGATAGTAAAAAAATGCTTGATAGAGTTACCTCCTCCTGTTTACAGGTTGGGGTCATGATGGTGAACAAGTGTGCAAAGTTTCAAAGCCATATGTCAATGGACTTTGAAAATATTTGAACTATTACAAAAACTTTAACGTAAATTCTAAGTCGAAAAAGGGGCATAATTCTGTCAAAATGCTTGATAGAGTTACCTCCTCCTGTTTACAGGTTGGGGTCATGATGGTGAACAAGTGTGCAAAGTTTCAAAGCCATATGTCAATGGACTTTGAAAATATTTGAACTATTACAAAAACTTTAACGTAAATTCTAAGTCGAAAAAGGGGCATAATTCTGTCAAAATGCTTGATAGAGTTACCTCCTCCTGTTTCCAGGTTGGGGTCATGATGGTGAACAAGTGTGCAAAGTTTCAAAGCCATATGTCAATGGACTTTGAAAATATTTGAACTATTACAAAAACTTTAACGTAAATTCTAAGTCGAAAAAGGGGCATAATTCTGTCAAAATGCTTGATAGTGTTACCTCCTCCTGTTTCCAGGTTGGGGTCATGATGGTGAACAAGTGTGCAAAGTTTCAAAGCCATATGTCAATGGACTTTGAAATATTTGAACTATTACAAAAACTTTAACGTAAATTCTAAGTCGAAAAAGGGGCATAATTCTGTCAAAATGCTTGATAGAGTTACCTCCTCCTGTTTCCAGGTTGGGGTCATGATGGTGAACAAGTGTGTAAAGTTTCAAAGCCATATGTCAATGGACTTTGAAAATATTTAAACTATTACAAAAACTTAAACGTAAATTCTAAGTCGAAAAAGGGGCATAATTCTGTCAAAATGCTTGATAGAGTTACCTCCTCCTGTCTACAGGTTGGGGTCATGATGGTGAACAAGTGTGCAAAGTTTCAAAGCCATATGTCTATGGACTTTGAAAATATTTGAACTATTACAAAAACTTTAACATAAGTGGTTACGCCGACGCCGACGCTCGGGTGACTGCAATAGCTCTACTTATTCTTATCGAATAGTCGAGCTAAAAAGTAAATATTTGACCATAAAGTTCCAGAAAATTCTTATAAGAATTTTGTTTAAACGAGACATATTGTTGGAAACAAGATCCCTGAAACCTGGGCCGAGTAGAAAAACCAAGAGCTTTGACTTACTACAAGTCAAAAATGGAAAAGATTGAAGCTTAAATGAACAACTCTTGAGCCTGATTCTTCCGAGTAATGGTCTCACAAATAATGAATCAAGCCAACATTCCACAGATTGAGAATCAGATACTTTTGTCCACATTACCACTGGAACTAAACATACATGTTATTCTAGAATAAAAGAAATATTTTCTTCGTTGAAAAAAAATAAAATAAAAAATAAACAAGTAAGAGCAATTTAACTTGTTTTAAAAGGCCATCTGAGTGCTGAGGGACATGTGGTGCTTTCACTAGTTTCTGAGAAATCTGCTTACATGTAAAACTTTCTCCTGAAAGGGACATAATTTTACAATTATGTCTGCAGAGTTACGTCACATGCCCTTGGACTTGCTATTACATCGTTAACACAAGTGAAGAATATGGCAAAAAACTTTTTTTTCACAAACCAAGCAAACAAATGAAATTTACTGTGTTATTGTGCAATGCACTCCAAATTAGTTCATTTGCAAGTATTTCCTGAATACAGAACAATTGCCTAGGAAACAAAAGTGATAAACTATGACAATAATACAGAACATGGCACCTACAAAAATTATGGCAATACTGATTAACTTTGGCAATAATACTGATCAAGTAATATACGATTCTTACACCTGCAACTGGTATTGACCGAAATACCTACCTTAGGGTGACTGTTTACAGCACCAACCAGGTAGTTGATACTCAGTAACCTTGAAAGCGAGATAGTCCTGTCTGTGACAATAGCGTTAGATTTTTTATATTTTTTTTTGCATATTAGATAGAAATCATATTTCTGAAAAAATTTACATAATTATGCCATTTAGCACTTTTTACTTACATAAGTGTATGAATGTTTAACTTCAGTAATACAGTAAAATGACGATGCACTAAGCATGCAATTTATTCATAAAAGGCAAGTGGGAATGAGGTCATTTAAAGCACATAACTTGTCTTACACAGGGGGTGTAAGTTTTTTTTTAGCACCATTGTAAAATGTAGAAAATCCTGTCTGATATGCATGAAAATTCTACAAAGCACGCACCTGGTATGGTTTTCATGTGTAAAAATATATTCACAAAAAAAATATTAATTTCATCACAATAATATATACAGCAACAAGACTTGTGCATCAATAAATAGTCATAATGATAATTCTTCAACTGTAAGAAAACATATTTTCAAAATTATACTAGCAATATTCGTTGTTGTACTTTTCATCATAAATTATTTTTCGTTCACACCATATCCATAGTCCACCTTGTTATTTTGCATTTAAATTTTGCCATCACACATACAGACAATTTTTGATTCTATCACACAAACATTATTTTATACATTATTTTGTAATATGAACAAAATACACAATGGTTAAATATAACATTGAAAACATGTGACATCATGTGATAAGTACATATATATACAAATAGTAATTTACAGCACAAATATTATCATACACATATGTAACAATGCAAGCATGTCGCTATCTAATATGCTGTATATTCTTTTGACAAAATACCTGCTCCAAAATTAAACTTATATTCAAAATCATTTGTCAACAACTTTGTGACAATCTTTGCCATTAAATACATAACAAATATACAAACTCCTTAACATCAACACCTTTGCATACAAGTAAATGAACTCCGGTCAATGTCACCTCAATAAACTGGAGAGGTCCATGAAACCTAAATTAACTGGAGAGGTCCATAAAACCTACATGAACTTGAGAGGTCCATGAAACCTAACTTAACTCGAGAGGTCCATGAATCTAACTGAACTTGAGGTTCATGAAACCTAAATGAGCTTAATCGGACCATTCAACTTTAATGAACTTGATAGGTCTTTGCAACCTTAATGAACTTGAGAGGTCCATGAAACCTAACTTAACTTGAGAGGTCCATGAATTTAACTGAACTTGAGGTTCATGAAACCTAAATGAGCTTAATCAGACAATTCAACTTTAATGAACTTGATAGGTCTATGCAACCTTAATGAACTTGAGAGATTCATGAAACCTAAATGAGCTTGAGCGGTCCATTAAACATAAATGAACTTGAGAGGTCCATTAAACCTAAATGAACTTGAGAGGTCCATTAAACCTAAATGAACTTGAGAGGTCCATTAAATCTAAATGAACTTGAGAGGTCCATGAAACCTAAATGAACTTGAGATGTCCATTAAACCTTAATGAACTTGAGACGTCCATGAAACCTGCAAGGACCACTAAATCAAACATGCAAACTTTCATAACAGATAGAGTGTTTAAGGAAAATCTTTATAAGTAATCAAGATATATGTAGATCCTAAATTCACCCAAGCATTAATTTTAACTAAGTTTCATAGTTTCTTACTGATGGCAATCAATATTCATACTAGACCTGCATTTGATAAAATGAATATTCTGACTTATTATAATATATGTGATTGCCGTGAAAATGTATCTTAGTTAAATCACTCTAGATCATCTTTAAATACTTTTGCACTCATGACCTGGAAAGTGAAAACATGATAAATTTCCTGAGAATACAAATGGATATGGGAGACTAAATATTATTTTATCTATTCCTGAGATAATAGCAAAAGTCGGAAAACCAAAAACGCACAACTACCATCTTAAACGTTAACAGATTGCTTACAAAAAATAATAATACAGAAATGAAATCATGAAACGAGAAACTCTTGAATATTTTACTTAATAATTAATCTAAAATGTAGATTCTGCAAAATTTTGGCCTTGTGAAAATATCTAATTTTATAATATTTCTGATACATGCAATTCATCTGCTGTAAGATACATGTAGTGTCTGACTGCAGTGAAAATATATCCTAATATAAAAATACACTTTGCAGTTATGTTTTATAAATTTTCTAAAAAGCAAGAAATAAAATATCAAAGTTTCCTATATCACAACCATCTAATATCCCGAAGAATATTGGTTTATATAAACCTTTAAAAATCTTCAAAACTTGAGATTTTTTAAGCAAAAAAAAAAAAAAAAAAAAATTTAACATTTTTATACACAAACCAGTACATGCTAACCAGTTTTCGAAATGTTTCCAATGAATTAAAAATACCCCCCCCCCCCCCCCACAAAAAAAAAGAAAAAATAATTACAAAAATTTCATATATAAAACTAAGAAGTAACAGTAAGTATGGAACATGTCAAATTATGTTAGTTAATACTTTTAAACTTATAGATTTTTTTCTTCTTAATTATTCTGCTATAATTAAAATATGTAAATAAATATGCAAACTGTTTAGAAATAATAATAATAACATATGAAAATTTATACCACAATTTATACAATGAAACAAAGGATTTTCAAAACAACCGATGCCTAAAGACAATTCACAACGTAAGTTTATATTGTTTTTTCTGTTTACCAGACACTACCAGCGGGTAGTCCTACGACTGGTATATCATCAACTACTTCAACAATATTTCTACCTTCCCCAATTACCACATCCTCAATAAGGCTAGATACAACGTTATCATTTGGCAGATTTCCGTTTATCTTATCCAACGACTCTTTCAGTATCTGGTCAGAGTTATAACTAAATCCAACAGCAATTGTGTCACTTATTGACCTTTTTGCCGATTTGACCTCATCGTGACCTTTGATGTCCCCATTCATTAATGTGAGAGTGTCATTTTTTTGGTTAATATAATCAATGTCTAATTCTTCATTAGAGTCCATGTTTTCTTCCTTGGGTGATGACAGTTTAGCAATCTGATCTGAGTGATAGTTGAAACCAACTGCTAATTGATCCCGTGCTAACCTTCTTGGAGTTGTGACAACACCTTCAATGATAACTTCCCCAGTTTCTGTTTTAGGTGAATCTTTTACCAGTTGTTCAGCTAAATAGTTAAAGCTGACCGCAAGTTGTTCCGGACGTTCGCGTGGTTTCTGTAGTGTATCGAGGGGTATAATCTCCCCACGAACAGTTTTTGGCGACTGCTGAACAACCAGATCCGAGTGGTAATTAAATCCTAGAGCCAGCTGGTCAGGTCGTCGTCTAGGTGTCCTGTTAACATCAAGTTTTGTCTGTTTGTTACGTTTAAATGGTGTACTGATCTGATCAACTGATGTTACTTCTTCTATTACTTCCATTATAGCAGATTCAGATAGACCATCACCTAATGCCATCTTCATTGCCTGTTGAATTATTTCATCAGTATAGTCGGTGACAAAATCATCCACATTCGAAGGTTTTCCTACAATAGGTTAAATTAGGCAATTTATGTTACTATCTATCTTCAAACAATGTCTACAAATTGGATTTTTAACATACTCAATAATCAACTATGTAGTTCTAATTAGTAATACATTTTAACTATACACACTCTTGTTTACTAACATACAAGGATGTTACTGACCATGTCAAAGGTTGATTTAACTTTCAGTTTCTGATAAGGAAAGGTTTGAAATGGCAAAGGTTTCAGTATGTGTACCCTGAACATTTGACGTCAAGCTTTTCTGATAGAGAAAAACCTCAACAGCTTCTCAATGCAAAATTCAGAAGTTAGTAGGGCTACCAACATAATTTAGCTAGATCCCCAATGGGATTGAAACCACTACAGTGAGTATAAGTGGTTCAAAGACAGCAACCTAAACCACTCTGCCAAAGAGGCTTCTCAATATTTTAAAACAAAGTGCTGTTGTTAACAATCCTCTTTAACTTCATGTACAATTGTTTTAAAGTATTTTTACATCCACTTCTGTGTATTATTTCATAAAATTTCTCATTGGAGATTTGCTTGCAACATTTTATTACTTCATAAGTTAAAGTATCTAAACAAATAGAAATTATTTAAGTTCTATGTAATAATAGAATAACTTCACAATTTATTATAAATAGCTAGGAATAATTATCACTTCATCAAACTCACCTGTAGAAGAATGTCCTTCATCACCATGATTATCTACATGACTTGACAAAGATTGTCCTGGGGACACATTGCTATTACTGTCACCTGCAGCATTAGCTGACACTAGCTGTATATCTGGATTTTCTTTCAGTCGATAGTCTCTGCACAAACCAGAAGGATTTTCAAAACTGGAAAAAAAAGGAAAATCAATTATCTACTTTAACCATAATATATTATCTCTCATTTATAATGTGCTACAACTCAACTGTTTCACATTTCACCAAGGTAAACTTATCTAGCAAACACAGAGTAATTTGTATAATAATTTTGTTCAATTAACCACACAGCTTACATATTGTAATCTAATAAGGTGCTGTGTAATACGAAATCAAATGAACAGCATTATACTTTTTAATGGTAATAAGCAGTTGAATTTAATAGCTTAGGTCAGGTGACTAACCATTCAAGGTGTCTGTTTGTCACAAGCACAACAAAAGCTTATAACAAACATTTTCTAGTCATCCAAACACGAAACACCAACCAAGCTACAGCTCATAATATACATGGGCATTTGCACAACATGTCATACGGCCCAGTATAATGTTTAAACTTAACAGATTCCTCTCACTATCCCACACATCTCTTGATAGATGTATTTTTAAACAAACATTACTATGGCTATTGCTTTAGTATTTCTATAAATCTATAAGTCATATACATGTATGTCATTGAAAAAATAGGTAAACCTTCAACCTATTGACAATCTCCATCTTTATAATGAGGAAATTAACCAGTTTAATATCAGAAACATTTTTAAGTTTGATAATATTCTTTAACATACTGTTCATTATAGTTGTGCTTGTTTTTCTTGCTGGGTCGATTCTTCCTGTTTGACTTTACGTCCCTGTGCGGTATATTTCTGTAACACAAATTTCGCATTGAAGAGTTATACATTATTTCATAAATATAACAAATCTTTATGTTTTTTTAAATAGAATCTTAATATTTTTTAAAATCATTTTTGTCAAGATTAATGAACTTAAATTTCATTTTTTTGTGCAGACAAAATTTGTTAAATCCATTTCCTGTTAAATATCTTAAATAGACCTGCCCATCCTTCAATCTGAACACGACTATTTGTCATTTTTAAGGAAATTTTCCAAATATTTACTGACTAAAAAGCAAACAGTGTACACCATGATCAGAGAGCATGAATTTGCTGGCTGACCTTGGTCTGGACACTTGTAGAAAACAGTAGGCTTAGACTGAAATAAAAGTGTTTTAGGGAATCTCCCTTACTTAAAAAATCTCCAGCAATTTCAAATCCTAGAATAAATAATACCAATAGAGATGCTGGTAAAATTGCACATATGTGCAGAGTGACCCACATCTACACTGATAGTCATAAACACTGGCATCACTCTTGATTCAAGAATTATGGATAATTTAATTATCAATTCTTACCTATCAATCCAATCTGGAGCAAAAAATAACTCGGCAAAATATCTAGCCTCTGTTACCCAGGACCAATTCTGTAACAAAATGTTTTAAAATTACAATGTCCAATTTAATAAATGAGTCTGAACTAGCAATTTTTTTTAATGATTTTAAAGATAAATGGAAACCTAAAATGTTTAAATAGCATGCGAGTTCACACTACTATGCTATTAGATGTCATTTTATTGTATAGATATAGATTTAAAAAATGTTTTTTTAGTAGAATTAAAATTGTTAATTTCACAGTGAAATTATTACATCTGGTCCTCAAAGTGTGAAACATAAATTTTTTTCCCATCAAACACTGAAACAAACAATTATTCTCTTAAGACATAACTAAATGAAGAAAATACTAAACAATATTAAATTCTTACATTTCTACCCTTTGCTAATTGATACTGTCCCAGCACTGCCTCACCAACCTTTTCAACGTCCACTCCTTTCTCATAGCCAAGCTTGTAGAATAAATCCTTTGAACTAATTTGTATACCTTGTTCTGTGCTTTTATGGACAAAATCTATGTAGCAATGGAAATCTTTTTCATCTAATGATTTCCCTGGTTCTGCTACAACTACATGAAACAACAAATCGAACAGTTTTACCAACCCTTACCATGCTAAATTTCTATAATGAACTCATCCTGCTTTCAATTTGGAACAGTTAATTTTTACTCAAAGGGGATTGCTAAAATCATTTCTTAAACATTTGCATAATGCAAACAATAAAGACCTTGGTCAAATTGCAAGAATGTTCAGAGATTGCAAGAATGTTCAGACAGGCCAGATTCCATAACCAGCACATAACTAATTATCACTGCTAGTCAAAGTAAAGCTAATGATTTGGTTTACATTTACAAACTGTTTGTCAATATTCCTATAGACTAATGTAAACAATCTTTTTCTACAGTTTTCATTTCTACATTTTTGTATTAGCAAGTAATGGCTTAAACTTCCTTTGAAAAAAAAACAAACTAATATTGTTTCATGTTTTTTTTTGTTTTTGTTTTTTCTTGCTTTCCATCACTACGAACCATTTATTGTATATATGCATGGACTATTTAATGTCAATAAAATTTATGTTATGTGATTTGTCACATTAAAAAAATGGAAAGACGACAATTCTGAAGATGATATTAATATTTAAGCATTCCAAGATATTTGGTAATGAAATATTTATGTTTTATCTGGTAAAGCAAGTTGTCAGATTTATAAGAACTTGTGTAGACCAACTTGATGGTCAACAAAACAGTTCATTAGAAGCTGATGTTTAAATGTTAAATACATTTTTTTTTCTCTTGCAGCCAAAATTATTTCAGCAAACTTAATAATTGACTATCTTAAGGTGCTACAGACCAAGTTTGGTGATGTTCTGGCAACTGGATAGTGACTAGTTATTTTAAGAATAAGTTGCACTTGCTGACAAATGGACACCAGAACATTCAACTAATACTTATAATTATCCTCTAACCTTCTGTTCTCATTACACGAAAAAATTAAGTTACAGTACCTTGCTGTCCATGTTCTTTTGAATGAGCGAATTTGCAATTTGGACCCTTATAGCATCTCTGACCACGTTTGATAAACTTGCACATCTTCCTGTCTGCAAACAAAGAGAAACAAGTGGTAAAGTTGAAACCATTCAATATCTAGTCAGACATGTCCAAGTGGTACGAGGACACAGAACTTATGTAGAGATAGTAAAAATAGCAAGTTTTACATAAAATTCAAAGGAGAGTTAGATCATGAAAGAATATTTTAAAATGTGATGTGAGTTACAAGGAGTTAAGTTCGAAAGAATAGCTTTGGTTATCAAAAATATCGGGAATAAAATATTTTACTGCACAAAAACTTTCATCAGAAATCTGCATGAGGGTCCCAACAACAAAATGAGTAGAACAGCTCTCAACATACTTTGAATGTTCTAACTTACTAAGTCAAGCTAAAAGCAGTTTATCATTAATACCTTATTTATCATTTATTACATCTACTATACCTTTTCCTCTTTTACTTTCATTGACTTTTTTCTCTTTCCCGTCTTCTCTATCCAACTTAGTTATCTGCCCTATACTATTTTTATCTGACTGAGTTATCTGCCCTTTACTATCTTCTTCATCTGGTGTAATAATCTGCACTTTACTATCTTCCTTATCTGGTGTAATAATCTGCCCTTTACTATCTTCTTTATCTGGATTGGTTATTTGTTTACTTTCAGTCAGTACTCCTGTATCGCTTTTACCCTTCTCAACCTCTATGGTAATTTCATCCTTACAAATAAAAACTTAGATGTAGATATTATGTAAAATAAATATTATTATGCAACATTCAACACATACCATAGAAGATGCTGGCTATGAAACTTCTGAAATGACAGCTGAGGCAATGAATTTTAGCATGTACATTGCACAAGCAGACAACTATATAAAGCAACTTTGTTAAGTCAAAAAGTGCAAGTTACAAATTTCAGAACTGGTTATGATAACACTAAGGTATTTCCAGTAGTGGCGAAATTTTGTTACTAAGACAGTGTCTATTCTAGGACCCGCAATTGCGCGATTCACGCTAGTATTTCACAGATCGCGCACAATTCACAATCATGTGCGTGAAAATCGCACATCTATAAAAAAGTTAATAAAATCGTAAAACTTCCATCCCGCATTATATTTGGTTGTTTTGTTTACATTTACACCAGAAACCGAAGGGAGGTAACTGTAAGCTAATTATAATAATTTAGTACCGTATGGTTGAGTTGACAGGAAATTAACGGAATGTTCCGTACCGACCGGAACTAGTGTCCTAGAGTTGGGCGCAATTTTAGTGTAGTAAATAATAAAAAAAAATTAAGCAATTCCTAGCTTGGCTACGATCTAGTTGTGAAAGGTAGGTCGATTGTTTGTATTGTCAATCCCTTTATAATCAATCGCGACAGTTCTATAATAATTTGTTTTCGTTTAAAAATTAAGGGGGGACAACTTCTGCTGCCTTAAATAAATATTTTCATTTTAATTATTTCATCGGTTGAACGCCTCGGTGTAAACTTAATGCAGACGTTTCAGCATTGGCAGTTTATATTGGCACCCTTGATTTTGAAAATCAATTCCCCCCCCTTTTTTTTTGAAATATGGGGGGGAAATCACCCCTATTTTTGAATTTCTAGGATAGACACTGCTAAGGTATCTGTAAAAACCTTCCACACTATACATCAATTTATTACATACTGCATATATATCTTTATTTGAAATTCAAGTGAAGCAACACTACCAGTCATATTGGTAAAACTACCAACATTCAATAAACTTGTCAAATAATTTCCAAGAAGAGTTCAACCACAGTCAGTTTTCCAAAGTATCTAAAATCAGATTATTTCCAACCCACAAAATTATTATGTCACCCCTAAGTTTTGCTATATACATGAAGCTCTTAAAAGTGTGAAAAAAATTAAGATTTCAAGCAAACAGTTGGAACATTGACAATTGCCATCTTACATTTATCACTCAACCTTGTTATACTTGATCTTTTTTTTTTTAAGTCCAACTTACTGGAGACTTCAGTGTTACCTTTCAAGATTGCAGAGCAACTCCCTTTTATTGTTGACAAGAAGTGTTGCATTACAGAGGTTACATTCAATGTGAAGTCTTATTTTGGGAAAAAGTTAGTTACTGTGGTTGTACAGTGGTAATTGCTCTACAGAGGTTGAACTGTATTTAAGATATAAATTACAGTCTGGTATTTATTAATCATGCTTATATTCTATTAAAGTTACCTGTAATTCATTGTCCTTTGATTGGTCATCTTTGGACTTTGACAAATACACAGCATCTAAATCTGTTCCTGAAAGTGTGCTCCCTAAAACATCAAATTATCAAAATGGTATATAAGTATCATAAATACATATATAATATATTTACACAGGATATCTCATCAGCTATTGTTTAGTTGTAGTTTAACAGAAAATCTTGAAGTTTAAACATTTTAGCTTAGCAATGAAGAAAACTTCAATGAACCACTTTCAGGTCCACTTTTTAGCAATAATACCTTTGATTGACAAAGCCTGAGCACTCAATAGTTACATGTTTGTCAATTAAATGTTCCATGCCGACTCTGTAAGGTATAAGATAATTAGTGAAATGTGTTAAGGACTAAGGAGACCCTACTCATCTGACAATCAAAGGATCAGAAATTTATAACAAGAGGGCCATGATGGCCCTGAAGTCGCTCACCTGTATATTGGCCCCCCCGGAGCGGGGCCAGTTTAAACCCCAGGGCTTTTATTTGAACAAACTTGGTAGACACTTATTAGAAGATGTTATATGCTAAACATCTAAGGTCTAGCTCGTTGGGTTTTTTAAAAGAAGATTTTTTAAGTTTTTTCTTTACACATATATTTAACAACAATGACACCCCTGGGGCAGGACCAGTTTTGTTCCCAGGGCTTTTATTTGAACAATATTTGTAGACACTCGCTAGAATATGTTTCATGCTAAATATCTAAACTCTAGCTATTTGGGTTTTTTCCATGAAGATTTTTAAGTTTTTGCTATACACATATAAGGAAATTCAATGTCCCCCGGGGTGGGGCCAATTTTGACCCCAGGGCTCTTATTTGAACAAACTTGGTAGACATCCATTAGAACATGTTTCATGCTAAATATCTTAGCTCTAGCTCTTTGGGTTCTTTAAAAGAAGATTTTTAAGTTTATACTATATTCATATAGGGAAAATCAATGACCCCCTGGGGCGGGGCCAATTTTGACCCCAGGGCTCTTATTAGAACAAACTTGGTAGACATCCATTAGAACATGTTTCATGCTAAATATCTTAGCTCTAGCTCTTTGGGTTCTTCAAAAGAAGATTTTTAAGTTTTTACTATATGCATATAGGAAAATCAATGACCCCCTGGGGTGGGGCCAATTTTGGCCCCAGGGCTTTTATTTGAACAAATTTGGTAGACACCCAATAGAAGATGTTTCATGCTAAATATCTTAGCTCTAGCTCTTTGGGTTCTTTAAAAGAAGATTTTTTAAGTTTTTACTATATACATATGGGGAAAATCAATGACCCCCTGGGGCGGGGCCAATTTTGACCCCAGGGCTTTTATTTGAACAAACTTGGTAGACACTCACTAGAAGATGTTTCATGCCAAATATCTAAGCTCTAGCTCTTTGGGTTTTTTAGAAGAAGACATTTAAAGTTTTTTCTTTTGGTTGCCATGGCAACCAGAGTTCTGCATGGAATTAAATTCTTTGAACAATTTTCAAAGGTGACCACCAAAGGAACATTCCTGTGAAGTTTGGATGAAATTGGCTTAGTGGGTTATGAGGAGATGTCATTTAAAGTAAAAGTTTACGGACGACGGACGGACGACGGACAGACGGACAAACGTACACCGGACGAAAAGTGATCACAAAAGCTCACCCTGTCACAAAGTGACAGGTGAGCTAAAAAGCTGGGAAGAATTCTGCCATTTTATTAACAAACCTACCATTCAACAAAATTTCTGGTATATCTAAACACTGGCCTGTACCATCTTTTGCTTTTCCAGCATGTCTGGTAACATCTTGAAATTGAAAAGAATTTCACAATTACTAAACATATTTGTAATCTCAAATATGCATCAATAACAGGAAACAAATTTTAAAATTTGAATTTTGAGAAATTATTGACAAATTAACATTTGTATAAATGGATCTGTCTAAAGAAGGAATAAAAACACAGAGGAATGTTACCTGGAATGTGTTCCCAGTCACTACTAGCTGTAGAATCTGTCATACACTTTTCCAGTTTCTCCAGCCCTTTGTTGACCACCACAAACTCCTTATCATCACTGTGATAAGCTTCCTGGCATTCCTCAACATCATCTGTAGAACTAGCACCATCAGCTACCACATTATCTGTCCTAGTTTCATTCTCATCTGTAGTGGTTGGGACAGGCTGCCCTCTTCCTGAATTGTCAATAGAAACTGTCAATTACAAGTTGCAGTAAAAGCCATGTCTATGGATGGTTGCTTGGTATAATCCCCACTAAATGCTTTGGTTTTTTTCTGGATTTTATGTCAATTGTAACACATTTTTTATCATATCTTAGAAGTCTTACCGGCTTTTCTGTGTAACTAGCCAGTAATTACCAATTTGGCCACTGTTAAACACCAAACTGCAAGTTTGTCATGTTCCCAGCAATTCTGGTGCCACAACAGACCTGCTACATGACCAAACAGTGCAAGGACAAGCATACAGTAAAATGTGGTTCATTGTACATTTAATTTGAAATTGTTTCAAAGTGTGGTAAGGTTCAATAAATTATAGACCAAATAATCAACATATTTAATATGCTTTACTTACTCATGAATGTGTACAGTTTTCCAAAAATGTTCACAATTGTTGCCATTTTCTATTTTTCAAGTTGATACTCCAATTTAGTCTGTAATATAAAGCGGTATTACTAAAATACCCAATTATATGAGAACAACAAAATACAAGGGATGGCAACTAGTACCATACTCTAGTATTAGGTCATACTTCCTATTTTCAAAACCATCATGAGAACAAAGACAGTATTTATGATAATGACAACATCCATGATCCATCTATTTTCTATTCTGATACACAAAATTGGCAAGTTATAAAAATCCTAGGAATATACCTTGAAAAAACAAGAGGGCCATGATGGCCCTGAGGTCGCTCACCTGTATATAGCCCCCCCCCCCCCCCCCGGGCCCAATTTTTACCCAAGGGCTTTTATTTGAACAGACTTGGTAGACACCCATAAGAAGATGTTTCATGCAAAACATCTAAGTTCTAGCTCATTGGGTTTTTTAAAAGAAGATTTTTTAAGTTTTTACTATACACATAGAGTAAAAAAACAATGACACACCTCGGGCAGGGCCAGTTTTGACCCCTGGGCTTTTATTTGAACAAACTTTGTAGATATTTACTTAAAGATGTTTCATGCTTAATATCTAAACTCTAGTTATTTGGGTTTTTTTCAAAGAAGATTTTTAAGTTTTTGCTATGTATATAAGGAAAATCAATGACCCCCGGGGCGGGCCAGTTTTGACCCCAGGGCTTTTATTTGAACATACTTGGTAGACACCCATTAGAACATGTCTCATGCTAAATATCTTAGCTCTAGCTCTTTGGGTTCTTTAAAAGAAGATTTTTATAAGTTTTTACTATATGCATATAAGGAAAAATCAATGACCCCTGGGGAGGGGCCAATTTGGACCCCAGGGGTTTTATTTGAACAAACTTGGTAGACATTCACTAGAAGATGTTTCATGCCAAATATATAAGCTTTAGCTCTTACAGTTCTTTAAAAGAAGATTTTTTTTAAGTTTTTACTATATGCATATAGGGAAAATCAATGACCCCTGGGGCGGGGCCAATTTTGACCCCAGGGATTTTATTTGAACAAAACTTGGTAGACATTTACTAGAAGATGTTTTAATGCCAAATATCTAAGCTCTAGCTCTTACGGTTCTTTAAAAGAAGATTTTTTAAGTTTAAACTATATGCATATAGGGAAAATCAATTACCCCCAAGGGCGGGGCCAATGACCCCAGGGCTTTTATTTGAACAAACTTGGTAGACATTCACTAGAAGATGTTTCATGCCAAATATCTAAGCTCTAGCTCTTTGGGTTCTTTAAAAGAAGATTTTTTAAGTTTTTTACTTTATGCATATAGGGAAAATCAATGACCCCCTGGGGCGGGGCCAATTTTGACCCCAGGGCTTTTATTTGAACAACTTGGTAGACATTCACTAGAAGATGTTTCATGCCAAATATCTAAGCTCTAGCTCTTACAGTTCTTTAAAGGAAGATTTTTTAAGTGTTTACTATATGCATATAGGGAAAATCAATGACCCCCGGGGCGGGGCCAATTTTGACCCAGGGCTTTTATTTGAACAAACTTGGTAGACACTCACTAGAAGATGTTCCATGCCAAAAATCTTAGCTCTAGCTCTTACAGTTCTTTAAAAGAAGATCTTTTAAGTTTTTACTATATGCATATAGGGAAAATCAATGACCCCCCGGGGGCGGGCCATTTTTGACCCAGGGCTTTTATTTGAAACAAACTTGGTAGACACTCATTAGAAGATGTTTCATGCCAAATATCTAAGCTCTAGCTCTTAGGGTTGTTTAAAAGAAGATATTTAAAAGATTTTTCTTTCGGTTTGCCATGGCAACCAGAGTTCTGCATGGAATTAAATTCTTTTGAACAATTTTTAAAGGTGACCACCAAAGGAACATTCCTGTGAAGTTTGGATGAAATTGGCTCAGTGGTTTATGAGGAGATGTCATTTAAAGCAAAAGTTTACGGACGGACGACGGACGACGGACGGACGACGGACGGACGGACGCCGGACGAAAAGCGATCACAAAAGCTCACCCTGTCACTTTGTGACAGGTGAGCTAAAAACAAGAAAAAAACAAGATGTTGATTTTGGTGAATTACATAAAATTATGAGTGTAGGACAAAAGCCATCCCGGCCAAAAGCCCTCCCGTCAGAAAGTGACAAGGCGGACAAAAGCCCTCCCGTAAAAATGACAAGGCGGACAAAAGCCCTCCCGTAGAAAATGACAGGGCGGACAAAAGCCCTCCCTTAAAAATGACAGGGCGGACAAAAGCCCTCCCTTGAAAAAAATAGGGCGGACAAAAGCCCTCCCGTAACAAAATAAATATGTATGTTGAATACCTGTGTTTTTTTCAACCTGTTTATTTATTTTTGTTTATCTTGAAGTTTAAAATTGACCATCATCATGGAGAATAATATCTTTTGTGTCAATGGACAAAAGAATTATATGAAAACATTGGAAATGGAATAAAGTACATGATTTTGACTGTAGGCCAGTTTAGACCTCTGGCAGCTGCTTCTAAGCCAGCTTTGTTTTTAACTTTTATCTCAGTCTTGTAGTTCTTTTTAACTTGCTTTTACCTTGTGTCTATAAATTTGCACTTAACATATTTGTTTTTCAACAGCTATTCCCAGACAACGCGCCTGCTTAGTGTAATCGATTACGATTTTAAAGCAGTAGAATGTAGATGTAGGTGTGCAGATTTTTTCCAGCAAAAATTTTTATCTTATTTTTATCAGTTGTGTATTATTATATCCTAGAGTCATAAGTTTTGACGCCCTTAAGCTGTTTAACTAGTGCATTTTTCTATTGAACTTGATCATTAAATAATATACAATATAAAGTTACTATGGCATGTTGTTTATCTCTGCAAACCATTTTTATGTTTGTTAAAAATTCAAAATCAGTTAAGTTTTGTACTTAAGTAAACAGACCGTGGAGGCATCCGTTGTTGTTTACAGTCATATGAAATGACGCCTTTTCATTTTAAAAGGATATTTCACTGTAATGTAATATGAACAGCAAAAGAAGTTTTTAAATAAGCAAACCTGCAATGTAACAACATCGTGAAAACTTAAAATCATAATTTATTTCATATAAAACTATCCATTATTTAGGAATGCCTTACACGGAATACACCCTGGCAGTGGTCTTAATAGGTGCACCTGTCTCTTTAACATTGAATGTATTTACCATTAATCTTGATGAATAGCATCTGTATTTGGCTTAAAGGGCTGAAAAATATATCTAAAATGAATGAGGTTGTAAAGATATGTATATGTTGATTTGAAAAATGTTTTTTTTCTTTCTTTTTTAAACTTTATATACAATAATTAACCCATTATGAATTTTACTCAGTATCAATTAAAAACCAATTAATGTTTTCAAACAATATAAGCTGTACACCCTATGCTACAGTGAATATTAAGGACATTTTGCAAAGTTTTGGTCACATGACACTCATAAGACATTTTAAAATGGAGGATAGAAACAGAAAAGGGCAGGTCAAGATTTTTCAAAGGCTATATTTGCAAAATTATGTCTTGCATCAGGGTCTTTCAAATAGAATGGTCTGGAGACTGACCAATTTTACGAAAAATGCTGTCTCAGTTGAGTCACGTGATTGGGTTATCTACCGACCGTGATATAGCATTCAAAAATCAAATTATAAGATAATGTTTTGTTAAATCAATCAAAAAAAAATACTAAAAACTAACTCTGACTACATTATATTATCAGTTTTTACTTTAAAAGTAACAATTTTATAGATTTGCAATGAAATTAGAAATTTTCTGTTCCCGGTGCCAAGGTAATGCTTATATTTGAAAATAGGTCCGAGTTTCATGAGCTTTTTTTACATTCATGCATTGTTCAATGACAAAATAGAAATTGATTTTACAGAGAAAAGATGTTATTAAATCGTATCATGTAAAAATATTATAATATTTCAAGATGTTATTTGCAAATATTTGATGTTTAATTTGGTGCATTTTCAAAATGGCGCCGATTATCGGCAAATATTCTAAACAAACAATCTATGTTTTTTAACAAAGATGGCTTTAAAAAACATTATTTCCTGAAATATTTATCCTTTTTCAAAAGTTTAAAGATTTTTAAATAACATCATGTCGTTAAAATTTTCATTTTTGCTCTTGTATTTAATATCGCCCTTTTCTTGAACACTTACATAATTTGCTTAGGCCTAAAAAAAAAATATGTTTGTTTCGGGTAACCCGACCCTACCTATAAAAATGCGCCGACCCTAACTATTTTTTTCCGTTTCTGAACAAACAAAAAATATTCGGTAGCGAATAGATAGTTTCAAAGGGCGGATAAATGAGAATTGAAAGCTTGAGACGCTGTTGTAAAACTCTCAGACGATTTAGATCGGTCATTTTTAGTTATACGTGTTTTGATTGGCTTGTGCTGTAATGCGGTCCAATGAATATCACGCTATCGGAAACAAAAATTTTACATGTAGACGATATTTTTAGAAGGAATTCCTACCGGAAGTATTCTCCGGCTTCCGTTTTACATACATTGACATAGAGCGGAACGGGGAACCACGCACGTGTTTCGGGAGAACACTTCCGATTTAGGAATTTCTACATGTAGAATTTTTCTGCGAATACAGGCACAAAGGACTTAGTGCCACTCGTGGAGGATAAAACCATTTAAAAGTATGTAAAATCCAGTTGTTTGCATGTGTGTTCGACCCGTTTGATCTCTTTGTTGATGTAGTATTTCATGCGTAAATACCAGGCTCTAATTAATGTACATGTCATGACGGTCTCATCTTTCGGACCTGGGTGATTTCTGACTTTCTGACTTTACTGTGGTAATTTACGTGAAAATAAGGATCGGTTCATAGACAGTTTTGATAGAAAAATATATATTGCATTGATTTCATGCGAAAACCCGACGATACTACCTGTCGGTGGAAAATTTATACACCGAGAACGAACATACCCATAATTTTCGTTGCATACCTGTCAGTGAATTTTTTTTAAATTTTTTTTTTAGTAGATCTATATTGATATTTTATTGCATAAATAACAAGGTTAAACACATTTTAGGTAAAACCAATGCCACTCGTTTTTTATTGCTTTTAATATTTAAAATTTGACAAGCTGTTTTCAAGTGTTTTGATATGTCCTGTGCCACACTTCAAAAATATGAAAATGAATATTAAATCAGTAACATTAAAATGAAAAGGGTGAAAAAAAACACTGAAATTACACATTTCAGTTTGATTGGAAAATTGAAAGTGTTACAATTTATTAAACCAGTTCAAGTTCAGACAGTAGTTAGAGGCAAATGAGGCCCTAGGCCCACTGAAAATCAAGTGCACTTGAGTATAAAGTATAGCCACAGGTCATATGTACATAGCTATTCTGGAGACCTGCAAAGCTTTTCCAGTATATTTTTCATCCTCTTTTGCATACTACTGAAACAAATTTTTAGCCAGACTTGGAGTCTGACTCTGTACTGTGCATCATTTTGTTTCATACCATCACAAATGTATCCCATTTTCCATGTGTTATTGAGATCTAGCCTTTGCTTTTTTTCAGATGGGCCATGGATACTATTAGACGACACTTTGAATGACATCTACAAAATGCCAATTCATCAAAAAGCTTGGCTATTGTCTTTGATATGTTGACATACATGTATCTGATAGAAAATAAACAGTATTTGATTGACAAGGGTGTCATTTTACAAATAGAAGTGTTTGCACTTTTTATGTGAACAAGTGTATCAAAAGTGCAATTCAAAATTATAGATTTTGTTAAATTGTACCATAGTGTCAAAATATAAACTTTGTTATACTGTAAGAGCTTCAAGATGTCAGCTCTACAATTGTTAATTCAATGAAATGTGCAGTATTTAATGCACGAATATCAAATAGTGAAAAACAGAATAAGTCTAGATTTTGTAACTAAAACTTTGAAAGCCAGATCACAGCATGTCATTTTAGCTCTTTTATTGTGCTTAACTCCTACCATGCAACCATTGTAGATTCAGATCAGCAGAATTGCAACCATGCAAGCTGATGAGAATCTGCACTGTTTGCTGTTCAGATTAGAGTCAAACTTTAAAGTAGTGCCTGTAGCAAACAAACATCAAAATTAACGCATGTTTGGGTATATTGTCTTTATTCAATATTGAAATAACATTAAATGGCATTAAAGCTATGCAGATTTTAATCAGAATTATTGTTTATATGATAAAATATGATAATACAAAGTCAGGCAATGTCAGTAGTGTAGGAAAGACTGCCATGTGCAAGAAAACACTCTGAACTTACGACAGATTTTGAAAAAAAAAAAATAAAAAAAATAAAAAAAAATCCCTACCTACCCTACCTAGCAATTTTGGGAAGGTTACCCTAAACAAACAATTTTTTTTTTTTGGCCTTATAGCAAACTATACCGATTTATACCGAGACATGTTTAATTGTAGCGAGAAGGGTTTTACATAGCGCGTTTCCAGACCATTCTATTTGAAAGACCCTGCTTGCATAAACATCAGTTGAATTTGCATTAGTAAAAAGATGAAAAAATACAGTACATATAATAAAGGTGAAGCATTTTCAGTGAAATGTCTCTGTCTTTCCACATGTTTTAGTTATACGTTGTAAATACATGCTTGCAATGCAGTCAGCAAATCACAGTGTTTTATTTCTTTATATAACTACTACCCTAAAACGGTACTGTTCCCAATAGAAAATAGACATTAAAATTCCCAATTTCCAATGTTTAAATTCCCAAAATGGCTGTTCAAAATTCCCCCAAGGCCAAGTGATTTCTCTGAAATCATTTTATTCCAACATATTCATATAAATAATCACTCAAAAGTTTTACTTGGACAGTGGAAACTGTTACCTATCTTTATTCATGATGACTAATCTTATTTGTAGCTGAAAAAAATGCATTAAAAAAAAATCCGAATTTAAGTCAAAATAATGCATTTTTTCCCAATCAGTCTGATACCGGCACCATTCCCAAAGAAGAGAAAAAAATCGCTGAATCATGACGTCATACGAGGACGTTTTCGTCATTTGTTAGGTCAAAACAAAAATGGCGTCAAAATAGATGAGCGTCAAAACACATGACCCGACGAAAGTAGTTGAAATATGAAAATTTTTCAAAAGTTTTTTTAAAGGCATTTTGAGCTCCACATCCCAAGTGTCTGCACGTGATTTAGATATATTAAACAATAGTTAAACAGTTAAACATAACTCAGAATCTTTATACAGAAAGTGTGGAGTTTTTGACCTGAAATGAATACATTTAAATAGATTATCAAGGTGATGTGCGCTTTCATATTATTTTGCAAATGTGGAAAACTTCATTGGAGTTTTCATGTACATGTAAATAAACCTGTTCGAAGTACCTAAACTTTTCTAGACTTGTGACAAATTAGTCTTTGTTTCTTTGAGAAATATGCACGCTAAAATACAAAAAAAATAAAAACAAGGACAAAATTATTCTATTACTTTTTCATATATTGTTTTCTTTTTCTCCCGCCATTCGAATGGTTTTACCGTTTATGCGTGCTGCCTAAATAAAATGTACGCTCGGCCGGGAATCAATGCATATCAACTTGTTTTTACTGTAACGTAAAAGCAAAATATTTAACCGAAATAAAACTGGGAGCTAGGAAAGAAGGAAGTTATTGGCGAATACAATTTTGATTAAAAGATATTAATTATTTTTCCAATCATAAGATTGAAGTTGAAGTTTACAAAAAAAAAACGAATGCTCTTTTAGCCGGAAAATCTGATAATCTTTTCAGAGTCTGACAGAAAGAAGTGTTGATGTAAAATGAGAACAGTTCTGTGAGAACGAGTAATCAAGAACTTCATAAAAATGGCGTCAGATTTATCTTTTATAAAAACTTCTCGGGTAAAACCTTTAATTCCTTGAATAGCAGTCATAAATCTGAATTTTCAGTTTCTGCAATAGATTGATCGATAAATGCAATAAATAAACATTTTGTCTGTTGCTTTGACAATAAAGGGAATATTGTAAAAAGTAGATTCTAATAGATCTAAATCATTTTCTTCAGTAAAATTGATATTGTTTAGTTGTGGAATATACTCAACATCACTAATTCCGCGTCATCACTTACCTCGCGGTAATGGCATATTTTCATGTGGCCAGTGTTAAAATTGGTCAGAATTGACATATTTTATTCAAACACCTTAACAACAAAGTTTTTTGTGCAAAATAATTTAAATCTATAGATTTTTACGTAAAACTGAGCAACATTTTACAAACTTCTGCAAAAAACAACAATAGTCCATTAAATTTCTGCATACGTCTGAAACAATCATCATTTTCTAAATGTTCTTGTTTGTTAAAAAAATAAATTTTGAGTTACAATGTAAAGATTATTTTAATATTTAAAATTATGCAAAATAACATAAAGAAATTATAACTGAAACATGAAAAAACTGAAATAAAACACCATTACCGCGAGTTAAATGATGACATACTATTTTCAAAATGGCCGACACACGGTCTACATCTGACAAATTAAAACTAATTTAGATTGAATATATTGTTGTTTCCTTGTGTCATATAGCAGAAAAATGACTAAATGATACAGTTTATGACAATTTTTGTAGTGTTATTTATTGTTTGCGTTTTTTACTGTTTTAAACTGTTAAGTACCGTGACCTAAGAGGAGCACAGTATAATACTAAAAATTAGTTATTGACTTAATTTATATCATATATGTGATAAATGAGGAAAAAAATCTTATGGTAGCCTTAATTAAATTTAATATGCGTCTATTTGCCTGTAATTTCTTTATCTCTTGATTTTAAAAAGTTATTTGGTCACCTAATCAATTATGTATACAGTGATTTAGCCCCCTTATCAGTTGTGAAAACACTGATATCAACTAATCAGTTGTTGATTGGAACGGAACATACATGCACTTTAGTATATATGATACAGGGGTAAATTGAAACATGCTGCATGAGTTGTTCATAGGCACATACTTGGATGGAATATTTTTTATTTAACTTTTAATTTTAAGCCATTTTTTCATATTTTTTTTTTACTTAAAACCTTTTTTAATATGGATATATGTATGGAAAGAAAATCAGCCCAAAAAATATACATGTCTCCATTTCATATGAAATTTTAATAAACCATCTTAAATAAAAACATTTTGATATGTGTTATAAACTTATATTTTATAACATTTTAAATGCTGTGGGCAATGTCCCCGGGAACGAAGACTGGATGATATACATACAGCAGTGATATGAAATATTCGATCATTTCTTTTGCCTCGTAAAGGGAAGTTTTCCTGGGAAGAGGTTTTCTTGCCCAGGGGTCTTTTATTTTTTAAAATGGGGCTTGGTTTGTTTTTGGCGAAGTATCTTGATGACTTTTTCAAACAAATCGATATGTTTTTATATTAATTTTCCTTACTTGAAAGTGCTGTGGGCCATGTCCCTGGGGACGATGACCGGATTATATATATACAGCCACGATATGAAATATTCGTTCATTTCTTTTGCCTTGTAAATTTAATGGAAGGTTTTCCCGGAAGAGGGTTTTCTTGGGGGTCTTTTATTTTATAAAATGGGGCTTGGATTGTTTTGGGGGAAGTGTCTTAATGACCTTTTCACAGATTTTTTGTGTTTTTATAGCTTGAAAGTGCTGTGGGCAACGTCCCCGGGGACGATGACCGGATTATATATATACAGCCGCGATGTGAAATATTCGATCATTTCTTTTGCCGCGTAAAGGGAATTTTTCCCTGGAAGAGGGTTTTCTTGGGGGGTTCTTTTATTATATAAAATGGGGCTTGGTTTGTTTTGGGACAAGTTTCTTTATGACCTTTTCAAACAAAATGTGTTTTTATTGTAATTTTCATTACTAGAAAATGCTGTGGGCAACGTCCCCGGGGACATTGGCCGGATTATATATATACACCCCAATATGAAATATTTGATCATTTCTTTTGCCTTGCATTATGCAGGATAATCTTAACAATGGACTGAATTTAAATTATCATTTTGCATTCATTCCATGAAATATCAAATATAGAAGCAAATTAATTTTAAAATTGTTGTTATATTTATGGAATGAGCTGAATTGGGAACTTATCGTTTTGCATTAATTCCATTAAATTTAATATATTGATCTAAAATTTATAAATAAGCTGATGTGATCTTTACGGAATGAACTAATGTTAGTCACGCCAAATATAATAACTAAAAAAAAAGATTGTCCCCTAGGGGAAGATGACCGGATTATGCCAAATTATTGCCAAAATTACCAATTTGGGAAGTAAAGAAGCAGGTTTAAGTTCAGATTTTTGTGAAAACTGCATGATTTTAAAGAAAATTTCAATTGGGAACAGGCCTTTTATCGGAGTCTGTTTTATAAGCAGGAAAATCACTGTACTTGTATGCTTAAATCAGAATAAAATATATTATGTTTTGTTTTGTTCAAAAATCAATACATTCATACATTTTTAGGTTTCACAAAAGTATAAAACATAAAGTTACAAAAACAAAGGTTATGTCTTACTTATATAGTTTACTGTTAGCATACTGGACCGGCAATCCAGAGACAGGTGGTTCGAGTCCTGGCTGTGGCGTGCAATTTTTCTAACAATAGCTAAATTCTTTAAAAAAATTCTAAAAAATTCTAAAAAAAAAAAAAAAAACATTCACAGTATAAACATATTTATCATAAAATATTTTTGATATGAATTATTTATACAGTCGGCATCTTACTTGCATCCACCTTTATTAAGTGACTTTTTATGCCCCCACATAGGGGTGCATATAGCGTTGCACTTGTCCATCCGTCTTGTCTGTCCGTCTGTACGTCCCGAAATCTTGTGAACGCAACTCCTCTTAAACTGGATGGCAGATTTTGCTTAAACTTTCAGGCTGAGGGATATTTAAGATGAATCAAATAATTTTTATGCCCCCACAGAGTGGGAGCATATAGCGTTGCACTTGTCCGTCCGTCACGCCGTCCGTCTGTCCGTACGTCCCGAAATCTTGTGAACGCAACTCCTCTTAAACGGGATGGCAGATTTTGCTTAAACTTCCAGGGATGAACAACCTTAATATGTAGATGGTAGTTAAAGAAGGAATTTTTGCTGCCACCAAATTTAACAGAATTATGGCCCTTTGTTGATTTTTTCACTATATACTATGTAGAAATTTTGTGAACGTAACTCCTCTTAAACCAGATGGCAGATTTTGCTTAAACTTCCAGGGATGAACAACCTTAATGTGTAGATGGCAGTAAAGGAAGGAATTTTTGCTGTGACCAAATTTAAGAGAATTATGGCCCTTTGTTGATTTTTTCACTATATACTATGTAGAAATTTTTTGAACGCAACTCCTCTTAAACGGGATGGCAGATTTTGCTTAAACTTCCAGGGATGAACAACCTTAATATGTAGATGGTAGTAAAGGAAGGAATTTTTGCTGCGACCAAATTTAACAGAATTATGGCCCTTTGTTGATTTTTTCACTATATACCATATAGAAATTTTGTGAACGCAACTCCTCTTAAACCGGATGGTAGATTTTGCTTAAACTTCCAGGGATGAAAAACCTTAATGTGTAGATGGCAGTAAAGGAAGGAATTTTTGCTGTGACCAAATTTAACAGAATTATGGCCCTTTGTTGATTTTTTCACTATATACTATGTAGAAATTTTGTGAACGCAACTCCTCTTAAACCGGATGGCAGATTTTGCTTAAACTTCAAGGGATGAACAACCTTTATGTGTAGATGGCAGTAAAGGAAGGAATTTTTGCTGCGACCAAATTTAACAGAATTATGGCCCTTTGTTGATTTTTAGTTTTCAACTCGTGGCACATGTAGTCCAAAAAATATTTGACCTAGTGTCATAAGATTGACAGAACAGTGGGGTGTGGGGGCATCCGTGTCCTATGGACACATTTCTAGTTTATTTACATTTTAAGGTGTACAAATTTCTACTGTAAATCATATTTTTTGATATGATCTTTAGGTATACGGTATTTCTGATAGCATAAAATATCCATAATTTTAAATCAACACTATGTTGAGTGTAATTTGCTTTGGGTTGTTTCCATTTTCTGATATGTTGGTCAAGTTGATATTAGGTTTGGCCTGGTTGGCATTAATTAAGAATGAGTCAGATTGGCACTATATTGAGTCAAATAGACATAATGTTGGGTAGATTACATTTAGTCTTGTAGTCTATTTGGTATAAATTTGGGTATAATTGCAAAGATATGGTCAAGTTGAAATTATGTTGGGTCACCATCAAGTTGTCCTCAAATGGAGTAATTTAAGCATAAAATTAAATGGAACAAATGATATATTTATGGAGTGGTGTTTGAAGTTTTATATTTGGCATTTCGTAAAAATACATGTAAGTGAATTATATCTATTTTCAGGTCAGTCCAGCTTTTTTGCATGGAAATTCAACATCACACACCTGGCCTTTTTCAGCAATTGCTGAGTTGATAGGTATTTATAATTAATTTCTTTATACTGGCTCTTTGTCAATGTTGTATAGATGTTTCATAAATACTGCACATTTGTAAACTGATGTCAATTTTCATTGGACAATTTTTGTGACATTACTATAGTTTATATACAAGGTGCTGCATATTTATGGTTTACTTTTTATTTTCATCAAAGAAAGTAATTGTTTGGTATTATAAATAAATGAAAAAGGACTTCTTACAGATCATATGGTCACGTGTACATCATTACATGGTTGTTTACTATATAACTCCTGGCCCAGTGTTCACAAAGATTTAAGGATCAAGATCAAATTTAAAAACCCTAATATTCTTCATTGTTTATCCTCATAGATAAATATCTAATTATAAATTTGATAAAACTGGACTTGAAATAGCAAGTATATGAAATTTTAGAATAAATTTATTGTTAATTTTGTAAGATTTGTTTTATTATTTGTTGATTTTATCCAAAAATAGTTTGTTTTCTTTGCAAATCAGCATATTTTTACATTTTGAATATTTACAATTTAATTCAACAAAACACAAATAATTTTAGTAACATTAAACAATGAAAATAAAATCACTTGATCCTGATCCTGATCTTTTCTTAGTGAACACGGGGCCTGATGCTTTGGTCATATAAGCTCACAAACATTTAGTCTCTTCCAGCCATTGACTTGACAGAATTACCATAGCTACATGAAATAAAATAATGACTGGTTACAAGAAATTTGTGCAATCATTGAACATATGTGAAATCAATTAATGTGGCATGACTTCAGATGAATGAAATTATCTGTGAAAATTTTGTTAACAGTTTATTCTAATATTAAGTAATGTTTACAATGTAAATAGTCACAATCAAGGTGAAAACTTCGACTATATTATTCAAAATATAACAGAATTTACTAATACTATCACTTATTAGTTATTAATACCAGAGTAAGATAAATTTCTGCACATTTTGACAGGAAAATTTTTGTGGGTAGCAAGTGCCTAAGGATAGAATGATTCAGAGTTGGCAGTTCTTTTTAGTACTTTAGAATTTAAAACCTTTTACACTGGTCTTCCTGCTTAGCTAAAGAGGGAGAATATTGGATGTGTAATCCAAGGGTTGCTGGTTTGATCCTCGGGCAAGTTGAACTTTCTCTGTGACAATTAATCTTAGACATTGAGCCTAATGTTAATCTCTTACCACTGATTCAGATAAGATGTAGGATTAGAAGTCAGTCACTTGTAGAGAAATTAATAATTACTAGTAAGTTATCCAGGACAGTCAGTCAGGAGTACAGACCTCAAAGATTATATGACTAAAAAATTTGTTAAGATTGGAGTAAAAACCAAGTAAACACCCTCAAACTCATTATGTACTTTACTATAATCTATAATTATGCAAAGGAGGAAAAGACCACTTTACGAAGTAAAATCACTAATTTAATGCTTTATTTGATATTTATTTTAGACAATGCGTATGACCCAGATGTCAGTGCCTCCGAGTTATGGATAGATAAAAGAAATATAAACAAGAAGGAGTGTTTAACATTTGTGGACAATGGAAATGGAATGAACCAGGAGAAGCTGTACAAGATGTTGAGGTATATGTCACTGATCATTTTATGCACAATATACTGTTAAATGACATGATACATCTATAGGAAATATTACATACTACAAGTGCTCTTTCTATGGGTAGTATTGCTGGTGTTGTTTGTTTATATACAATTTTACACAATACTAAGTGATACAATGTTATCAGAACAGGAGATTAAAGTAGTGACTATTATATTATCTCCCAGAAAATGTTATTTTCCTTTTATTTCACAACATACTGAAATGCGCACAGAAAAGTAAACAAGACAGAAAAAAATTGTTATCCTTGTTAGTAGGATATGCCTGAGGTTATAGATTTAAATAAAAACACAAAACACATTTGTGGTGAAATGACTTTAGTTATACAAAATGCGGAATAGTATTTTACAGAAAACTGATCCAAATTATGTATTTTACCCTTTGAAAATGGCTTTATTTTCTGTACTCTACTTTGAAGTATATAATACAGAGTTAATTTTAATCTATAGATATATAAATTGCCTTACTGCTATTCATGCTACATGGTTTTCCAGCATTGATGGTCATAATTCAGTAAGTTCCTTTGCCTATCTTTGACCAGTATTTCAGGCAGGAGTGGATAATCATTTATATCAATGGCAACCTTCATTGGCCTAACACAAATGAAATATGACTTTGTTATTTGTTACATCCTTAATGGAATTCAAAGCACACAGTGTCACATTTGATTTTTATTTTCCTGACAAAATAGGTTTATTTTATTGAATGGTTTTTCCCCACTTATGTTTCAGTTTTGGTTATTGTGAAAAAGTCACTGTAGGGAATGTAAAGCCAATTGGTTACTATGGAAATGGATTTAAATCAGGAAGTATGCGCCTTGGATTAGATGGGATGGTTTTTACACGTTGTCTAACATCAACCAGTGTTGGATTCCTTTCACAGACGTACCTGAAAGCTACAAATGCGGAGGCTGTTGTAGTGCCAATAGTAACATGGGATATAACTCCTGCAGGCTGTATCTTTTGATAAAAAGTGAAAATGAAAAATTCTTTGAGGGTACAAAAAGCCCCTGAATATTAAAATAAGAAAAAAATAAAGGTCAAGGGCAGATGACTCTTAAACAAGCTTGGCTACCTTCAATTTTTTTTTGTCTTATAATGTATCTGTTCTAAGATCATGTAAAAATGAAAGTAAATCCTTTTGAACAGTTTTCATTTGGTCAATATGCCTAGATAAACACTGAAGACTAAGATGTTTGAACTCAGACAAGTTAACATTTGTGCATGTGGCATGTATAATATAATCAGTAATTTTTTTTTCATTCAATAAAACATACTTAGTTTGGCTTGCCCGGTCTTGAACTATTGATTAAATTACTTAGTCTTTTGTGAAGAAATTAAGTTCATAATTATACATACAAATATATTTATGAACATTCAACATGTTTCTAATGTTTGACAAACTGCATGTATTTACTGCTATGTTTATTCATGATTCACACAGGCCTTAAAAAAGCCTTGAACTTGATGTCTGTTTAGAAAAACACTTGAAAATGATTTTTTTTTTGCTGCATAAACCCTTAAAAATTAACTGGATGGTCTTGAAAACTACTGTATTTGAAATTTCAACATTGACCAAGGAAAAGTTTTATAATCAAAAGAAAAAGTTTTCAATTAGTTTTGGCAAACGTGCTTATCACTGCATCTTATTCTTGACATGGTGGTCCTTAACTGGCTTAAGAACCCTTAAAAAAAAGATCTTTACATTTTGCCTAGGAAAATTTGTATGAACCATGTTATTAGATGCATTGAGAAAAAATGAAAAGATTTTTGTGTAGTTAACTATAACTCAAGTAGACCTTAACTATAACTCAAGTAAGCAGAAATAATAACTCGGAGAGTATGACCAACCTGAAGGCTATACTGAAATATTCACTTTTCAAAACAGAAAAAGAACTCATGACAGAGTTGAAGACATTAGAGAAGATGAGGACTGGAACAAATATTATCATCTTTAATTTGAAAGAGTAAGTGTATTTTGTCCAGTGTTTTATAATACCTTATTAGGAATAGGTTGGTAATTGCCCTATTGGGAAATTTGTGAATCATTAATTACATATATTGGGAAAAGAGTAAGTTGAATCAATGAAATTATGAATTTTCATGAATACTTTGGGATTTTACCTCGATTTTGGTAAAAATAGACTATTTGGACAAATTCTGGTGATTCAATTCTTATGATCTGTAAGTTGTATAATTTTTTTACAGAGACAACACAGATAATCTGGAGTTAGATTTTGTGTCAGACCCTCATGATATCAGGAATCCAGAAACACCAGTAATAGATTTAACATCCATTAACCGACCAATATACACAGCATCACCAGAATACAGGAGATCTCTTAGGGTAAATGTTATAATCAATATTTACAATATCATTGTTTAGTAGCAATATTAGTAATAAGACCAGATGCATGATAATGGTGCATGAATGAGGTATGAAATACTATGATATAGATATACTATGCTTATCTGTGAGTAAAATATTTTAATCGAAGAAATTTATTAAAACCTATGAAATTCTTACTGAAAATGTCTAATTTGAATAAAAAATGAATAATAAACTATATTGGAAGTCACGTTCTCTAGTAAAGGACAAGTAAAGTTGGTCTTTTCTTAAAAAACTGCCAGTCTTTTTAACGACACTATATATTCATATTGTGACGACCTATGTGTGTATAGTTTTAAACATGGCATATTAACTTTGTGTGAAGTCAAAACATGTTTATTTCATATATACAAAGAGACCGTGTAACAATTATCAATATTTTCGGATATCAAATTTGAGCATAGTATATCTTTAAGTATTTAAAGATTCAAGTAAGTTTTTATGTTGCTTTTTGTCAATTTTGTTAGATTGGTTGAAATGGTTCTTTTTTAAGTTGGGGGAATGAGCATGGCAAAGTTGTTAACATTTTAGACTTGTAATTTAAGATTTACTGTAAACATTACCTTATACCAAGTCATTTGTATACTGTTGTTTTTTAACATCTAACTTTACACTCATTCACTCATTGTTTAGTACTGGTTGGTTTCAGGGACAGATTTGAGTGTGTCTATAAGCTTACAGCTGTCTATACAATTTTGTATAAACCACTTTAATACTCTACACATTCTTTTGTAAAATTAATTATTGATAAACATATTGCTCTATATTTCAGGAATATTGTTCTATATTATATTTGAAACCAAGAATGAAAATTGTTATACGCGGCCAGAAAGTGAAGACCAAGTTGATATCTAAATCATTGTCACAGACTGAGGTGGACGTCTATAAACCCACATGGCTTGTATCCTTTGAGACTGTGTATGTTCAATTGTATACAATGACTAAAATTATACATATTATAATTATTATGATATATTATTAAACAACATTTTATTCCAAATTTACACACAAAAAAAGACAGGAAAAAAAACTTTAAACATTGAGATAGAGACATCAATTATGTAATTACCAATCTCTGGTTAGGTAAAAGTTTATATATTGATGTGTGACCATTTGGCACAAATGATCAAAATACTGCTGCAAATCTGTCATTAATTATGTCCTATTTCAAACAAAGCAATTGTGCAGAATGATGAATTTGTCAAAAAGGCACAAACTTGACAGATAATATTGCCTCGGGCAGTGTACAATATTTTTTTTTTACCCGAGTTTATTAGCTGACAATCATTTAAACTAGGCTATGCAACTTTTAAAAAGATCTTTATAAACACATGTAATAAAACAGTGGTATTTAAGTGTATCAGTGTCTTTAAAGTGCAAAGCTCTTCATATCTGTATTCATATTTTAACTTTTCAAATGCTAGTAGATAATAAGCTTTGTTGTCAATACAGAATGACTAGACTATATATTTATTTGCTGCTAAGTGCATGTACATAGCTTACTTATATTCAAACACATCTGCCAGCTAACCTCCAAAGAGAGATTATTGGTTTTGTAATCCAGTAGTCCCTAGTTTGATTCTCAGGTTAAGGACAAATGATCTCAGTCATTGAATCTTACAGTCATTTGTCCCTCACAGTGGAATCAGTTATCAGTGAGTCATTTGTGGAGAAATACGTATTTACTGGTAAGTGATTCAGAAAAAAACTGGTTTGGTGGACCGATTGTCATTATTTGATAAAAAAATGTGTTGAAATCTCACTTAAAAAAGTACAAACAAGCAATTTTGATATTAAACCTGTTTAGTTTATAATTGATAGACAGGTCTGTTCCAAATGAAAGCATGACAGTCTATTATACAGGGTGAAGTAAGATTGCCATTATACATGGTGAAATAAGATTGCCATAATACAGTGTGAAGTAAGATTGCCATTATACAGGGTGAATTAAGATTGCCATAATACAGGGTGAAGTAAGATTGCCATTATACAGGTTGAAGTAAGATTGTCATTATACAGGGTGAAGTAAGATTGCCATTACACAGGGTGAAGTAAGATTGCCATTATACAGGGTGAAGTAAGATTGCCATTACACAGGGTGAAGTGAGATTGCCATTATACAGGGTGAAGTAAGATTGCCATTATACAGGGTGAAGTAAGATTGCCATTTTACAGGTTAAAGTAAGATTGTCATTATACAGGGTGAAGTTAGATTGCCATTATACAGGGTGAAGTGAGATTGCCATTATACAGGGTGAAGTAAGATTGCCATTATACAGGCTGAAGTGAAATTGCCATTATAAAGGGTGAAGTTAGATTGCTATTATATAGGGTGAAGTAAGATTGCCATTATACAGGGTGAAGTGAAATTGCCATTATAAAGGGTGAAGTAAGATTGCTATTATATAGGGTGAAGTGAGATTGCCATTTTACAGGGTGAAGTAAGATTGCCATAATACAGGGTGAAGAAAGATTGACCTTAACATTTAAACAGACTAAGCCAGTGAAGCTGATATTTGGGTTTACTAGCAATAAGGAACCAGACAGTTACGGTCTGATGATGTACCATAAAAACCGACTTATCAGAGCCTATGAGAAAATTGGTTGTCAAAAACAAGTAAGTGACTTCAGTTATTTCACTGAATTAAATGGTTACATATAATCATAATGGCTTTCTTATAGGGTTGATTGACAGTAATAACCACATAAATTAATCTTCAGAAAGTTTTTAGACTTTTAGTAACTACGTTTAATTATGATCCAAACGTTTAATTTTAATAGTAGTATGTTTTTCAATTCTTTATATTATGAAATGCAGGATTAATATAATCAGCTTGATTTTCATGTATATAGTGGTCAAATTTCTTAAAGGGACTCCACTGAGGTTTAAAAGCCTAAACACATAACATTTGAATTTCTTACATAAATGAGCTGGGGCACTTTAAACAGAAAGATATGCAAAGATAGTTAAGAAATATACTTTGCAATAAATTGAAAATCATATTTTTATGCTTTTCTTAGCCCAATTTGAGTGAAAAGCATTTAAACGCTTTTCATTTTGGGTCATTTTTTTACAATTTGAATAACTATTCTGGAAAAACGAAGTGCGCAAATGATCTGAAATTGTGCACAAAGATTAGTGGTCTTAACCTACATCAAATGGTACATTTATCTGGGAAAAATATTTTCAGTCCCATCATGTCACACAATCTCAGTGGAGTCTCTTTAAAAATGAAACCTGAAGAAATGGTCAAGACAAGATTTGAACCTGCAACATTCAATTTAAAGCACTAGCTTAATATTCTTGATACTTGCAAGGGACATTATACTAGCCTCCTATGAAATGACAATCTTTCTTGTGGGTGTTACTTTTGGTGACTGTAGATAAACATATGTGTTATAAAAAGTGACAATGTTATATTTATACAGGCGAATGATCATGGTGTTGGTGTGATTGGGGTTGTGGAGTGTAACTTTCTAGATCCAATACATAATAAACAGGAATTCAACAAGACGGATAAATACTTGTAAGTTTGTCATTATGTTGTAAGTCTATTTTAGTTCTAGTTTTCAGTACTAGCATATTTAATGTATGTTGAAAATTATAAGAATTAAAATAGCATCCATGACAAATATATTCTGAAATCTGTATTTATTGTAAAAACTGGAGTTTAACATAATCTTTCCTAGTATCATGTTTGAGATGGGCTAACATTATGATAAAAGTGAAAGTGAGACCTACTTGACTGTCTGGTTACATTGTACGTCCCTGACTTATAATCACTTGCAATTCACTAAAGTGTATACTTATCCCACCAGTGACTTTGGATTCTTTCATGTGAGGAAGTTATCTAGGTAACTTGATGAAAATTTGTGGTTTTCTGTGCCCACTTGTGCCTTAAAAATGCACAGAGATACATCTAAGGTTTTACATAAGACCTTTACAGTGTTGGTGCAAGTGAATACCTGGCATAATTTAAAGACAGTAAGGAGACAATACCTTGAATGCTACTGGCATTAATGATTTGCCTGAATCAGCCCTCACTTCAGCACAGTATGATTATCCCACCATAAAGTTGGCTGCTTAACATTTTTCTTTTTATATCAAAATCTTTAACATTAAATATGGAAAATACAGGCACTGCTTGTTTGTAGTATAAATGTAGCTAACCATCAATATAAGTGTATTAAACAATATTTCTTTTAGAGCATTTATGCAGAATGCAGCTAACAAGTTAAACGATTACTTCTACGAGAAGACAAAATGTGAAAATCCGAATTCTAAGTCAATACCTCATACCTCGTAAGTATTTATTATGTTTGATAATTTCATTTACTGTTGTTAACATTTCCTTAATATGAGTATTATTTAGTGTACAAAAATGCAGAAATAAGTTGCAAATGGAAATTGTAATTGTAAAATAAAAGTACTCTCATGTCATTTGATAAAGAAAAAATTCAAAATTTACACACAAGCGCATTTAAATCATACTCTTTCAATATTAGCACATTTTAACAAAAGTTGATTCTCTAAAAGATACCTTTGGGTCACTCCTGTTTTGATTTTGGTCTAGTTTTTACGGGAAAGGGTGTACTTTCACTTTAGGTGAACAGAGCATGTGTATAATAATAGGAAATCCAGCACTCTTTATTGCTGTTGTCTCTGTATTTAATGAATAATTTAATTGATATCATTAACAAATACATTATACTAGTCCTGGAACTCATTATGAAGCAGGGAAGGTCTTTTCATTATTTATTATACAATTGTTTTTACACATCTATATGATATTAAAGGTCACAGCTTCCAGACTGGACTTGGGCACAGTGTGATAATTGTCTGAGTTGGAGACGTCTACCAACAGGGTATAGTGAGAAACTACCAGACAAATGGTACTGCTACCTTAATCCAGACGCTCATTTCAAGTAAGTTCTATTCTTGTGCCCTTATTTACCGAAGTAAAATATCATAATAATTGATTTATGTTGAGTTTAAATAAGATTACTGTATATTTCAAACTGTTTATCAATTTTCATTGTCATATTGTTTTATAAAATTCATGAACATCTGTCTGATATATTTGTTTAAGAAAGGAATGTTGGTGACGCAATGAACATTCAAAACAAATTTGAATAATACTGAATTTTAACCAGGATATATTTGTACAATCAGTGAGGTATCCCACTAGCTTATGGAAGGTCAGTGGTTCTACTTAGGTACCCGTTACTGACTGAAATAATGCACAGACTGGCATTTGAGGTAAACCACCACCAATAAAGCTCGGAAGTTGCCGTATCAACTTTACAGTTTCAGTGTGACCAAAACGAAACCAAAAATATATATATACAGTTGACTCTCGATAAGTCAAAATCGCTTTACTCAAAATTCCGCGTTAGTCGAAGTATTTCTAAAGTCCCGTCAAATTTCCTTCTTTACCTTTATATTTTAACTCCGCTTAGGTCAAATTTTGAGTTACTGAGACTCCTGTTTAGTCGAAAAGAAAATTTGGTCCCGTCAATCAAAGTCCAACATATTTTCATCTCAATTTTTCGAATTGTGAAAACAGCGGACTGATCAAAGGTCGGCGACATCAAGGTGAGATGTTGTCTCTCGTGATTCACACGTTTCATAGTAATTTTAATTGTCGGTCATCATGCATTATTAACGCGTCGTAAAAGTGGCTTTAATCGGATTCAGGACTTAATTGGTTTTAATAGTTAGATAACTAAATTAAGAATCGTGCCAGTCTGGCAGGTGTTAGTTAAAAACAGCCTAGGTATTGATGTCTGTTATCAACGTAAATGACATTTATGACATTAATGTACCGTCATATTGCATACATTAATATGTACTTCCGGTTCACGATAGTTGCTACTTTCGTTTTCGTTTTCGTCCGATGATCAATTCACTTCAAATATTAGATAAATTGTTGTCGAAATAAAAGTGTTATTGTGTTTTTATTGTAATGAATGCTTATTAAAAATATGTGCTTTACTGATAAATACTGACACACTTTGCTACGAATGTTTGTGTTTATGTTTCACTATTAATATACCTATTTTAAATTTTGAATAATATATTTTTGTTCATAATTTGTAGTTGTAAGTGATTTACCGTCATTTCAACGGTTAAATATTGTAGCATTGCCGCTATCAACAATAATAAACCTACTTCTTTGCACATTCAATCAGACACATGCATATACATGTCTAATGTCAACGTAATGGCGGCAAATCCACGTTACTCGAATTCCGTTTCTCTCGAAGTAAAATGCCCAGTCCCTTGGATTTCGAGTTACCGAGAGTCAACTGTATTTGTACAGTTGCACAGAGTAACAGAGTTTTGTGTTTGGTTATATCAAATAGGAATGTAATAACATCTGATAGACATTGAATAACAAATAATAGAATTATATGACACGTTTTTTTCTATCAGAGGCAACAAATATGCCAATGAAAATAACCGATTTGCCCAAGGGTCAAGTGGGATAATTTTATCTAACGACTCAAAAAACAACCAATTTTAACAGCATTTCAACTGATGATATGGATCTCCAATCTGTTAATAATGAACAAATATACTGTATATTTTCAGTCGTTGTGACATTCCAGAAGAGCCCGAGGATGATGACGAGGCATTACAAACTACATATCGTAAAACATACAAAAAAACTCAGTATGTATGACAATTCTCATATGCAAAAAATTCAGTTTAAACTTAAGTTACTTACCTGTGTTAGCTTTCAAATACATTAAATGGATTTCACCAACAGGATAGGATTTCATCACTAATAGTATTTCATTATTAGGACACACATTTTTAAGTTAATTTTCCTGGGTTTGAGTCTCATTAAAGACTCAGCTATGAGCAAGAAATTTACTCAGTTGCTCCTTTTCACTCAGTTGTACTGAGAGGACAGTATAATTCTGTGGTACTGTAATAAAGGCTGTCTTAAGGGGATTAAAGAAAACCCTCTGAAGTTCAGAACAAGGATTCTAGTAGTGCATTGAGTTGTTATAGGGCAGTAAAGATGATTATTTGTCCACAACATGAAACTTAGATCATTAAATGCATTGACAATTAAATGCATTAACTTATTATATATATATTTTATTATTCTTTTTCCAGGGCTGAGAAAAATAGACAAGCACGTCTTATAGAGGTAAATTTTATCAAATTTTATATTCAAATTGCCTTTACTGCAAAAACTGCCAGTGTTTGTGAAATTGTATTTCCTGCAGCACAGTCTTAATGAAACTTCTTAAACATTTGTTACAATACAGTCAAAAGGAAGACCAGAAATTTATTGATAGTCAGTAGTGAGAGGTTGCATTGACCTTTACACTTAAAGTACTTTTATCTCAAGGTCAATAGATAAAGAGTTTTTAGGGAAGGATGACTTGTGTGATGTTTAAAGTCAGTTTTTCATTGATATGTTGCTTTTTTTATTAGCTTAATTAACATATTACAATCCTCAGTTTGGTCCAGTAATCTTACAATTATAATATAGATAAAGCTATAACCAGGTTGAGACATAAAGCTTACACCCAGCAGATACTGGGGAAGAAATCTATTACATGTCAGCAATTGCTTATATTTTTATTTCACAACCTCCTCACACAAGGTCATTTTAAGACCTATTATATGTATTTTCATAATTTACTTTTACATGAAGATGAATTAATTGATATATTTAAGAACTGTATTGGAACTGCTCTGAGATGCTCAACTGTGAGAAATAATGTGTAAAATTCAAACTTTATTTGATGTACCTTCTTTTTTTACCTCACAGGAGAGAAAATTGAGGGAAAAAGAAGAATCATTAAAAAGGAAGGAGGAATTGTTGCAGAAGAAGCTGTATGAAATTAACAGAAAGCAGACAGAACTTGAGGTACTTGGTTATAACAAAAAAGTACAAGACTTGAATGAAATTTGCACAGACCAATAAACATTTAATATCGGACAAACAAAGGTGTTTGTTGTCATTTGTTCAAGTTTCCATGAGTTTCCAAATTAGATTTTTAATCCATTGTCATTTACTGCACTACTAGCAAATTTATCCTTTTCTAGAAGTCTTCACTATGAAATTTTATTCACTGAAAAATTTTCTGATTATGTCCCAAGCTTCGGTTAGTAAGAACCACTTTAAACCACAGAAAATCTTTGTGTTTTCTTATTTCTCCGAGTCATGAAATATCGCATATTGAAATATTCTTATTTTCATGTGTATATTGCAGGAAGTATCTTCAAGCCAGGACAAAGTAGATCGAAAACCAACTGTGGCAGATCTGGACCATGCGAAAAAGTCATTAAAAGTTTATCAGGCGAAGATGGCAATGCAGGAGAAAACAATAAAACAACTGGAAATACAAAAGAAGCAGATTGAGCAGAAGTCTACAGCCATGTTACGTATGGCAGAGTCGTTACGGTTAACAAATGTTGCCAGTAAGGTATGCAGTGATTTATTTCTCTGGTTAGCCCACCAGAACCGAAGGTCCAGGGTGAACTATTTATATCAAAGGGGGATGCTCCGGCATCCGTCGTCATGTGTCAACAATCGTCTTCTTCTCTGAAACTGCTGGGAAGATTTACTTCAAATTTGGTCTGTGGCATCCTTGTGACAGTCACACTTGAATTTGCTCATGTCATTTCAATTGGCCCCATCTATGGGTCAACAGAGCTAAAAATAGAAAAACCTTAAAACATCTTCTTCTACAGAACTAATGGATGGATGATCACCAAACATTGTCTGTAGCATTCTTGGGTAGTCTTTTATCAAGTTTGCTCATATTAATTTGATTGACCCCTTGTAGGGGTCTCTAGGGCTAAAAATTGAGATAGAGATACATTTAAACTATTTCTACATAACTATATGATGGACAGGGCTCTAGCAACTGGGCGATTTCGGCGACTTAGTCGCCTAAAGTGTCAGAACTTCGCCGAGTTTGAACATCAAAGCGAAAACGATTTCGCCGCATTTTTTTACTGACCACATGTACATATATATCATACAGTGCATGTTAATTAAGTTAATCCTCGCCTCCAGGCATAAATCAAACTGAATTGGTGACACACATGCAGTTACTGCCGATAATTGACATCAATTAACACATTTAAGTGACATGATATGCAGATGCATCCGAAATTCGCCAATGTAAACATCACATTTTTTAGGCATAATTTTACGACACCTGCCACTATTTTATCAGCAAGTGTAAAAAGATTACACCCAGAATTGCTTTTACCATATTTGACAGTTATTACACGCAACCTCACACAGACCGTGTAAATTTACTTGCATATAAATTAATGCACGCAGAAGCACAAGTAAATGGTTTGATACCTGTTTGATAGTAATAATGAAATTTGTTAAAGAACTTAAAAAACATTGACCCACATTAGACCAATTTTGGACAAGTCAAAAACAGTAGTAGATAAACCTTGTCTTCAAAAAGTTACATAAACGTCGGTAAATTATGCGGTAAACTATAAATTTGAAAATGTTGTTTTACAATGCCTTTTGCAATAGCGGATGAATAACAATCTAAAAATAATCATTGAATATTTAATTAAATATAATCAAAATCAACAACAACTAGAATTGTAAGTGTTTCTGCAGGAAACAGACAAATTTTCATTTGTCACATATTTTCGCGATGCCGATTTTTACGATGAAAATAATAGTTACCAAAAGGAAAAATTGTTTTGTTAAAATATGTCCAATAGCACTTAAAATGTAGTTTATTAATGAAAATTCCTTAAGGTATCGTTTACATCAATTTTCATTGAGAATTATGTCAGTATGTGTTGTACAATGAATATTTTCTAAAGGGAGGGGGGTGTGTGGAGTTAATCAGGAAGAAAACATTATAATGGTCTGATGATAGAGGGTTTTAGAACTTATACTTCAAATATCACTATCAATAAATAGGTAAAACTCCTTTTTATAGATCAAATCAATGTACTAAGCACTTTTTCACTTCTCCTTATGTCTTCAAACTTCTCCCTGATAGGAGCTGAGGGAGAAGTCACTTCTCCCTAAAATTTTGGTCTAGCTAGAGCCCTGATGGATGATCACCAAACTTTGTCTGTAGCATTATTAGGTAGTCTTTTATCAAGTTAGCTCATATTAATTTGATTAGCCCCTTTTAGGGGCCACTAAAGCTAAAAATAGAGATACATTTAAACTATTTCTACAGAACTAATTGATGGATGATCACCAAACTTTGTCTGTAGCATTCTTAGGTAGTCTTTTATCAAGTTAGCTCATATTAATTTGATAAGCCCCTTTTAGGGGCCACTAAAGCTAAAAATAGAAATACTTTAAATGTCTTCTTCTACAGAGTTTATTGATGGATGACCACCAAACTTTGTCTGTAGCATTTTTAGGTAGTCTTTTATCAAGTTAGCTCATATTAATTTGATTAGCCCCTTTTAGGGGCCACTAAAGCTAAAAATAGAAAAAATCTTTGAACATCATTTCCTACTGAAATAATTGATGGATGATGACCAAACTTTGTCTGTAGCATTATTAGGTAGTCTTTTATCAAGTTAGCTCATATTAATTTGATTAGCCCCTTTTAGGGGCCACTAAAGCTAAAAATAGAAATACATTTAAACTATTTCTACAGAACTAATTGATGGATGATCACCAAACTTTGTCTGTAGCATTCTTAGGTAGTCTTTTATCAAGTTTGCTCATATTAATTTGATTGGTCCCTTTTAGGGGCCCTAAAAGTAAAAATAGAAATACCTGTAAACGTCTATTTCTACAGAACTAATTGATGGATGATCACCAAACTTTGTCTGTAGCATTCTTGGGTAGTCTTTTATCAAGTTTGCTCATATTAATTTGATTAGCCCCTTTTAGGGGCCACTAAAGCTAAAAATAGAAAAAACCTTTGAACATCATTTCCTACTGAAATAATTGATGGATGATCACCAAACTTTGTCTGTAGCATTATTTGGTAGTCTTTTATCAAGTTTGCTCCTATTAATTTGATTGGCCCCGTTTAAGCTTAACTGTAAATGCCCCAGGTCATGGCATTTCTTCAAATTCAAGTTTAAAGATATTCTATGGTCAAATTTAATATAAGAAAATATTGACAATGGGTTATTTCCAACACTGAAAAGCAGTTTTTTCTGGTGAGCGACTCAGGGCCATCATGACCCCCTTGTTTTTTGGTTTTTTTTAGAATTCAGCATTTAACCAAAAAGAAATTTGGAAAAGGTGATAAAACTTCTAAAAACATACATGTACACAGTTAGTCAATTGCTGATAAACAAGAATAAACACAATTAATCAGTACAGTGTAATAATTTAATCATATTTTACCATTAGATACTTCAAATTTTTTAAATCTTATCTCCAGAATTTAGAGGAAAAGGTTAAAGACTTGACAGGTACTAGCAGTTCTGCAGTCTCTTCAAGCAGGTAAATTCTTTTCTTATTATATGTTTTTGCACCAGGCAGTTGTAATACATATGGAGTAGTGTTATAGATAGCAGGGGAAACAATCAAAGTATGCACCTTTGCAGAGTTGTTAGTTTTGTTTAGGCTGGTGGGGCTTAATGGGGTGGGACATGATGAGCATTTAAAAATCATTTTGCACAAATGGCAGGCTACCATAGTAAGACACAATGCCAGATAGATAATGCAAGTACTTTATTGTTCAGATGAAAGTCAGCAATTTTTATTGGCTGAAAATTGTTTAGCATCATGAAGTCCAGGATCAATGTTACAAAATGTATTTTCTCCATCAAAAAATATTTTGTAAATTGAAGGTGAAGGTTACACCTTGTGGAAATAAACACATATAGTGCCTCTATGTTCATCTTATTACAAAGCAAAAGCAGTTATGTCCTGGAAACATGTTTCATTTTGTAAAATCAAAGATTTTTACCAGGGATTTAATTTTGGCTTATTTCATGAATGTTGGCTAAGTATCTTAATATCTTATGAATGTAATAGAACTGAAAGCAGAAATTTGGGAATATTTATACCCCCAAAAACGAAGTTGGGGGGGGGGGGGGGTATATAGGAGTCACCCTGCTCGGTCGGTTGGTCGGTCGGTCCAGACCTCTGTTGCATTTTCCTTGTCCGGAGCATTACTTGAAGACTAATGGTTGGAATTCAATATAACTACATACAATGGTCAAGCACTTTGAGAGGAAGTGCAGTGCACAAGAACCATAACTCTATCTTGACTAATTACAGAGCTATTGCCCTTTGTTACTTTTCCTTGTCCGGGGCATAACTTGAAACTACTGGTTGGAATTCAAAACAACTTCATACAATTGTCAAACACGATAAGGGGAAGTCTATCTAAAGTAATTACAGAGTTATTGCCTTTGTTACTTTTCCATTGCTTTCTTTTGTCCGGACCATAAGTTTGAAGACTAATGGTTGGAATTCATTATAACTTCATACAATGGTCAAGCACATTGAGAGGAAGTGCAGTGCACAAGAACCATAACTCCATCTTGACGTATTACAGAGTTACTGCCCTTTGTTACTTTTCCTTGTCCAGAGCATAACTTGAAAACTACTGGTTGTTACTTTTCCTTGTCCAGAGCATGACTTGAAAACTTCTGGTTGGAATTCAAAACAACTTCATACAATGGTCAAGCACAATAAGGGGAAGTGCAGTGCAGAAGAACCATAACTCCATCTTGACTAATAACAGAGTTAATGCCCTTTGTTACTTTTCCATTGCTTTTTTGTCCGGAGCATAACTTGAAGACTAATGGTTGGAATTCAATATGACTTCATACAATGGTCAAGCACATTGAGAGGAAGTGCAGTGCACAAGAACCATAACTCCGTCTTAAATAATTACAGAGTTATTGCCCTTTGTTACTTTTCCTTGTCCAGAGCATGACTTGAAAACTACTGTTTGGAATTCAATACAACTTCATACAGTTGTCAAGGACATTAAAAGGAAGTGCAGTGCACTAGAGCCAGAACTCCATTTTGACAAAATGCAGAGTTACTGCCCTTTGATACTTTTCCTTGTCCGGAGCATAACTTGAAACGTACTGGTTGGAATTCAAAACAACTTCATACAATGGTCAAGCACAATAAGAGGAAGTGCAGTGCACAAGAACTATAACTCCATCTTCAGTATTGATAGAGTTATTGCCCTTTGTTCCTTTTCTTTGTCTTTCTGGACTTATTACAGAGTAATTCAATAAAACTTCATCAATGGCCAACCACATTGATAGGAAATGCAACATACAAGAACCACTACTATCTTTAATTGCCCACAACCATAACTCTATATTTCAATTCTTTCACAAGGTATTCTGTTACTAGTAACATCTTCATTTCCGAAGCAGTCTTGTGGGGGTATTAATCACATTTAGTGATAGTTCTAGTTGATCTTGTTGTTTGTCAGAAATAATTTTGGCTTCACATTTTCTTATAATAAAGTATAGGGATTTTAACATTATATTATTAGGTTGTCATAGGCTGTTTGACTTTGAGATTTATGATGTTTGTTATTGTTATATTTATTTATATTTCCCCAGTCATGCACTTCGTCCACCCCAGAAAAGGAAGAGTACAAGCAAAGATGAAAGCAGTGGGAAAGTAGCAAAAATAAAAACAGAGGGAGGAGGATTTGTAACCATAAATTTAGATGATGATCGTGTTGTAGATCTAACACTTGATGAAGATGATATTTCTAATGACATGGAAGTCGAAAGTAGTGTTTCATCTGACAATCAAACTAAATCTAAAGATAAGACTTTGGATAAAAATACCTCAGTGTCAGTTGAACCTGGAAATACCACTAAAGACAGTGGTACTGCAGGTGCCGTTGATCATGAAAATACCACACAAGTTAATGATACCTCAGAATTCGTTGATCCTGAAAACAACTCTCAAGTGAATGATACTGAATTGTCGGTTAATCCAGAAAATAATACTGAAGATACCTCAGTGTCTGTTGATCCTGAAAACAACTCAGAAAGCAGTTCTAAATTAACTGAAGACAAATCTAAGACTATTACTCCAGCTACCCATAAAAGTATTGTAGAAACACAAACTAAATCTGATGCTAGTCTAGGCACTAAAGAAGACAAGGACAAAAACAAAGTATTAAAAACAAAAGATGGAAGGCCAGAAGACAAAGAAATAGAGACAAACATTAGTGAAACAATATCTGATGACACTAGAACAGAAAAGTGTGATGATCAAAAGGGAACAAATGATAAAAGAGATGTAAGTGAAGAGTGTAGTAATGATAAAGAAAATGTTAAAGAGATAGATGGTTTTGTTAAGGAAAAAGATGATACTGTTAATGAAATAAGTGATGCTAAGAATAAAGAAGCCAGTGTTGGCACAGAAAGAATAAAAGAAGACAAGGGTAAAAAGGTTGATGGAAGTGCTAATGATAAAGACAAGGTTGAAGATGTTAAACCTGATAAGGAAGAACTGGATAAAAAGTTGAGCGACATTAAACCTGAAGATAAGATTGAGGCAATAGAAGAAAAGAAAGTTTTTGTTGCGAAAGGGGTACAGACAGTTCCAACAGTGGTGAAATTTGCAAGTCCTGAAGAAGTTGCGCTTTTTAAACTGTGTCCAACTGAACAGAAGCAAGTTTTGCTGCAAAAGGCTAGAGAGTTAGAAGAAACAAAAAAGGAATTGGGGGAGACTCAGACCACATTGAAGGGCTTACAAGACAATATTTGGCAATTGCTGAAGATTATTGTTCCTGATTTTGATTATGGAACCCCTGAAAATATTGAAAAAGTTATTTTAGACTTTATTCGTGTAAATGGTGAAGAAAATAATAGTCCATCAACTTCTGGGTAAAAAGTTTTATGTTGATGATTGGTAGAGATTTTTGTAACAATATAAAGTTATTGTGGCATTTTTCTTGTATTCTGCAATTTTTGCCTATTAATTTCCTTTAATGGAGAAAGTAAGCTTCTAGAAAAAATGCACAGAAATAGAATTTATGTTGATGACAGTTTTAGATAAAATCAGGATTTTGATGTAAGTCTAAGCATATGATAATAAACTTGATGCTTTCTGATCCTTTAGATTTTCTGTACTAATTGTTGTGATATTACATGACGGTCAAAGAAGAGCAGTGTGTCTGATAATGGATGTTATTCAGAATTCGCCAAATGTGGGTTTTTCCTAGCTAATCCCCCGTTACAAACTTTTACCATTATAGCTTCACAGTGCACTACCCGTCACAATAGATTAGTCAACCTGTTGTGCTTAATTCCAAAGCTGTAACTGTAAAAGGTTGTTTGTACCCTCGGATAAGCTGGGAAAACCCCAAAATATTCTTAACTCCATGGTAAGTCTATGGAAAGAACCCTATTCTGACCTTTTATTTGGATAACAATAGATTAAGCCACAAACAAAGACATGTGCTATTTTGTTAACAGAGACATTGTGGTGAAATTCTTATTGTAATCTTTAATGAGACAGATTCGGGTTATATAAAGATCTGTGAAAGGTTTTTGTTGTCAAAGTTACAATTCATAGTTGTTGTGGAATAATTTGTATAAAATTGTGAGAATTTTTAAGTGCTGTGAATTTCATAGTGATTTGTCTCCAATGTTAAGTTTTAATTGACTTGAATTTGAAAAAGAAAACATGTATGTGTACATATTATAGATATTTTAGTATATAATTGTTTTGTGCATTCAAAAATATCTATGAAATAGTGACAGGACATATTTGAGTAACTACAGGGCAGAACATTATTGTACAGAAATGAAACATTATTATCATCACCTTAAAGCAGTAATGGGTTAAGTCCTTCTAAATTTAATAGGAGTTAACCAGTTATTGCACTAAGGTGATGTTATGTTCACCAGTGAAACAGAAAGAATTTAGCATTCAGCTTGGGTTGGGAAAAAACACCCCAACCAACCTCCATATACTTCAATAATACTAATTTTTTTTTATTAAGTGCAGAACATTCAGAAAACTACCATTATTTTGACTTTCATACAAAATACTCAATCACTACAACTGTTCTTATTGCCAAAAAACAACAGAAGCTAAAGATATTTTAGGTAATTGGCCAATGAGTAACTTTTTGAAAACTTTAATAACAGGACATCAAGAAATATATGTTCTGAGAAATAAGAATAACAGCATTTCTGAGGCATAATAGGCCTTTAAGCTTGCATAAGAGCAACAAAGACTGTCTTCCCAAGATTGTTAAAATTATTTTGATTCAATAAATAAGGCCCTTCAATGGGCCCTGGGATTGTGAAACCCATATATGTATTACAATTGGCGAAAAATGTAAATATTCTTGTATAATGTGGAGAGCTATACAGGGCCATGGTGCCCCTCTTGTTTATTGATATTGAAAAATAAGATTGATTGTTTTCACTGTACACAGATTACACAATGCTTTTAGGCGATAAAGCTTACAAATGTAGTTAGTATTACATTGTATTTGATAAGATGTTAGTGTTGCCTATATAGGTATTTCCATAGTATTAGTTTTAGTATTTTGTTAATAAAGTAAGTCATTGCAAAAAGATAATAAGAATTGAAATGAGCCTTAGCCATAAGTATTTCACATTTAGACCTAAAATAAGGGTGACCTAGGAGAGATGGCCTTGTGGTTAAGGTGTCTACCTCCCAGGGATTGGGGGATCAAGCTCTACACTTGTCTTGACCATGTTTCATCATTTAACACGAGTACTTCATATATCCTGGAATGGATTTGAGAATGGTTCATATAAGTTGCAATAGCCTTTTTTTCATATGGAGATCAATATAAAATGATAACATTTTGGCACCAGAGATCATTGTAAAAGGATGTCAACAATGGATACTTGTTAGTGTCAGAGATCAATATAAAGTTATGTTGTTTTGATGACAGAGATCAATATCAAGTGATGTTGTTTATGTGCGTGAGATGAGTGGAAAGTGATGTCATTTTGGTGCCAGAAACCATAATAAAGGAATGTAATTTAGGCACCTTAGATCAATATAAAGTGATGTCATTTTGGTGCCAGAAACCAATATAAAGGGATGTCATTTTTGTGCCAGAGATCAATATAAAGTGATGTCATTTTGGTGCCAGATATCAATGTAAAGTAGGGTCATTTTGATGCCAGAGATCAATATAAAGTGATGTCATTTTTACACCTGAGATAATTCTAAAGTAATGTCATTTTTGCACCTGAGATCAATATAAAGTCATGATGTTTTGGTGCCATATTGGTTAAAGAAGAAGTAAAGTTTACTGCCAAAATGTTTTGTTAAAATCATATTATCGAAGTAGTTCTGAACCCTTGACCTGTTGAACCCAAAACTGATTAGTGTTTGCCACTTAGTATAGAGCCAGGCAAGCCTACACATTCATGCAGTCTGACAAGACTCTGTACTATTGGTAACTCTATTTCTGTATTTTGATATCCAAATCCATTTAACATCAAATGTTCCATAGTCAAAATAGGGCAATTCCATTACACACTTTCAACAGGTTAAGGGTCATGTAATAGTAGCCTCTGTGAGGTCTCGGCAATGAATTCTATTATATAAATACATTTCATCATCAGTTACAACTGTATATTGTAATTGTGTATCCTGTTGTAAGATATATTGTGTTCAATGAGTATAAATGAACCAGGACTATATCACTGGTTAGCGAAATAATTTTAGACCTTTGATATGAATAATGTACAAATGTGTTCATTGAAAAGTAGAGTGAAGGTAAATGTATTGTAATGTATTCCCGTGCCAAATGTAATGTAATTTTAGGTTTTAGACCAGTTTTAAATTTTCTTCCTTTCTTCTATTAATCATGTAGCAATATTACAACTTCAGCTTGTGTCGTGTTTTGTTAGATTTAGCATCATTTCATATTGCACGATATCATAATGTTGTCATATTCTGTCAAGCATTTACCTAATATTGTATCATGTGAGTCTGTTATCATGTATTTTGTCTGGTGTTGTTTTTTTGGGGGGGGGGGGGGGGGATTTTCAAGAAATCTGTTTTTCCACCCACGTTCGACAAAATTCCCCTCAAGTGTTTCCAACCAATTCATCTTGGAAAAATATATACTTTCGTTCTAATCCCTTTCAATTTATGTAACAATTATATAAATATAAAATGTAATATATGTAAAATATTGAAATAAATATGTTTAAACTAAAAAATATACCCCATGTTGCTGTTTTTAGTATCAAAACTTCAGGTAATATTAATTTCATATCCTTGGAAATAGATTGTGTTAAAGTTCTGCAATAGAAAACTTATATATTGTTTAATTTCAGCCATAGAAGACTTATAAAAAGACTAGATGCTTTCAGTTATTAGCTCACCTGTCACAAAGTGACAGGGTGAGCTTTTGTGATCGCTTTTCGTCCGGCGTCCGTCCGTCCGTCCGTCCGTCGTCCGTCCGTCGTCCGTCGTCCGTCCGTAAACTTTTGCTTTAAATGACATCTCCTCATAAACCACTGAGCCAATTTCATCCAAACTTCACAGGAATGTTCCTTTGGTGGTCACCTTTAAAAATTGTTCAAAGAATTTAATTCCATGCAGAACTCTGGTTGCCATGGCAACCGAAAGAAAAATCTTTAAATATCTTCTTTTAAACAACCCTAAGAGCTAGAGCTTAGATATTTGGCATGAAACATCTTCTAGTGAGTGTTTACCAAGTTTGTTCAAATAAAAGCCCTGGGGTCAAAATTGGCCCCGCCCCAGGGGGTCATTGATTTTCCCTATATGCATATAGTAAAAACTTAAAAAATCTTCTTTTAAAGAACCCAAAGAGCTAGAGCTAAGATATTTGGCATGAAACATCTTCTAGTGAGTGTCTACCAAGTTTGTTCAAATAAAAGCCCTGGGGTCAAAATTGGCCCCGCCCCGGGGGGTCATTGATTTTCCCTATATGCATATAGTAAAAACTTAAAAAATCTTCTTTTAAAGAACCGTAAGAGCTAGAGCTTAGATATTAAGCATGAAACATCTTCTAGTGAATGTCTACCAAGTTTGTTCAAATAAAAGCCCTGGGGTCAAAATTGGCCCCGCCCCAGGGGGTCATTGATTTTCCCTATATGCATATAGTAAAAACTTAAAAAATCTTCTTTTAAATAACCCAAAGAGCTAGAGCTAAGATATTTGGCATGAAACATCTTCTAGTGAGTGTCTACCAAGTTTGTTCAAATAAAAGCCCTGAGGTCAAAATTGGCCCCACCCCGGGGTGTCATTGATTTTCCCTATATGCATATAGTAAAAACTTAAAAAATCTTCTTTTAAAGAACCATAAGAGCTAGAGCTAAGATATTTGGCATGAAACATCTTCTAATGAATGTCTAACATCTTCTAATGAATGTCTACCAAGTTTGTTCAAATAAAAGCCCTGGGGTCAAAATTGACCCCGCCCCAGGGGGTCATAGATTTTCCCTATATGCATATAGTAAAAACCTTAAAAAATCTTCTTTTAAAGAACCCAAAGAGCTAGAGCTAAGATATTTAGCATGAAACATCTTCTAATGAGTGTCTACCAAGTTTGTTCAAATAAAAGCCCTGGGGTCAAAATCGGCCCCGCCCCAGGGGGTCATTGATTTTCCCTATATGCATATAGTAAAAACTTAAAAAATCTTCTTTTAAAGAACCATAAGAGCTAGAGCTAAGATATTTGGCATGAAACATCTTCTAATGAATTTCTAACATCTTCTAATGAATGTCTACCAAGTTTGTTCAAATAAAAGCCCTGGGGTCAAAATTGACCCCGCCCCAGGGGGTCATAGATTTTCCCTATATGCATATAGTAAAAACCTTAAAAAATCTTCTTTTAAAGAACCCAAAGAGCTAGAGCTAAGATATTTAGCATGAAACATCTTCTAATGAGTGTCTACCAAGTTTGTTCAAATAAAAGCCCTGGGGTCAAAATTGGCCCCGCCCCAGGGGTCATTGATTTTCCCTATATGCATATAGTAAAAACTTAAAAAATCTTCTTTTAAAGAACTCAAAGAGCTAGAGCTAAGATATTTAGCATGAAACATGTTCTAATCGGTGTCTACCAAGTATGGTCAAATAAAAGCCCTGGGGTCAAAACTGGCCCCGTCCGGGGGGGGGGGGGGGGGGGTCATTGATTTTCCTTATATGTGTATAGCAAAGACTTAAAAATCGTCTTTGAAAAATCCCAAATAGCTAGAGTTTAGATATTAAGCATGAAACATCTTCTAATGAGTGTCTACAAAGTTTGTTCAAATAAAAGCCCGGGGGTCAAAACTGGCCCTGCCCAGGGGTGTCATTGTTTTTAGTAAAAACTTTAAAAATCTTCTTTTAAAAAACCCAATGAGCTAGAACTTAGATGTTTAGCATGAAACATCTTTTTATGGGTGTCTACCAAGTCTGTTCAAATAAACAAATAAAAGCCCTTGGGTAAAAATTGGCCCGGGGGGGGGGGGGGAGGGCTATATACAGGTGAGCGACCTCAGGGCCATCATGGCCCTCTTGTTTTTAGATTGTTAAACTTCATTACTTGCTGTTCAGAGACAAGCTTTTTGGCAATATTATAATAGCGCTTTTAGTAAAGAAATTTGATTCAGAGTCAACTCGTCCTCTGGTCAACTCGTCCTCTGGTCAACTCGTCACCTTTTTGGTCAACTCGTCCCCTGGACAACTCGTCCTCTAGTCAACTCGTCCCCAACTCGTCCCTTATATTTTATTACTACTTGTTTTTCATATAGCCAAAAGTTCTAGCCGTACGTGAGTCACGTACGACTAGCCAGGACACACTGTATTGGCTAGCCGTACGGCACTTTTCAAAAATATATGGAAGGCGAAAGTGCATATGTTAATTATGACTTTAAGCGAGGATTTTAGTCAAGAATGTTTACTTTTAGAGATTAATCGACGTGTTGGCTACAGTAAAGAATGTACGTACTTTGACATCACAAGACGTCGAGAGAAAAAAATAGCGTTTGGTTGCAGTTAAATAACATCAATTGAAATAGTTTACAAAACTTTGATAATAATCATTTTTTGTTTCATTAAGTTTAATTTTTAAATTGAAAAAAAAACCCTCCAAAACAACCACCGAAAATAATTGTTGTCGGGCTCTGATAATTGCGTCAAATACCGACGGTATAGAAGTTTGTTCATCGTCCATCATTAAGGAAAGTTTGCATTATTAAATTATTTTTCCTTTTCACCGTTTTTTTTTAAATATTCTTTTTATTTATTTATTTATTCCCCTCCGATCATTATTTATTCGATCCATGTGCTTAATTAACAGATTTAACAATTCATCTTTCATACAAATCATAAGCATGAAAATTAAGGACGTTATAACATGCAACTTTGACACTTAATTTTATTAAGATAGATTATACAACGCTTACTCGTATTCATTTTTTTTTTTGCAAAATTGCGGAGCATCTTTATTAAAGTGAACACACTAGGATAAATGCGGAGATTTGATTAAAATCGTCGTTTAAAGACACAAAATAACATATGCATTTTCGACTTCCATATAATTACAGTGTGTCCAGGCTAGTCGTACGTGACTCACGTACGGCTAGAACTTTTGGCTAGCCGTACGGGCCCGTACGGCTAGCCACTTCCTTTCTGTTAATCTGTCGCCAGTCTTTAATCCATTCAGGGAGGTGGTAAAAATCAAAGAGTTGGACCTAATTTTAGTTTTAATTATCATTAAAACTCCGATTAATTAAACATTAATTGAATGTATGTAAACTTACCTGTCTTTGTAGTTTGACATCAAAGCTATGCATGCACATGCGCTTAGATAAAGATCATTAAAATTTAACGAAAAGAGGTAATTATTTTATTGATATTTCGATATCAATCAAATTCAGTATTAATTTTACATATTTTACATAAAAGAATTATTTAAAGACATTTTTAAGACAGAGATCGAAAGTAGGGGACGAGTTGACCATATTAGGGACGAGTTGACCAAAAGT